TTGTTCGTCTTTTGTTCCATGAACTGGAAGGCACTAACTGAGAAGCGCCTGTGGTGGCGATTTTTTGGATTGCCAGCAATTTTAAGGATGGACACATCCTTATCGTAAGGATTGGCACACCTACAGACACACAGCAGTTAAGGCTAGGGCAAAGCCATGTTTTAGTCGTATACACACAGAGGGATCAGAGTCACTTACCCTTCATAAATGAGCACCAGAGCATTATTTGCAGAGCGAGGGTAAGCTAAACAGTAGTTGACGAGAATGACTGCATCTGGTTTTGGAGATTTCAGGCGCAGTTCGAGATACACTGGCTTGCCAAGGAGCAGTCCCAAGGGCTGAGATGTTTTTGGCAAGTAGCTGGAATACGTCTGATCTGTTGAGATCACACAAAAATGTTAGTTTCAGAGCTGTGTGCGCTTTCACTCCAGACATGTTTATCAAAGATTGTCCCTGCATTTGTTGGAAAAATAGTGTATAACTCACCTGTGGCAATTCTCAGCTGAACACCATATAAGCCATTGGAGAGGACTGAGTCTGGCACGACGGAACCCGGGTTCTTGACCATATAGCCAACACTGGCCATAGGGCTCCCTGATTGGCCATAGCGACATTCAACCTGAATCCTTTATTTAAAACAAAAAAAAAAAAAAAAAAAAAGTGGTCAGGTTAAGCTTGGCACTACATGCATGTACAGAGAGCTTACAGCAGGATTAATACTCAGTTACTTGATCATTTTGACTTTGTTGTAGAACAGAGTGAAAATGTACAACCACAAACCTGAGTGGATTGCTTCTTGTAATGATGCCATATTTGAGGTTAAGGGCTTTAACGACACTCTGCACTTCAACCATGTAGATCTTCACCCCTTTAACTTCCTGTCAAAAGTTGACATTTCCTCAGTTGTTAGGCTCAGGTCTGCCAGGCTACACAGCATGTATGATGTACTGCCTGAAGCAGTTTCCATAACTGACAGCATGTTTAGAGTAACATGTAAAATTTCTTAAGTGTTTAAGATTTAGTGGTGTCTAGCAGTGACGATTACAGATTGCAACCAGCTGAACTCTCCTGGTTAGAATTCCTTCAGTGTTCTTTCAGGTTTTTACTGGGAGGCAAATTATCAGTCTAATCATAAACTGCTGTAAGACACAATCATGTCAGAATCATACAGAAACGTGTGCTTGTCAGGGGATACTTTGCTGTATATACACATTTCAGAGGGTGTTCATTTACAATATCGACGTTTTAGACCCCAGGCTTTAGGAGGAAATGCATATGGAAGATTGCAAGTGAATTTCAACTAAATTAGAGTTGAAACCCATGTTGCATTCAAATCAGAATGACACAACTTCAAGGTGCTATGCAAGCATGTGATCAGAAATCTAGATGCATCTCAGTCCATCCACTTGTGACATAACATTTGCTTTAATAGCAGGTCAGGCTCAGAGTCTCATGAATGGCCACGTCAAATAAAAACCACCCATCTACGCAGCTAAAAATAAAAAGCAAACTTAAGGTTGCAGCTTTAGTTGTACACCATCTGTCTTTCTAAACAAGTGGTAGCAATCAGTATCAAGTTAACAAGTCTTAGATCACTTGATCAGGCAATGCATTATTATCTTGCACTAGATTAAGACTTTTAAACTAACAAGTGGAAAGTGCATTGTACAAGTCAAACAAAGGGGATAACTTACATAATAACGAGCTCCACATTCGGTAACTTTGAACTTAAAGATGGCAACCTTGTCATTAACAATGACTGGTTTACACTCTGGATGCCCAGGAATAACGAGCTTGGTGGGGTCCACAGGGGGGGACGCCAAGCTGGAGCGAATGGCAAACACAAAGTGCTGATCTCCAGTGCACTCTAAGGGAGACAGAAAAGTCAGATGTAGCCAGAAGTTAAAGATCACTTAATACATCTCCCAAAACAGGAGCCTTACCATCCATTGGGTAGTAGCAGGAATTAGAAGCCATACAGCATCCCAAGTTCTGACATTCTGAGGGAGATATTCCTGAATAACCACACATCACCCGCTCCGCTGACGAGATGGCACAATCTGAAATGAGAGGCATTGTAAACTGTTTGCAATTCAACACATGTAGTAAATCATTTAGCCATCCCAAAAGTGATGCATTGAATACCATGCAATTTCAGCTTATTTGCTGTATGCACTCACTTGGAGGGTTTGGAGGGGTTGGTTTGCACTTTGGGGATTTAGGTTGGCCACTGGAGCGAGGGAAGAGGCCAGAGTCAAACTTGGGACTTTCACAAGATGCGGTAGCAACTTGTGTCTGACCGAACTCATTGGCAAACAACAACTGCACGCTGTAGCCGTCAGTCTGTAATAATTTCAAAGTTGAGCTTTTGGTTAAGATGAGCTTAACACAAGGAAAAAAGAAAGTTACCATATCCATGTTTAGATTTTTAAAAAAGACAGTACAGAGCCAAGGCAATTACTTTTCAGTAACCTACATGTTTCACATTGCATCCAGTGAAGGGTACAGTCAAGGTGTTCTGGAAAAAGTTCACTTCATAACCACAAGACTCTTGAGCATCCACGACAGACAGCAGTTCCTTTGAGCCTGGAGAGGGAAAATATAAATCCCTGCAAGTTAATATGCATTCAACAAAATTTCAAATAGGCAGACAAGCCCCAGTACATACCCAAAACTTTAACGTCACTCAGTGAGCCTGTCCGCACAGTAATCTGGAAGCCAACTTCACTGCAGACCACATCTAACCCAGAGGAACTAGGACAGGTGCTGCCGCTCCAACTCCTTGGAGGGGCATATACAAATTCCACCGGGAAATCATCACTACTGCCGTCCCAGTGTCTTGAAGGGGTGTCATCAAATTCCAACTGGAATCCATGGTCATGGTCAGCAAAAGGGTTGGCATTTTCACTGGTGGAGGCACCTTCAACTTCAGGAAATGCATCCTCAGGATCTGTATCTTCATTGTCAAAGTCACTGCTGTCATCTGGAGGAGACAGTGGTAGTTACCACAGATTGCTAGTCAAAACAGCTTCACCCAGTTTGTAAGAAAAATCTAAATTGACAGCCAATTGCAAATACAGCCCAACAAGTCAATGTCTGACTCAGGTACAAATTAATGACTAAAGAGCCAAGTTTGAATCAGTTTGTTTCCCCCTGCCAAAAGAAAAAAGTTGGGTAAGTTATACTAACCATTTTCTTTTGATGGTTTTATCCAGCCAGAGACATACAATCTTTAAATTTCATGGGTGGGGCATTTAGGGATGTATTTTTGTAGAATATGTGTAAGAAAAAAAACATTAAAGTCTCTTAAACTTATGTTAACCATAGACCTAGGTCCAAGGCTCTAACCAAAAACTGATTGACTTCAGGATGAGGCAACCAGGAGCACAAAAATACCAGTTCATCTCCAGGTTTTGGGCAAGGAAAATATATTTTCAGAAAAGCCTTGGTTTAAAGGACTCATTCCTGGACACCATTATAGGACAACAGTAAATGTTGTAAAGAGTCAAGTGAGTAAATGAGTCAACCATCCAATACCTGCTGTAAGTCAGCTAGCATTAGCCATTATTAGCAAATATTACTGGTCACACCACACCATGTGGTCATAGCAGCCAAACCTCATGTGCATTTTAGTTTAGAAATGTATTTCTCCCCCCTTAACAACTCAACTTTAAACTTGTGACAAAAGTAATTTTCCCCATCAAAGTTACATTTTGTCAAACTTTCAAAATTTAAAAAAAAAAAAAAAAAGGGCGCAGACATATCAAGTCAGGTGAATTGGTTGTCTTACTAAACAGACAACAGGTTCATGTGAATGAAAACATTTATAAAAAAACAGACAAACTGAAAGTCCGTGAACCCACCTTCAGCCACTGTTAGTGAGAGTATCACTGCTAGTCACTCACCTGTCATTGTAATGGTCGATGTGACGCCTTCTGGTTCACTCCACGGCTCCGACGGGTGTGGCTGTTCATTATTATCATTATTATCATCATCATCAATCACCTCCCACCCCTGTCCCCCTACTGAAACCGGCAGCAGAGTCCCAGTCAGCACCACCAGCACCAGCAGCTCAACCCTGACCCCAACCATGGCTCCAAGTGATGCCCTCCTGCAGCTACTGAGCCCCGGATACAGGAGCAGCCTCCCGCGGTGCTTTAACTAGTGGTGTGACGTTAATTGATCGCACCTGACGGCTGGTAACTGGTACGTGCTACTTGTTAAAGTCTCACCTGCCTGAGTGAAAACTGTTAATTAGGTGTAAAAGACAGGCCCTTGCAAATAGAGAGGCCCTAATACTAGTTTAAGTCCTGCATTATATTTGAAGGACAAAAAGTAAAAGGACTAAAGTCTTATTTTTATCCATGATAATAACTTAAAATTTATTTGTTGATAGCTAATATTTTGTATTGTTAACCTAAAATCTTAATGTGTAATGAATTGTCAAATAAATGTAGCTAGGCAAAAAGTATATTTCTCTGATATGTAGTAAAGCAGAAGTCAAACGAGACTAAATTTACTTAAGTTACATTCCACCCCTGGTATGTGCAAATATATTTAAGGACACTTTTTTGAACACTTGTAACAGAAAAATTCTGACATTTACCTGGATTTTAATAAATAAAAAACTTTATTTACTGCAGTTTTTTCCATCAACTTGGCGAAAAATATTAAAATACAGTAATCACAACATACCACCACCAACTCTCAATCTCCAAAAGTCAAATTAGCACTTCAGTGACCCAGTGTAAAAAACATTATACATGTTTTATAGCTTGGGAGCACTGCTTTTCTGTTGTTTAATATTACATTTTACAGATGTACCTAATATTCTAGTATGTCAGTGCACTGTATATCGGATCTCATTAACATGTTAAATTGTTGTCACCAACTCTGTAGCTCAATTTTATATCCAGACATACACAACATATATCTGCATTTCTCAGAGGGCTACTGAATTTTTGTGTTAGTTATAACAATATTCCCCAGTGACAGATAACTCAGTGTGGCAAAAAGACTTTATTGCATATATTTAAAGTACACAAACACCCCACAGGTCAAATAAACAGACTATTTAATAGTCTTCATTATTTAAAACAAAAAATTCTCTTTCTTTAAGTCGTATTCTCTCGAGCCAATAAAAAACAAAACCAACAAATCAGAAGACCTGGATGTTCAGACAAAGAGAAAATCACTTGTAGGCATTGGCTTTATGTTTGGGCAAGAAGTTGAAATTCTTTGGTACAGGTCCAAGCAGCATTTCACTGGAAACAGGAGGAGAAGTAAGAAATTATAATCCGTAAATACATCAATTTAAAAGTTAACAGCAGTGTAGCTTGATTTTGAATGGAGTTTCTTAATGTTTTATAAATGTCTTTACCTAATCCTGACCCAGTCCCCAACATGTTGGCTGGCCATCAGTGACTCCAGATAGTTCCTGCCCATGTAGTAAGGAGGTCTCTCGTTGATTTTCTGTGGCACTCGCTCCAACAGGCCCACTGGAATGTATCTGAGAGACAGAGATGGTACATACTGAGTGGATATTCAGGATCAAATAGCAAGTTATGAATACTGCCTGATAGTCGAAGAAATGCAACACACTTAGGAGCATGCTGTTGCCCACCTGCACATGAAGGAGAGCCACTCCAGCATGAAGGTGCGGGTCTTCTCCACACCTCGGGTGTCGGAGCCCCAGTGCTCCAGACCGAAGTTAGTGAAATCCCTGAGGATGTCCAGTCGCTCGCTGGACGAGATGTCCCAGTGTTTGCTCTCCTTTATTTCAGTGAAGATCCAGGGCTTTATGAGGGCACCCCTGAGGAACATGCAAACTCAAGTTCAAGTTCACCACAAAGATGACTGGGCTCTGTAATGTTTCCTCTGGTCAGGATTCTGTGTGGATTTACTATCCTCATAGTGACTGTGAAGGTAAGAAAGCACAATGACTTTACTCATTGCAGTAGGTAATACACTGAATGTGGACAAGTGCCTCAAACAAGCCCACTTCAAAACACCTGAACTATTCTTTGATAACTTTGTCGTCTTGATGTCTTTAGGGCTACAGTTTGACAATTCAGTGTATACATTAGTCTATACTGTGTGTGTGATCATATAAGTAGCACCAACCTTGCAATCATAATACCAGAAACTCCGGTCTCTTTCGCCCTCATGGCATCTTCATAAGACAAAATGTCTCCATTACCTGAAACAATAAACACAGGTCAATACAGTTTGTCTCATCACCAACAATTAATGCCTCTTCTGTAGCACGTCCATCATTTTACAACCTTGAGATCGCTAAATTGTATATAGAGTTATTTTTCACCAAAGAGGTGGTTGTTTTTCTAGTATTTCCCTCTTTACTAACACTACATGTTCTTATCTCAACTGTGTGCAGCTGCAATCTTTACAAATCAACATACCAAAAAGTGGGACGGGACTGGCCAGCTTGGAGCAGGTGGTGATGTAATCCCAGTCAGCTAACTTAGTGTAGCGCTGCTCCCTGGATCGGCCATGCAACTGTAAGAAAACAGCAGCATCAGTGGTATGTAATCACACTTAAAATCTGACTCGTATAAAAATAATAGAAGACCACGAAAATATTACACATGACATAATAAGGGGCTTGGAAAAACAACTTACAGATTGTCAATATGATAAGGACACATATTAAAGTCAAACAAATGCAACACATCACCTCAGATCAATTAAGAAGTGTTCTCACATCACATTTTCTCTGATTTTACTCTAATTTCTTGAGTGCATTTACTAAATAAAACAGGAGTGTGCCAACAGATATGGGGGTTTATAGCTACATGAATGAAAGGTATCAAAAGGTGTCCAGCCCACATGGTCTTACAAGACTCCATTTAATATGAGACTCCAGCTGATTTCCATAGTTTCAATATATTTCTAGATTTATGCTGCAACCGTTTTAAAAGGTATGGATTGTTGGTTACTGTTTGCAAACATACTTGCCAGTGAAACTGAACATAGAAGTGACTACGTGATTTCTCATTTGTCGGGAGCTACGTGTTTATGTATTTCTTCATCACTGCAGCAAAGACAGTTTCTGACACATTAGATTGGTTTATATTTATGTGTAATTTTTTAGACTGTTTTTGAACTGCTTACAGATAGTTTCTATACACGAGTACACTGTTTACTGACCTTACTGTTGCTTCTCTGATTAGTGTTCTGCTCTCTACCATGTGTCATTTACAGCATCCTGTATGGGATTTGCAAACTTTGCTTCGTTGTTCTTGTTTTATGAAGTTTAAATGAAGTTGAAATTTTTCAGTGCTGTGTCTCTTGCATGGTCTGGCTACCTTTTCACAAAGCCCCGACCTCACCTGAGCACTGTGGGGGTACACGCTGATAAGCGTTTCAAACACAAAAAATAAAAAGGAGGCAAGAAATACAGGCAGAGGGCAGAGTCTCTGCAGAAAAATACAGCGCCACGCACTAAGTGATGCTTGAGAGGGACTACTTTGTTATGGGTATATTGTTTGTTCTATTTTTTAGAACAATCCTGCATAGTTTATCATAGTTACTCTGTAAACAGGCTTCAGGCACCTTGAATTCAAGTTATTGTTACTATTATTATTTTAATCTGATTTTTAACACACCTTTTCATGCTGCCCACAGCCTCCTTAACATTTGCAGCAAGTGTTCACATGTATCTCTGATGCTTTTGCAAGACTTACTGTGATCAGAGAGACACCCCAGTTCTTCATCTCTGGGATGAGTTTGTGCGCTATGTTGCTCTTCTCCTGAACACCAGTGCGGATCTTGACTGTTAATGGGACATCAAGGACCTTCAGGAAGAAAATAGACTGTTTTCTAATTCATCCTTTAACTTTGGGTGGGAAAAAAATCCCCTGATTTGACAATTAAAAACCAATTCAGTTTAACTGCTACGTAAAATTTAATGATGACACGCGGCAGCATTTTCTCCTCAAAGCCAGAATTCACCAAGACACCCCATGCAGATTTTTTAATTTTATTTAAATAAATAAAAAAAAAAAACTTACATAATTCATTCCCTTGATTATCTGTTCAAACTTTCTGGTTCGTGTCATCAAGCCGCAGCCTCCGCCCTGACAAGGGAAAGCCAACAAAGACCATCAGTCAGTGAGTGTCATATTGTTTAATAGTTCCAGCCAAATACCAGTGTCTGCTTTATACACAGGGAGACAGACAGGTTTGGTAAAACTCATTTTAAAAAAGTAGTATGTATAAAAATAATACAGTTGACACTACAGGGGTGGAAAACAAATGAGTGAAAACCACAGTGGAACTTTTATTTAATCTGGATGGCACTACTTTGTTTGATAGAGGGTTTACCTTCTTGTAGACAAGGTCAATGGGGCATCCAGAGTTGATGTCCACAAAGTCAACATCCGTGTTGTTGTTGATGAGCTCTGCACACCTCGTCATGGTATCGGGAAAGCAGCCCTCCACCTGGAAACACAAGCTAGATTTCAGAACTGAGGTCATCTTCACTCCCACACAGAGCCCCAAGCCATGTTTATAACAACATGAACAGAGTAATTCAACTTCTCTGATGGGTTCAGAAGAATCTCAATAATCTAAGATGACATCACCTGGACACCAAACACATCTTCACTTTCGTGCCGTTTCAGGAGGGCCCACTCTGACTGCTGGCCCTGCAGCAGGTTTGTGCACATGGCCATCTCCCCACAGGTGATGTCTGCTCCGAAGCGCTTGCACACACGACGGAAAGGCAGATTTCCGCACTATAAAGAAAGGGAAAGAATCATTAAAAGGGGGCTTTTTTGCTCATTTTCAGGTTCATACTTGTATTTGGGGTTTCTGCTAGAACATGTTTATATGCTTTTATGGTCAAAATACACTTTATTTTTCTCCATCTGTCTGTACTTGAACACCTGTATTCAGCCTCTGTCTGAAACGCTCCATTTACTGCCTGTCTTTTTAAGCTCCCTTTCCAAAAAAAAGCCAAAGTCTGCTCTGAGTGGTCAACATTTTTCAGTCTTCCATATCTGCACTCTTGGCTTCTCTGCACCATCACTGCAGCTCTTATATTATCGATTCCGATTTTGTAAAAAGCAATAGACCATATAAAGTAAGCACAACAGGTCCCCTTTAAGTTTTGCCAAACCTTATTTTATGGGCCAGCTTCTGATTTAATTTAATTTCTATATTAACCTTAGAATATAATTCAGTCTGGTTGTACTTACAGTTGTTAGGGGAGCGAGGTAGAGCTTGTCTTGAAAGTCCACCTTGTACACAGAAACAAAATTGCATGTCGTTAGCAATAGAGATTTAATTTGTTCAAACACTCTCATGTAATATTTATTTAACCTGAAAATGGATCACATCATATTCCTTGTGTGTTTAAAATAAGTCAACAAACTCCTTTAAGAGAATATGGTTTTGGAGGAAAAACGGTTGGCTGAGATTTACCTGTTTCTTTTCACATGGGCGCAACTTGATGACATCTACATCCGTCAGTGGGCCAACAGTCTTCACTAAAGGCTGTTTATCTGGGCTGGCCTGCAGTTTATCGAAAAGCAAACATGTAAAAAGATCTGTAAAATACCAAGCACCTCAACATATGTACACCGTTGTAAGAGGAAGTGGTCTGAGTAGATGTTTATACCTGTGTTTCAGCTTCAGTAGACACACACTGCTCCCCTCCTGTTGGATCTGCAGATACTTCAGCTGCACGAGTATCACCTGTGAGTTTTAAAAAGACTGAAATTATAATACCAAATTCAAATCCCCACCTCTTCAACTCGTGTTACTTGTCTTACCATTCCCTTGATGTTCTCTTTTGTCTTTGTTGTTTGAAAGTGTTTTGAGGTACTCTGCTGACTTCTTGAAGGCCACTGAACGCTTCCTCAGGCGATTCTGGAGGTCTTTGCTCAAGCTGTTCTTCACTGTGATCCTACCCTCGTTGGCCTTAACGAGATCTGCGTTCTCCATAGTTTTGAAGTCAGCTGTAGTGTGCGCCTTGGCGAAGCGGCAGGAGAGACCATAAGCACATTTTCCAAATGTGTCGTAGAGGTAGCAGCTTTCCCCGATGTCAGCGGGCTTGGTTGCAAAGTACTCGGCTATGTCATGATGAAAGTGGCATTTGTCTCCAAAGGGGCACTCCCTGTTGTCCTGCATGGATAGAAAAAGACACGACAATAAGTATCAGATAAGTACTGTATGAGATATTAGTGAATGGCTGGTTAAATGTTCATACCTGAATGACTGAGAGACACAGTCGTTTCTCATCATACGCAGTAGGCTTTGTGTGTGGCCTGGACTTATTCTGTCCCCGAACACGTTTACCGTCTGGTCTGCCGCCCTTATTCCTCTCCTCAGGGTCTAGTTTGAGCTTTTTGGCCTCAGGTTCCTCAACAGGCGTCTCATTTGTCTCCTCATCCTTTTGATTTTCACTGGCCTTGTCTTTTTTTGAGCTCTGCCACTCGGAGTCTACAAACTCGTGAAATTTTTCTTTGGTGGTTAGAAATCTGTAAATATAAGAAGTAGTAATGTGGAAGATGTAACAACCTGGCATTCAACACAACACTTAAGTACATACAGTATGTGATGATCACTGTGTGAAATGGTGCTATAGCAGTGCCTTACAAGATCATCTGTTACAATTTATGTGTAATTTATATGTAATTTGACACAACAACTTACTTCTGCAAAGCTGTTACTATTTTAACTGCTGTACTAATAAGATGTGAGACTGGTGAGTTAAGACCTCAGGCATTAATTGGGTTTACACACATTTGCTTGCTGCTCTACGTCCACATGCAGGACTGCCCATAAGGGGGGAGAAAGAGGAAAGCTGTCTGGGGCACAGCCACTTAGGGAGGCCCACGGAGGCCTAAATATTAAACAAAAATAAACACTGCATTATTGTTGCTTTAGTCAAGTGTAGCCTGTTTCATAATGAAAACCCATCTCTATCCACCACATGACCTGAGAAATTTAAAGATCCAAACTAGCAGAGAGAGAGCACGCGCATGCGTTGACGTAAGTGAAGCAGATTAGGGGATCACCCATTCACTGGACCTTTACATGGGCCCAGCCATTTCTGTGGGCGGGCCTAACCACATGAATACTGATTTAAAGGTCCAGTGTGTAGGAGTTATGGGGATATGTTGTCAGGAATGGAATATAAAATAATAAGTATGTTTTCTTTTGTCTATAATCATCTGAAACTAGAAATCATTGTGGGGTTTTTTACCCTTGAATGAGCCATTTATATCTACATACAGAGCAGGTCTTCATCCACAGAGATCACAATGTTGCATTGCCATGTTTCTACAGTAGCCCAGAATGGACAAACCAAAGACTGCCTCTAGAGAGAGACATTCAAGTTTTCGGGGTAGCTACCTCAATCAACAGCCCCTCTGCCATGAGCAGTGCCAAAAAACATTCAGTGAAACTGCTTTAGTCTGTGCGTTTACGTGTTTAAAATCACCGGTAAGAGACCTCTGCACATAATTCGGTTCCCAGTAAAAACCTCCTGACTGTCTAGAGCTTAAGTTATAAGACAAAAGAGATGCACATGCATTAGCAGGCGCTGAGCTAGCGGCCCCTGGTCCATTTGTTTTAGAGAGAAAAATAATTCTGCAGGTAATTCTGCTCCTGGTATAACCTCCTAAACAATGAACACTGAAGGAGTTGTAACTGACAGAAGTTTCAGCTGGTTGCAATCTACAATCCTCACCACTAGATGCCACTAAATCCCCCTAAATCTTACACACTGGACCTTTAATGGTACAATTTCAAGAGAGGCTACTGATGCAGACCAGCCAGTCCTTGTAAAACTGGAGCAAAATCTTAGTCACTATTCTGTGCATGAAGTCAAGTGCATTCACTATAGCTGCTACGTCTTTTGCTGGCAGTGTAGTTCTGTTAGCTCCATCAGACAAAAGAAATGCAGTGTTAAATGATTATGTGGGAGACAGCACCCTCAAGCATGGGTCCACCCTACTCTGCTACAGGTTGGGAGCCAGTTGCTGCCCAAACTGAAAGGCCACCAATGAAGAGTTATAGTGAACTGTCATGGTGAAGAGGGAGCTGCCGGGCGAGATATGATGCAGAGTATTGATCTATGGCACAACTTCAACTGCTTCCAAGATGCAGGGAGAAAAGAAAAGGTCTTCCAAAGTTGTTCTTTATACTAGGAGTGTTGTTGGACTTTTGACCTCCTCAGACATGACATGATGCTCAGCGTTTTGGTAGCTTTATGTTTACTGGTACATCATGTCTGTATCTAGATTCTTCCATCAAACAAACAAACACTGTGACCAACACTTGAGAATGTTTGCAGTGCTTTCCAACATTTTTTCTCGTTTATTCCACAGACGCTTGGTTACTTACTGTGGTTTGAGGGCAGCTTCACCCTTCACAGCTACATCAGTCTTCTTTTCAACGGTTTCCTCCGCCGCGTTTTCCATCACACCTTCACAGACTTTCTCCAGTGCTTACTCCTGAAACATGTCGATACATCAGCTGGTCGTTTTTAATCTAACTAAAGAAATGCTTAACACGGGAGCCAACGCCACTCCACTTTTCTTCCCTAAAGGTTGCCTGAATTATTTGACTGAATCAAATTAGCCGAGTTACTTACCCGCTTCCTCTATGGTTGCCAAAATAAGCAGCTATTGTGGCATGCTTTGCTTCAAGTGACTGTAGGCTACCTAACCCTGCTAACAAGCTAACAGCTAACGTAAAGGTTGACGCAACTAGCCACCACCTACCTCACGTATTTAACGCTAATTCATAACTATTAAAACATGAAATTAAATGCTAAACGAATGACGCTGCAGATAACTTGTATTATACTCTCGTACCCTGAAATGCACAGCAACGGTCCAAAGGCATGAGGAGACCGTTGTGCGTCAGTTTGGTGATGTCCGTGGTGTAGTGGTAGGCGAACATTGGTTCCGCATATTACAGTACGTCTCCCCCGTTACTCATATTTACACTATTATTTCAATTTAATGGGGCGCTGTAGCCGAGGGATGGAAAATAATCACATTAGCCCTATAAACTGAGGATACATGACATGTTTCAGGTTTAAAATTGCACCAAGAATTACCTCATATCAGTTACCACATATTTATGAGAACATAAAAACAACTGGAATGAGGATTGAAACACATAATCAGATGTAACGCTTTTATTTCAAGATTGCATCTCCACCAAAATTCCAAGAGCAGCTCTCCAAGATTTAACTTACACAACTTTAAACAGGGAAAAATAGTCTCTGCAAACGTACTGTGAGTAACACAAGTTCAAGTACGAGATATTAGAGCTGAGGTAATTACTAATTAATTGATTAGTCAAACTTTAGCAGCAACAGCGTTGATAAATGAATCATTGCTCAAGCAAAAATGCCAAAAATTCCCCTAGTCCAGCTTCTCATTTGTTAGAATTTGCTGCTTTTGTTGACTTATGAGATAGTAAGTTTCATAACATTTTGTTTTTGGATTACTGGTTGGACAAAACAAGTCATTTGAAGATGGACCCTGGGGAACAGGAAATTGTGATTGTTGAAATAACTGTTTGTTGTAGCCCCACCAGACATATTGACATCCAAGAAGTCAGAAATCATATTCTAGTTACTACATGAACAAAACATAATAACCATGAAGCCAGGTTCGAGAAAAGCAGCACCCAACATTATGTAACATCATAATACAGACAGCCGCATTCATACATCAGGTGAGGCCAAAAGTTTTTCAATCTTTGCAACAAACCGCTTTCGGCTAGTGTCCAGGATGTTGATGCCGCTCTTCTGGAAGTCATATCCAACTCTCTTCAGCTCCACTAGTCGCCCTAAAATGTTCTGTGTACTGTAATCTAAAACCTTTGGCTTTTCCACTATCTGCTTCATTGTTACTCCTCCATTCAGGAGACAGTCCAGTTTAGAGCTCAGTGTGTCTGGCCCAATGAACAGAACCATTGGATAGTTGATAATCAGGTTTTTTATATCAGCTTTCCGACAGCCAAGTGAAACCATCCTCTGCTGGAGAGTGTTAAAATTCTTCTTCAGGTACTTACAGGAAAGGTCCAGTATTTCTGCCCCAGGGCCTTGAAGAAGAGCAAGCAGTTCTGAATCACTCAGATTAAGAGAATCTCTCAGGATATCAATGTTTGTCTTGACTCTTTTAGTGCTTCGGATAAGAATGTAAAGGTTTCTGGATATTACAGCTTTAGCAAACTGCTCTGGATTCTCCCCACCAAGTTCGGCACAGATGTCTTCCAGAAGCTCCACCATCTGCTTGTTGAGCTCTAAACTGTTGGAGAATGTCCGTGGTGCTGTGGTCAGCAGCCGATGGAGGTCTTTGGTGTTTAGTCCCAGTGAGGTCAGATAAGCTATGTTTTTCTTCAAGTTCTCATTATCACTGGTCCGGAAGAAAGACTCGGGTGAACGATTTAGAATGCTCACGATTTCTTCATCAGTGTTGAAGATGTTTTTCCACAGCTTCCAGCGCTGTTCCAAGTGATTAATTGAGCGGGTGATAGCACGGGGATAACGGGATATGATGTCAGCGATTACTTTGCCACTGGCCCCTTTGCTTTTCAGAAACTGAGCGAGACCTTGCTCATTAGTGGTGACTTTACGGAACACTCCAGGCTGACGCTGATGTGCCTTCTTCACATCAACTCCCAGGAGATTCAGGTTCTGAAGGAGAGATTTATTCTCAGAGTTCTCAGGTGGCTCTGGTTCATTTGTACTTGTAGTAGTGCTGTAAAGACTCCTGGGAAAGGAGACTGATGCCAACTGTACTGGAAGGAGCCGAAAGCGGCACTGCAATATCACTGATCGATGGAGGCTGAGGAGAGCCCACACTCCAGGCACTGCTGCCATCTTCAATGAGGAGGGTAACATCACTGCCAGTTTAAGTAGACCTAAAAGGAGGAAAATAAACACATTCAGCTGAATATTGATGTAGTCAAAGAGGCAAAACTCAAGTCATAGCTACTGGTCATAGCAGTGCTCACCTGCATAATGTTTTTAATAGCTAACTGACAGATAATAGTGAGGTCTATCTTTGATTTACACTAGCTATAATTTAATGTTGCTGTGGTGTAATTAGTACTCACACTCTCACACAGCAAGTATCATCAGTACATTGAGCTTAAAGTATCAAAAATTTAAGTACTGAAAATGCAGATTGGCCCCTGTCACAGTGTTGATGCACAAACATGTCTGCAGCATTTCAATGTTGTGACTGGTTTATGGCCATTAAGGCTAGTTTTACCTACCAACAACACCATATTTACATACATACATCATATTTCATTTGTTGATCAGATTTTGTATGTAAAGTTAAATTCAAAATCTGCAGGATAACTCGTGATAATAACTCATAATAAAGTGTAATTTTTCCATGTGAATTTAGTCTGTCCAACCATCATCTCTGAGTTTACGTTAAGTGTGAGACATTACACCTGACGCAGGGACACGTAATACTTTTATTTACAAGCTAACATGTATATGACCATTAATAAAAGTTATTTATTACATACAACACGACTGACATCTACGTGAAATCTGTCGGTGACGTAGGTCTCAGATAAGTTTATCGCTAACGTTACTTATCAACGGTTGAGAAACTGTATTCGCCTCCATATAACTGAAGGTAAAATGCCGGGTGTTGTGTCGAAGTATGTTTCCCCATCGATATGCATTTCCCTCTACCGAAACCTTACCCAAACCCTTAGCGCTACCCCTAACCACGCGCTACACATTAACTGAAGAGAAACATTATTCGACAAGGGAACACATGTCGATACAACACCGGCAAACCAAACTGCTTCAGCGTTTATCCTGTGAAATTAAACACCAATTTATCAATACCACAGCCCTTAGTATTCTTCTAGAAATGAAATAAAACACATACTTTCATACATTTGGTTTCTCTCGGCCACCAGCACGCTACTGAGACGATAGACGGTCCTCTTCCCCAAATCAAAGCGGAAACGTTAAACTTCAGAAACTCTCGCGAGATTTGTTGTATGAGGGGAAAATAGTGCCATCTAGCGTTTGGGAGTTAAAATGAATTCTCTGCTCAGTTTAAACCACTAGATGGAAGCAAATTACGCAGTGTCTTTTACCTGTCAAAGGATCCACTCATATTTTAAAGTAACCATAAATTAAAGATATGATCACACATTATTCGAAAGAAGACTTTTCACACTGGTAACAATAATATAATTTCCATTAAGCAAGTACTGTGAGGAGTACAGCCCAGTAATGGTGGCAGGGCCATAAGCAGGATTTTATATTTTATGATGATTTTATTATGTCCCTTATTTTATTAAGTTAATTAAGTTTTCAAAAACATTTTCTGTACTTTCTATCTGCACAATTTATGGTATAAATGTTCAATGTGATCTCATAACAGTGCCCAAAATGAAAAAAAAAAATTCATCTTAAACACTTGAGTCAGCTTTCTAAATCCACCATTCATCATTTGTGAACTCCTCCTAAGGTCGTTAAAACTCACAGGAACAATGTAAAAGACATTGCCCCTGTGTTCTCAGTGGAGACGACCCTGAGTATTTGTATTACTGTTATGCACAGACTGTACACGCTAAGTAAGTATTCAGTCTCTTACAAAGCCATGCAAAGAGAGCAGTGTGATTTTCCATTCCATTCACAGCTATGTTATGATTTCTGGCAAGCTCAGTGTTTTCAGTATAATCATAAAAATAAATTGTGGAGTAGAATATTTAATGAAAGATATAGGCATTAATACTTAATGGGCACCAGACATACAGTTGACGCTCTTGTATACCCCTGAGGTACAAGAGAGCGTTTGCCATGTGTGGTGGCTCACAGCTCAGCACTGAAATGCCCACTGACCCATTGCCTCTCTTTACTGATGAGTCCCACCACTTATGAATATTTTAATGCAGCTCAGTGATATCTTCATTATGCAAATTAGTTTTCATCCTGCCACTGTGAGACTGGAGTGAGCGTGGTGTTTTAGCCAAAAGTGTTTCCTCCATGACATGGTCTCCATTTTTATTATTTTTTTTCTCAGTCATTAACAGGGCACAGTGTATTATTCATTACAACACACACAGTTCCACTTGTACCCAGCACTTGTCCCTGTATTTGCATATTGATGTGATAGCGAGTAACCCTCATGGCCTGTGATTATTCCTATTCCAGCCTTCTTTCAGTGCTAAGAAAAGTTATGAGGCAAATGGAAGACACAAGAAGGAAGGCTTAATTTCATCCCACACTCAGTTCATACTTGTTATATATGTTGCACATTATAGCGGCCTACTGGTGCCTGCATGGCCACAACTGACACTCAGCTGCTAGTTTATTATGTACACCCAACCACATTGCAGTCTGATACTGCTAGTTAATTTGTTTTTATTGGCATGTCATGTCAAAATGGCATGACACTTGAGCAATGCAATGCAAAAGAAATAGAATACTGCAGGGCTGCATCTAAGGGCATAGGTTTAGTTTCAACTCATAGGGGGACCCATGAAACCAGGGGTTCAAGGGTCCAATGCCAGAAAAATTTGAGCATCAAACACTTAATCTCCTGCATTCTGGGGAGTTTTATGTACCAATTTCTGCCTTTTCTGCATTAGTTTATGGTGTAATTTTCTTTAGTGTGACTGTTTATACCTCTTTTCTTTGTGAAAAGTATTTAAGATGGATGCTGATTCAGTTTGATACAGTTCAGTGTTTCTTTTATTTACTCACTACATCTATGGTGTCTTTATTCTGATTAGACTGGATTATTTTTGGTAAAATGTTCTTAATAATAATAATAATAATAATAATAATAATAATAATGGCTGAGTGTCTCTCCCTAACATCAGCCATGTTCTCTTAAAAAGTAGGGGTATTGTATTGTTATCTTCCCATTCATCTTTGCTCAGCTAATTCCATTTTAATTTCAGTGTGCCTATTTTTTCCTTCCCTCTGAACCTCTTGGCAGTGTTAAGTGAATTGCTGTGTTTCTTCATGCATGATTGTGCCTGCTGTTGTGTTTTTAATATTAAATGGAATTCTGTCCTGATCCATTTGTTGTGGTCTACTTGGTAAAGTTGCTTGGGTAACTGCTGACACAGTACCCCTTCAGTGAATCAATAATTTAGAAACTGCAGAAACTTTCAAACGCCGGTTTGTGGTCTTGTAGACGCTGTTGCACACACAGCAAGTGTTAACAGGTAGGACCACATAGGTAAGAATGTCCAAAAGACGATGGGTGGAATTCAAAATCTGCCAGACCATCAGCTGCTCAGCTCCCGTCAGCCGAAGACACAGAGCGTCCTCTCCTGCTGCTGCTGGTAGGTTTTAAATATTTCTAACAGGCAGGAGAAACTTTGACATTCTGATAACTTATGTGAAACCTGCAGGTTTTCTATGAAAAACTAATATATTCTGAATCATTTTGACTGTGGTCTACAAGATTAATTTAAGGATGTTTTAACATTAACCTTTGTTTAGTTCCCACCAGGACTAAAGCTCAACTTTTGGACAAAACTTGCACTGACAAAAATATACATACATTACACAGCTGCATATTTGTTTGGACTCAAGATCTTAAATTTGTCTGTTTTTAGTTGGGATTTGAATCACCAGAGGCCTAATGATGATGATGGATGTTTTACAATAAACTGAGTGTTGCGATAACGATATATTGCGAATTATAACCTTTCTTCAATTGCAAATTATGTCAAAAAAGGAAAACTTTGTCAAAATCGTTTTTAATCTAGTACAATTAAGTTTTCAATGTTCACACTTCAGTCATTTTTATTGCAGCAAAATGCATCTAGTTGACTGAAAAGCAACTGAGCTAGCCAAAAGATTTATTTGTATTTGCAATAATAATAATCAATATATTTTTTTAAAAAATCAACACTTAGGATTTGCGTATTGATTCAATATTGTCATATAAAATATTGCAATACTTTGCTATATCAATTTTTTCCCCTACCCCTATGTTTTGGGGGGAAAAGGGGCACTAGCTTCATCAGTATCTCTCCACCAGAATAATAAACCTTGCAACGTGGAAATAGACAGACAATTTAATCACACAAAGAAAATGACAAATATAATAGTAAATATATAGATAAAGAAATAAATAAGTTCAACAATCTGTTAATTTTCCAAATATTTTTGGGTGGTTAAACAGTCCTGCAGGGGGGAAACAGGAATCAAACAAAGGAAAACAAGCTCAGCATTATGAAAATCATGTCCACAGACCTGAACATCACTCGATCCAGACCTCTGAGTTGCAACTCATGCAGAAGAATGAATGAATGAAAGGACAGTTCAGACAGTCAGGATATTTTATCACTTCTGTAGTGCATATGCTGAATGTCTGCAGAACAGATGCTGTTCTATAACAAATTATATTGATGTATTTGTTAGACTTAAAATAGATTTCACATGAAGTCTGTCCATAAGTTAAATACTGGACATCGTGTCCTTTATCTCCTCCATCCGTCCTCGAAACTGATGCCAGTCTCTCATGTTACCTGCTGTCCCATTCAGCCAAGGAAGCTCAAATGTTTCCTTTTCAAATGAGTAGGCTGTATGTCACTGTTGTCTAAGATGTGCTTAGAATAGCCCAATCAAGTGCTGTGCTGTAAAATGTGAGTTGGTGGCCAAAGTCTTTATTAGGAAAAAAAAACACCGCTTTGAGATGAAAATATCTGGTGTTAAAAAAGAAACCTCTCAACTGGGACAGCTCTGGCAACCTTTCCTTGCGTTACCATAGAAACTGAGCAGACGTTTTAAGCAGGATTCAGACTGAATTTTAAACAGTGGAATTTATGACAATGTGCATATCATCAGATATGTTTATTATATCATCAATGATTATCACCAAATAAGGTGCATTAACGCATTTAAGGATTCTGTTGTGTCTGTAGTGGCTCTACAAATTCAGATTTTCCTGCAAACCTCAGAGATCATGGGAGACGAAAGTAAATACATACATTTACTTCAAGTTGGTATCTATACTTGAATAACATGTTGAGGTACATGTAGGCCTACCTCTATTTGACTCCACTTTATACTCCAGAGAGATATATTGTTTTATGCTGTGAATTACTTATTTATCCACTACATATTTGTCAGCTACAGTTACTTTATAAGTTGAGATTTTACATACAAAATCATGTGCTGTTCTCTATTGGTTTGTTGTAAACAGTAGCTATATCAAGTGGTTAAATTAACCTCTCCCTGACTACATTAATATGCAGCTTATATGTTGATGCATCAGTAACAGGCCTAGTATTCCAGTTATATGTGTCAAATATAAGGTGAAGCAGGTCATTTTGGACATTTTTGGCAAAACCACCTACGACTCTAAAGACTACCTTAAGTGCTACTTTTAGAGCTTGTTATATATCTCTGCTATACTTCTATAAAGAAAATATGTTGCCAGTTGAATTACTTCAAACCCATAAAGAACCAATACCTCACACTGATGACATGTTCAGGTAAAATTGGACAGTCATGTTTGTTTTTCAGTGGTTAAATCTATTCATCTATCAGTTCAGCTATTCTTTTTCTACATCGTCAGTCCCAGCCAGCATTTGTATGTGGGGCCCATAGTAAATGTGATGAAAAATGGACCCTGGCCAATAGCCCACAAGTGGGTTTACCCAAGTGCGTATGAGCCCATAATGGTCATTTTTTCTAGGGCCACTAGGGTAAACCCATCCATGTGGGCAACTGGCCAATATAAGGCCAATTTTTTCACCCATTTACTACCCCCATGGGCCCTACATACAATATTAGGTGCCATATTGTTTACAATGAAAGTGTGTGGGTGCTTGCACGTGTGTAGCTAATTCTGGATCTTTGTGGCTGACATGGACTCACTGCATCATCTTTAATATTTTTAAGAGACAAAAATACAAAAAAAAACATATTTATGTTGCCTGATATTACAGTGTGGCACTAAAATGGAGCAAGTCATGAATTTATGGCGCCTGGTAGCCTAAAATATGCTGGTTTCACTTCAGTTAAATGCCCCATTTTATTTTAATTTTGTCTCAATTTACCTGAATGTATTAAGTACTCATTCAAAACCATTTTCCACAAGTAAATTGTGAAAACATTTTGATCACAAGTCAAACATATAATAGAATGCAACATCCCACAACCAGTTTTGTTGTTATATGCACAACATATATGCTTTAGCTGCAGTGCTCTTATCATGAAAATGAAAAAAAAAATCAACATGCCACTGGCTTACATTGGAAGATCTGGGACCTGTGTTTTATTGTATCTTTGCTCTGCCCATACTACTTTATCTCAGGCCCGTTGAACTGATTGTTCAATGTAAAGCACATTTGTTGCAGCAGTGCAATAACATGTGATGATTGGCTGCTAATAAAGAGCGATCCCAAGGTGCAAAACCTTATTCGTCCCATTTTACCTGATGTCTCAATGACCTGCTTCACCCTAACACTCTGAACACTGATACATACTTTTACTTTTGATACTTTAAGTACACTGTGTTGGTAATATCTACGTACTTTTACTTGAGTAAAAAAATAAATGCAGGGCTTTTGCTTGTAATCGAGTACTTTCATGTTTTATTATTACTACTTTTACATAGGTAAAATCTCTAATGATCTCTCCTACCACTGTTCAAAACTGTAGTGCTAAGTGGTAAAGATTGTTATTTAAAGTATTTACGACATTTGTGACAGCTCGTGAAGGCAACACTAGCGGAATGCCAGGGGGCGTGGCCACAAAGGCACCTACACGACGTCATCATAGTTGGGTCTCATGTTTACGTGGAAAACATGGCGGCGGACTACCAACAAGGAGACAGCAGCTAGTAACTGCGACTGGCAGCGCGCCGGGAGCTCAACGACAGATATATTTAACCGTTAGTTTTTAGATTTGTCTCGCTGATATTTCGCATGAAGCAGTTTCCCTCTTGTTTCAGCCACAGGGACCGCGGTGATGGAAGACGAGGAGAGGCAAAAGAAGCTGGAGGCCGGCAAAGCAAAGGTAGGATTCTCAGTTTTTGGTATTAGCATAACTCACTAACACTGCTGTCTCTGCTGTAAAGCAGTACCGTAATGTTGTGGTCAACTTATTTTCTCACGGCCGAGTCTGTCAGCTGTTTTTCGGTCCCCCCTCCCCTTCTTATCCCCCCTCAGCTGTCAGTCCCAGAAAACATGCGCCCTGCTCCCACAGCCGGGGTGTTAGCATAGCCACTGCTAGCCCCAGACTCCTTTGTCATGCTGCATGTCAAACCCCACTATGTTTATTTTTACTCTATGAAACTAGCGTGTAAAAAGTGTCCACGCATTGCTTACTTAATCACCCGAGAGTAAAGCCGTCACATCGTTATCAAAGGCTTATAAACGCCACCTGAAGTGAGGCTGACAGGCTGGTGTAACAGGATTTACAGGACATATCCCCACTAGCTAGAGCAAACACTGCCCCACATGCCAAACGTGTGTGCTAAATTGGCTTTATCAATCACCAGCATCAACATCTAGGTCAGGACAACCCCCCACCCGTCCAGCAACTGATGTAAAACAATGTTGCTCTAACAAGAAAATGCTGCATTTAATTTTGCCCTGTAGACCTGGATTGATGCCCATGCCATCTTCTATACTTAAAGCACAAAATTTGCATTTTACATTATAAATTGCAATGATGTAAATGATAAACTGCCCTGAATGAGCTATGCTGACTCACTGCTCGTAGCTTTGACTGGTGAGGTCCTGCATGACCTTGCAGCAGCTCTGGCATTGATAATTGTATGTCCAAACATTCTGGATGTGAACTCTGTAAAAGTTAGGGAGATCTTAATGAGATGTAATGGTCTGAACGGGCATAAAATGGATAATGTAGGCTAGGTATCATATGTAAATAACGTGGCTAATTGGAGCATATGTGCAACACAGAGGGGAATTAAACACAAAAAATGTTGTCTATGAGTGCAACTATTTAGTGATAGGCTCAACCTTGATGGTCTCATCTCAGCACAACAGTCACAAATAGTTTTTCATCACTATCATTCACACGTCACTCACTATTATTGCAGTTTTTGTCCAGCTGTGATTCTCTATAAACCCCGTACATTTACAAAAAGTTAGCATTAAGAATAAGAATGATTTCTGTTGGGCAGACTTGAAACAGTGCAACACTCTGAGTGCTTTCCACGCTCGCTCTGCAGAGAAACATCTACGCTATTTGGTGTCTCTTTCGGTTACACGTTTCACACTGCAGCTGGTGATCTGGCTTTTAGGTTATCACAGCGGGAGAGACCACGAGAAAGACCATCTCCGTGGTTATGGCTTTGGCATTTTTTCGGTTTATAAAAGGCCTCTCTGTGCTGCAGGAGGGGGTTGCTGTTTTTCTTTCCACACAGTACCATGTCACCATGCCCTCACATGCAGGGGAGAAACTTCACAAGATATTTCACTGAATAACACATTTATAATAGTAAGCACTGCAGTGAGGATATCTAGGACATTTTTTATTTGTTCTAATAGCCTCCCAAAGTCAGACTGGATTTTGCAAGCTTAAATTGAGTCCAAGCTGAGTTGTGTCAGAGTCAATCAGCAAAGTATGGGGAGCGCTCAGATGATGACATGACCTAGTGTTTGTCTAGACCTCCAAACCTTAAGGGAAACATTTTTGATAGGTGTTTTAGATATAAAGTAAATACATAGTTTGCACCTGTGTGGCTGCCTCAGATATATTTTGGAAGTATGACATTATCAGGACAGCCGCTGTGATTTGCCAATTTGAAAATCAGAAGCAAGGACAACTGATAGTGACTTCATAACGCGTTTCTTGAATCAGGTAGCATGTCTGAGTGAAAGGAGAACTGTCGTTTCTCTATTGTACAGACTGCTGGGAATGATGTCCATCCCGAGCAAGTGCCTATTGAGTCATATCAGACAATGAGTAGAAGTGTTAATTGTGGGCTGGTGTTGCCAGGCTATTGTTCCAAGCCATTAGCGGCAGATGCATTGTTGCTTTCACTTTTAGCTGTGTGGCACCATATTGATAAGTGCATTACCGGCATAATGGAGTTACTCGTGCAAGACTTGAAGCTCAGTTCTCCAATTACATGGCAGAGAGGGCTTGAGTGAGACATCACGGTGATAATCTCAAGATGGTGGAAAGATCTTTGTGTAATGGCAAAGAAACTCCCAGACTCAGATATGGTATCTTTTACAGTCACCAGTGGGGAAGTCTGTGGCTTTATCTCGTATCACTTTTAGGTGCAAACCCAGACTCTGCAGATGTCTCAATAAGGAAAATCATCTTACAGTGACACGGTGTAGTTCAGTGCAGTTACATTTTATCAATTGAAACATAAAAAAGAGATCATTTATCTAAATAGTTGTTGCCAGTAAAGGTTGAAATGTTTACTGTCATAGGTGTGTCTCACCACTGAATGAAATAAGCTTTATAATATTGATTTTCCCTTTTACTTTTTTATATATCTTTTTGTCTGTAGAGCATTCTCAGTCTGTCCATTAGTTTGTCACACACAGTATATTGAACAGCATGGATTTTTTAAATTTCAAATTCCACTTCAGGGAGCACCGTGCCTTTTGCTGTTCCAGCATTTTCAGAATCATACAGATGGGCTGAGGGGCAGGGCACTGCAGTGTTTTTTAATATGGCCTATGGGACGCACGCATCACTCATAAAGGACGCCTCGCTTATTTGTTTCTCTGCTTCTCTGATGTGCCTGCTGGTCACTGATTAAAATATGTTGGTAACTTTACCAGCCTCTGCCATTATGATTGGTGGGCTTTATTGACAGGTTGTAAAGCTTGGTATCATTTCACAAAATGAGGCATCAGGGCAGTGAATATCTGATGCACAATGTCATAGATTTATATATCATTGCTTGCTTGTGATTGTGATGCTAAAAAGATATACATGTGTGTTTCCATCCCCCTGTTTTTATGCTCATTTTCAATTTGTGCATAAAAAAAAAATCTGAGTGTAGACACTGATAATTTGGGAAAGAAAACCCCTCAAAATATTGCAAAAAAGTTTTTACGATTAGGAGAGGTGCATGAACAAAAGTAAAATGCCAGAAAGTGCAATGGAAACCAACTTGGTGAATTGATAATGCACATGAAGCATGTGACTTAAATGTTCACTGAAGAGACAAAAACATCAGCTCTCTGTGGAGCAGTGAGGAGACTGGACCCTTCCTCACATTGATACATGAAATAAACATATAAACAATATCTCCAATATGGGTATATTATGGCTCTTTTAATGACCTCGTTTCGTTGTGTCCTCTTCTTCTGCAGTGGTTTAATGAAACTGACTGGAGAATATGCTCCATCAGCTGTTTATCTCCATGAACCAACATCTTCTTTTGCAGATTTTCTAAAAACTCTGTTAAAATGTGTGCTACATTTGCATGAAAACCTGGCTATGGTCATTATTTCCTAACCAAAAAAACAATATATTAACTTTAAAAAAAAGTTTTTATAGCAGCAGTCCAAATTAGAGCGACCATTTGCCAAACCATGTATGACGCAGCAAGTTTAATAGTGAGACAACTGCAAGTAGGTTGCCTTGGAGCTCAAATAGCCTAAAGGTCAGTGTCACTGTCAGGCAGCATTGGAGGATTTGAGGACAGCAAAGGTACAAGTTGATCTACTTAGCCAAGGCCTGAATGGTTAATCCTTTATGTGCCTAATCATGTACGTGCCCCGTTCAGCTCTATATGATGAATAGACTTTGACCACCATGGCTTATTCGGCTTATTAATTGGCTTAATTGACACTGGAGGGTTTTACTTTTTGGCTGCAGTCTTTCTCATCACTGTATGTTTGAATGTGTAGCATTGAATGCCTTTGAAGTGTGTGTAATGTCATGCTGTACGGCTTGAGAAGGGATTGCCAGGTGATTAATTGAATGTGATAGTGTAACAGCTGTCCAGTTTTAATTAGCTACAACTTGGAGGAAGATGACTGAACCTAACTTTCTGTGCAGGTCTGGAAACTTTTGTGAAGACTGAAAAGAGTCTTTGCCCGTCTTTTGAAATGTATAAAATGTTTTTTTCACTTGAAGCATCTTGCAGAAAAGTTCCAGAAGCTTGCTGGTTTCGCTGTCAGAATGAGACGAAAGGTCTTCAGTTAGGAGCAAGTATCTCTGCGCCCGAAATAATTCATCACAGCTTTAGTGTGATATATGTTGGGACGTATTCACACAAGACTGCTTTTTGTAGTGTTGCAGTCTCTCAGTTCGAGTTGTTTGGTCACGCACTACAGTGTTTATAACAATCTTTTTTTGCACCAAATAAAAATCCTGAAAGTGTTAAGTCACAAGTGTCTTCCATATGAACTGTGCCTTGAACGAACTACAGAAAACAACACCAAGATGTTTTGGTGTATAAGGACCAAAAAAGCCCAACACTGATTTCTCAGGAGAATATGGTGAGGACATGCAACAATAGTCCTATAGGCTAGTTTCAAACCCAGGACATTGCACGCATGTCATTGTGACCTATGTAAATTTTTTTGTGCGTCATTGGAGTAGCAGCCATTTTCCTTTTGCTTGCTGCCCACTGTTTTTTTGTTTTTTTTTTTGGAGCGAGGGAGGCTGTAGCAGTTGTCATTAGGAGGATGATGCTGCATGAGCGTCTCATTCTCAGTTGAGATTATAAGGATGCTTGACTTTGATGACGGCTTAGATTTGTTGAATGCAAAGGCACGTAGAGCAGGGAAAAATAAGTATCACTTGAGAGTGACTTGTTGGTCCGCAGAACCAAATTTCATTGTTCACTGATAATATGTGCCTGCTGAGAATCAGAATAAACCTCTGTAATGACTTTGTGCTTGGCACTGAGAGCAGTCTTTGCTGTGTGAAGCGAATCAGGAGCAGGGCAGGAGTAGTTAAGAATTCATCAGAGGTTTATAGCTCTGTAAGATGCATATGCACACAAATTATAGTCAGTTCCAGCCTCTGTGTTTGAACGTTTCACAACGAAGCTCCACCCGCTGCACTCGTTATGATGAAGCAGGTGGGGCAGAGGTGGCTTCAGTTGCTGTTGCTTTGTTTTCAGGGCGATTAGCTTTTGTTGCTAACTGGAATGTGTGCATGAAGCGCAGGATTTTTGCCCTCCAGCAGCTGGCTGTTGACTCACAATGTTGCTGCCTGGCAGTCTCATTGACACATGACATCGGAGGCTGTGAGCTTCCCCCCCTCTGACGTCCACTGCACTGCTATATTTCAGTGTTGCTTTGGTATTTTTTAGCAGTGTGTGTCTCAAAGACATTGAGCAAACTCTTTTGTAAATGATACATGTAAACTGTACATTAAACATCACATGTAATCCTTCTTAATATGTGGGAAAGGGTTTTAAACAAACGTGTGCATTCAGCATGTTTTTTTTTCCCTTGGGGCAGGGACGTTATGCTCTTCTGAAAGAAGCTGTAGTTATTGGTCAGCTGCGTTCCTTGTGTTTCGTCATGCATCACACAAAGCAGTCATATGTATTTTTTCTGTTTAAATAATGTTTCCTCATGTATTGATTTTTGCACTTCTAGGTGCAACCATTGCTGTGATGATGATTTACAGGTGACTTGTAGTTAAAGCCTGCAGAACAAGGTGGTAGTTATCCAGAGGGTAGTCTTGCATGTAGGGCTGCTCGATTATGCAAAAATCTCAATCACAGTTACTTTGGTCAGTGTTGAGATTACGATAATTTAACCCGAGCACTCATTGACCAATGGTTCTCTTTGCGGCATCTTGTTTGGCCAGAGCCAGCCGGCTTTGGCCAAACATGCCAAAGCCTGGCTGAGAGTCAGTTTAGACTTATAGGGAGGGGCAAAAGTGCACCATTATAAAGGACAGGAGTGTGCTGGCTTCATAACACAGGACAAAATGTTAAAACAATTTTATCTCAGTTATCTTTTTTTATAAGCTAAAATCGTAATTGAAAATAGAATTTGATTAATTGCCCAGCCCTACTTGAATGTACTATGTAAGTGGTAAAAATGGGTAACTGATTTGTATTGTGGATATTGATATATCTATGGTACATTTCCTAGTAAATCACTTGATAAACTGTTCATGGATGAAATAACCACAGAATAATGTTTGTTTTGGCTAAGTCATCCCATACAATTCCTGACAAATGAAAAATCTTTTCATAAATCAATTCTGATTAACTCCAACTTTGCTTACGATGGTTAACAGACTAACTTATAAAGGGATACACACCTCAGACATAATAGCAAAATCTCTTGTGGTAGGCAAATTTACATCATCTCATAATATGTATCATGTGTAGGGCTGCACGATATGTTGCCGTTATTTTACCAGAGATTGTGATTGTCATATGAGTCGTGATTTTAGTCAGAATGGTAATTTTCCATTTCATTTTCACTGGAAAAAACAAAACAAAAAAACAACGATGCTGCGATCTGCACCAATTAAGCATGTATTCTTACGTCTGGAATATGATTTTTAGGCCAGGGCATCTATTTAGCACTAGAATGCTTCATTTATAATTGTATGTTGTGGCACATATAGCCTTTATCCAAAAGTTGCAGCTCCTGCGATTTGGATATTGCACTAGGCCATATACTTGCAATTTCGATATTTCACTTAATTGTGCAGCCCTAATCATGTTATCACCAACCTTACTGCAGTGTTTTTTGTGTAATGTCCTCAAACTGAAACTTATCCTGCTGAAAAACACATTTTATTTGTGTTTGCACAAAGTTACATAAGTAAAGTAGTTTGACACATCAGAACAAATCAAAGACATTATACCAACACACATCAGTACTCAACCTGACTATCAAAACATTGATTTTGTAGCTTTCAGTAACACGAGATTATAATTGCAATTTATCTTATTTTATCATCTGAAAAACATCCAGCACAGTTTACTGGATGTTGTTGTTGATGCTGTTTGTCAGCTACTACTAGAAATGGATAAAAAAAAAAAGCCTGTGGTAAAAAATATGCCTGTGTAAATGTTTTCAGACAGCAGATGGTGATACACCTACGTAGTCTCTTTTCCCAGATGGTGATACAGCTACACGGGCTCCAGCACTCCATATGTTCTGCCAATGCTCTGCTCTGTGCGGCCAAATAGGGCAGCCTGATATGATAAGCAGCTCAACGAAAGGCCGGGTTTCCCGAGACTTCTCCAAAACTCAGGGTGCTTTCTGCTGGCAGATCGCACACTACTGCTACTAGTGTGCTCCTCTGATTGAGTCAGAATTAAAGGACAGCCGTGTTGTTTTCAGAGCCTCTCTGTCGTTGTAATCACCAGATTCTTCATCTGTAACACTGGCACTCATTCATATCTCGTGCCTGGTGTTTAATGGATGAAGCTCCTGTGGAAGTACAGATAGACGGGTATATTTAGATGAGGGGTGGGGCGTGTGTGGAGGTGCAGAGGCACACATCAGAAGCCCTTTGAGCTTTTAAGCTGTGTGTTGTAGGTGGGAGACGTGACCACGACGCCCACTCTCAGCTCTGTCGTGTCGGCCTTGAACCTTTTGTGCAGCATCACTGAACCAGGCGTGTCGAAAAGTGCCTACTTTTGTGCTGACTTTGCTGCTGCAGGAGCGTGGTTTGTAGGAGAGGTGCTTAAAATCAGTGCTGCAAATAGAGCTGCAATGAGTAACTTTATTTGATCAACAAAAAAATGAATCGAGTAATCTTTTTATTCTCTTTTTTTTTTTTGAGTAAAAATGACAAGTACAGTACTGTCTAATGTCAGAACCCCAAAGAACGAAACAAAAATGCTGGTATTGTTGTCAAACAATAATGCCAAACCTATATGATAATTTGCATTTAGGGTTATGTTTTCTGTCATAGGGTACATTTCCTGGACAGGTGAGCTTGCATTAGCTCGGTGTCCTTGGCAACAGTCTGTCTATATCTACAGCAATCCATTCAACACCTGTGCTGTGACACCTGCAGCCCCTGCTGTCTGCCCTGCTCAGCTGACTCTGCTGTCTATTTGCTGTCACCACTTGCTCATACATAATACACATCAGTAGTAGTACTGACCAGGCTGTGTAATTAGTGTCATCATTTCCCTGGGGATGATTAATGTAAAATACTCCTACTGCTTTTGTTTACAGTATAAAATTGGTCTATATGTGTGTCAAAGAAGGAGAGGGAGAATGAAGGTTATTGTGTTGTGTAGTCTGTGTTGCTGTCACCTCACAGCAAGAGGGTTTAAGGTCCGAACCCGGGCAAAAACATGCAAGTGAGGTCAATTGTTGATGCTAAATTTGGTAGGTGTTCAGCGTGGTTATTTGTCTCCATGTGTCAGCCTTGTAATAGTCTGGCAAATTGTCCAGGGTTGAGACAGACCAAGCATCATGATGCTGTTGTGAAGATGAGGGAAGATTTATATTAAGTCTTAATCTAAAAAAAGGTATGTAAATTAGCACAAGCGCTCCAGTTTCTCACATTGATATGACGTGGAGTAAGGCTCTCACAACCACAGAAAGTTATTTCAGTCATAGATCCATGAATATTCACAATTTAAACACAAAAAGATGTGTGGTGCTCAATAAAGCAAAGAATAACATTTTGAAAATGGTGAAGAAGATAACAAAAATGTTATCTGCTGTTCAGACAGATCGTTGACATAGTTTATAAATGTAATCCCTTTAGTAGGGATTAGCACCTGGCAGAGCAAGAGGCATGTGTTGGGTCATATGGACACAGGGAGGGAGGACTCGCTCGGAGCAGTGGGGAAGAAGCCTTTTTGGGAAACACAATGTTTCGCTTGAGTTTCACGAAACTGTGTAGACTCAGAGTAGGTTCATATGTTGTTTTATTTTTGTTAGATGTATAAACTCTTTGCTGTGTGAAAGGAGCTGGCTCTTACCCCAAAGTCTGAGAATTGGGGTCAGATAAACAGAGATCTGAATGGAAGCTTCGACTGGAAATGTAGAATGATGCTTTAATGGATGTTTGTTGTGTTTGCTAATGTTTTTTCTGTAACTTCCAAGGTCCACCATTGAGGCAGAAAATGTAATTTTCTATCTTTAACACTGCCTGTTTCCCTCTCTCCTCTTCAGCTGGCTGAGTACCGTCAGAGAAAAGCTCACGCGGACTCCCAGAAGAAACAGAAAAAGAAGAAGAAAAAGAAGCCAGGCGAGGAATCTGAGGGGGACTCGCAGGGAAGGGTGGAGGTCGAGCAGCCTGTGGGAGGAGAGGAGGTCTCAGGCGGAGCACGAGATGGATCACAAGAAGGAAATAAAGACCCACCCACCACAGAGTTCAGCTTCGCCAGGACGCTGCGGAGTGGAGAGACTGTCAAGCATGACCAGACCTACACCATAGAGGTACACACACTTACTCATAACAACTGTACAGTAGCAGCTACAGTCTATTCATTCTTTTTAATGCATAAGACTCTGACCAGGCGTCTGTTCCACTAAAGGTCATGTCAGAGCAGTTAATAACTATTTTCATTATTGACTGGCTTGCTGATTATTTTCTCTATTAATCACTGAATAGTTTAGTCTAAAAAATGTCAGAAAATACTGAAAAATGCTCATTGAAATGTCTTTAAGCTCAAGTTGACACATAAACCCAGATACTCAGTTTACTATCAACGAAAACCAGCAAATATTTGAGAAGCAGAAGCCATAAATTTATGTTGTTGCTGAAAAAATTCAGGAAGGATTTCTGGGTGTTGCCATGTTTAAGGTGATGTCAACAAAAGACTTTGTCTCCAATCGAAATTCAAAACTAGTTTGAACATGCCCATGTGTTTTGTCATCATTTTAAGTTTGTTGAGCAACAGAGAAAACAAATGAGTGTTTTTTTTTAAAATTACATTAACCAGAGTAAAATCCACATGCCCACTGGTTTAAAATATTCTAAAATACATCTTGTAAAACTAAGACGATGTTGCATATGCCACTTTATATTATAGAACTAACTAAAATTTGACTTCAATAATATCGTACACAACTTTTTTTAATGACACCTCACATTTTTATGACACCTCACATTATATTCATTCACATCTCCAGAATATCTCTTCAAAGATTAGTCTGTGGCAAATAATAATGTTTACTGTAACTGCTTTAAAACAGCATTCAGCACATTTATTTCAGTGATAAGTCACACAAAATTGCAGTATATAATGCTCATTATAATCATTATCAGTGTTTGTTTTCATTCAGTGATAGAGTTATTTTGGACATAGTTAAAGCAAATACTGCACAGATAATTGAAATATTATTGAAATCACAATATGGCCAAATGCATCATCCAAAGCAAAGGAGCTGTTTTGATAAGAGTAAGATGTGTCACAGCATACTATTATAAATGAAGTATTGTGGTGCTTCATAGATGCCCCACCCTACAAATCATGTTCCAGACATAAGGGAACATGTGTCTTTAGTACAGACCCCAGCTAAAATGACATCATCATCATTTTTTTGTTTATTTTTTTTTTCTATGAAAATGAAACTGGCCCAATAAAATCACAACTCCTATTGCAAAATCTGTCAGAAAAATCATAATACAATTTGGGATATCGAGCAGCCCTGTTTAAAGCCTTTTTAGATATCAGCACTCCTCAGAAAAGTGTTTATTCAATCTCTATTGCCACAGTCTGATTTTTATTACAGTCTGTCTGCTCCTTCTGCAACAGGAGAATCTTTAAACTCAAGACATTTTATGGCTTTAGTTTTTTTTTGTCATTAACATATACTTGTAAGAGCCAAAAGAGATGCATTTGTTGTTGTAGATCTGTGCGAAAATGATCATTGTTCCCTCCAGAGTTTTGTTTCTGATGTCTCCTTGAGTTTAATGAGCCAGCTGTCATGACAACCAGTCCGACTGGGAGCAAAGAGCACCTTTGAGTTACCTTACTTCCTCCAGATTTTTAGAATTAATTGTTCATTAAATGGAGTCCAGGTGAAGGTGTATGATATTATTGAGTCACACAGTTTAATCTGAATAAACATTAAAACATATCTACTTACTGAGACCTTCACGCTTAAGACAGGCAAGCAGAATAAACAATAGATTAATGACCACTTTGGTTTTAATGGGGCTGTTCTTTCAAAGAAAAGCCTATTTTCACTCTGGTACTAAAAAACCTTTACCTGAAGCCTTCCTAGAAAAATGAACAGTTCTCACTATTAAATCAAAACGCACATTCACCAAAATCTAACTAGTGAGACCCGTACATGTGGAAAAGAAATGTATCTTTGATTAAGTATCCTAAAGGTGGAGTTTGGACTTAGGTTTGGACTAATTGGTATTCGTGTTATTGTATCTCGAGATGTTTTGCTTGTTGGAGGCCGCTGACTAAATGATATGATTAAAGAGAGATCTGAAAGACTTAAGTAGATGATAAGAAGAACTTTTATGTTAATCCTCTAATTGTAACAGTTTACTTAACTATTGTGCTGCGTTACAAGTAGGCTACAACATTAGCACAATCAACTAGCCAAATGCTGGTAGAATGTGCAAGTGGCTTGCAGATTTGCTCACTTACCAGCCCAAAAAACGTGGTGATCCATTAAGTGGCTGGTAAAATTTGAACATTTACTAGCCATTCGACCAGTGGACAAAAAAAGTAGGCCTAAATTTGCACGCTGGACTCCTGGTTTTATACGTTGGTGCAATGATGCTTTGATTGTCATTCCTATTTTGCAGAGGATTAACTGATTTATTGTTGGGTGTGAATTTTATAAAATTCACAAACTTTTTAAAGTTTTGGTTTTGCTGGGGCTTCGGTTAAACTTTCAGCTGCTTAGTTCTTCCTTTGTATAATACATCACAGCCATATACCTTCATCAAGCATGCTGTTTGAAACTTAACAACAGAGGGATGAAAAATCAATGTTTGTGCATTCTACGAATTAATTTCATGTCCACACAAACCACTGCAGCCCTTGAAAACCAGGCTTGCTTGTTGAAATTCAAGAAATATTTAGTCAGTTCAGTGTTTGAAAGGATAATTGGTATTTGGTCTGTAAGCTTTACAAACATACATGACCTTCAACCTGCAACGAATTTCATTCATTAGTTTTAATAATGTTCCTGACGAATAAATATTGAGCAGAAAATCTGTTGAAGCAGTTTGAAAAACATGCACAGTCCTGGGGGCTCTTACACTTCTTTTTTTTCATCATTCGAGCCCTCTCAGTCTCTTTTATCGGCTCTGCGCAGCCACTTTTTCCCTGAACCCACTGTACATCTGATGCCCACAAAACTACTGGTTGCCATGGAAACAGACAATTGCCTTTAAACAGGTTGAGATGCGTTGGTCTGTGCGACCAATTCCTGTGGCCTTGCAACACTTTTTAGCAGACCTTAAGGTTGATTGAATGTATGAGTGTTTTGTTGCGCAGCGAGGTTTTTTTTTTACCTTGGGAACGACCCACAATCCTGTCTGTTACAAAAGGCTGTGGGACACACTGTACTCTCCTGCTGCACGGATGGAAGCTGTTATGTGTCACTAACAAATGAAACCGGTGACTGAGCCATACAGCGTGGTATGTGTGAATTATTTATGTGGATAAATTATGAAACCTCTTAAAGTTAAATGGTTAATACTCCCTCCCCGACTAAATGGTCATGAGGTCTAAGTCTCTTCAGAGGTTTTCTAGTGATGCTGCTTTCTGTGAGCAGGAAATGGTTGCTGTGGAAACAACAGCGTCAAAGTTTTTCATTCTCAAGTCTTTCACAATATAAGCAATTACAAATACGGAGTGGGTTAACTCATTGATGCCTCGAAGACATCGGCAGCTGCAGTTAAACTTTGCATCCATCTATGAGGTTGTAATAAAATGTTAACGTCACGTTACTTTGCAATTTTTCTTCTTTTTGCTCATCAGTTTGAGGTGATGTTCTGCAGTCAGTTGATGCAAAACCTGTCATTTCTCTCTCTTTCTGGACCCCGTACAGTTAAAATTGATGAGCCAGAAATTAACCCAAAAATAGACTTCAATAATGGTCGTCATTACTGGGAGTGGGAGTGAGAAAGGAGCTGCAAGACAGAAGTAGGTTAGGCCCATATTTTAATGCTACAGAAATAGGACATAAGGCAGGCATTATTTGAAATTGTAATGACTGAACATTTTATTTTAACCATTTTATATTTGATCGAAAACTTCTAGAGCTGTAACGACCCCTTTTTTGTTCCACAACAAAAGACAGAAAATTTACTGCAATTACACTTATTTAGCTGCTCACATGTTTGATGTCAGTGTGTCTGCAGGTCTTTAACAACCCTTGAAATGTCTTTTTGAAATTCAGTTGTAGGAATATAAGGCCTCAAAAATCATTAAATAGTCTTAATTTGTAGTTTGTGAGGTTTTAATTGCAACAAATATTTTATCTAATTTCATTTATCCATCTTTTATTTTATTTTTTAGTCAAAATAAGTCAAGCTCTTCTTAAAGAGCATAAAAGTCCACATTTCTGATTTACAAATCTTTGAACCTACCACTGAACGTAATAGTTTTTTTACTTTGTACCTGCAGCAGCCTGTTGGCAAAATTTAGATGAATCAACCTCACTTAAATAACCATATTCCTACATAAAACTTACCTCTGCACTAGTGCTGCAATGATTAATTGATTCATTAAGTAGTTGTCAGCTATTACATTTAATTGTAATTTATTTCCTTCTTTCTTTACTCCTCCATGACAGTACACAGTAAATCTTTGGGTTGTGGACAAACCAAGACATTTGAGTATGTCATCTGGGCTTTTTGAAAACACTGACAGACATTTTCTCTATTTTCTGACAATTTATAAACCAAACAATCAATCAATTAACCAAGAAAACAGTGAAAATAATCATTGTTTGTAGCTCTACTGAACCCACACATATCATATGGTGCTTCTGTCATGATTGAAAGCATATTTATTTTATATTCCGTTAGTTTCCTACACAAAGTATTTAGGGATGTCCCGATCCGACATTCGGATTGGTATCGGCAGCCGATATTAGCAAAAAAACGTGCATCGGATCGGACTGCGTGGAAAAATGCCGATCCAGTTTTTCATGGAATCCGATGCAGGTTTTCCGGCCAGCCCAGCGCTCTGCGATTCAAGCAGTCCATTCCAGTGATCCGCTCCATCACTTACTATCAATCCACCAGGCCAGTATGCAGACACACAGGAAACAGCAGCACCAGGCTGGCACTGACACTACTAAAATAACTGAAAAGGAAAGGCTGCATTGTTTGTTAAATGTCAACAATGTCTTATGGTGTTAATCTATTTTTTATTTATTAGGAGGGCAAAGCACAAGTGTGTGGAGTCTTGCTGCTATTTTAATATCAATGTTAGACATTTTAAAGATTTCTTGTGTTGATTTATTTTCTATTTATTAAGGGGCCAAAGCAGCCAAAGCAAACCAGCTATATTTTTTATTTAATGTTAATGTTCAAGTTTAAATTTTTTTTTTTTAACCCTGTTAACAATAAACAGGTCAGTTTCTCATACCAACTGTTGTGGATCATTCTAACTAACCCGATTAAGTAGTTGTTCTTGTAAGAGTAATATCGCTTGATCAAACCTTTTCTAACAGGACTGACAACAAAATAAGTGAATATGTATAATACACGCTTGGATCGGATTGGTATCGGTATCGGCCAAAACTCAAGGCTCTAATATCGGTATCGGATCGGAAGTGAAAAAGCTGGATCGGAACATCCCTAACGGTATTGAAGAATTTTCTTTATTCTCTCTGTTGCAGCCGGAGAGTGAAGTGTCCACTACTGCTGAAGATTATTCCTCAGAGGTGAGATGATCTTTCTGAAAATATTAACCATCATCTTTTGATTTTATGGTATCTCCAAATGTTTTTCACAAAGTTTACATGGATGCAACTTGCACACTGAAGCGTCTGTGCAGGGCTGCCAGTGTGGTTGTGTTCATGGTCACATCTGTGGCTTACTTCCTGTTTTTTAGGATCGTCCAGAGGATGTTCTGTGGATTTTGTGAAAGTTTTTCATAATTTACACCTTGTTAGCCAGGTGGTTTGTCGATTGTTTTTATTGGAAATGGCATTGGAGACCCGATAGAGAAGCAGAGGGAAGCACATCACTGTAGTCAGCCAGAACACATCCGCTGAGTCAGACTACTAAACAGGGAACTACACAACATCACATGTTAAAATCTTTCTTTGGTGGAGACTTTACTAAATGTCAACTGCAAACCTCACCACTCATTTTCAGGACAATGGGTGAAAGTCTTGGAGGCCATTATTCTTCGCCTGTTCTCAAACTGTGTCCCTAATATGCTCAGCTAGAATTTGTGCTACATGAATAAAGTTCTTATTAGTCAAATTAAAGACAATCGTGCTTGTAACAGTGGCACTACTAAAAACCAGTATCATCAAAAATTCTTCAAACTCTTGTTGCTGATTTTCTGCTGGTATGTTGCCTGATGTTACTACATGTTAAAACATTAAGAACATCTATTGTAAATGAAGGTATGACAAAGGACTTTCCAGGAGCGTAAGGACAAATTCAGTTTGCAGAATCAAGATCTCTTTAGATACTTACAGGGTAAAGATTATATTGCCAAAATGATAGGTTCAAAATGATGTTGCAAAGACAACCGGATCGATGTCCGTTTTCTTACAGAGCACAGCAACTACTGTATTTTGTTGTCCATAGTTACTTTGGTTGTTCCATCATGCTGCTAATAAGGATAGTAACTGCAAAGAACTTACACTGATACTGTAGCCGAGAGTTATGAGTTGCACCTATACTTATGAAGGTGATAAACTAACACTTTTGAGGGTCCCTAGTCTGAACCTGGATGGCAAAATCTTTATTGTGTCTCGCATTGTAATTGTCAGCTGTGGAAGTACAGGACAACAGGATACAGCGTTGAAAGTGGGGCCCCGTTTATTCCCATAAGAGATGCTCAGTGACGCAAGAAGCCAAAAACATTCAACTGCTGCGTTTAAAATTAGCAGGATGATTGATGCTGCTTCTGCATCATTTGGCACATAGAGCCACTACAGGTTTAGCGCTCTGCTAACTTAAAAGGGGATAAAATGATTTAATCTTGCCGCTCTTCTAGACTTTTCAACTGTTATCGGACCGAATACATCAAATCCTGACCCAAGCATTTTGCAGGTGTTGTGATGCTCCAAAAATGTATCCACTGATTTACACACATCACTTTCACCATTAAATCTATGAGAAAAAGTGTTTTTGGGCCCAATGGCATCACGAGGGCGTCAGAAGTTGTAATTCCATTGTTTGGCCACTATGGATATTGGCTTCAAACCTGGTGCACTTCCTGGGGGCCCGTCGACAGTGCCTTGCAGCTCCGCTCCTTCTGTTTCTACCTTTCCCGAGAAAAGCTCCAGTCATCATAGACACCGCTTCACTGTATACCAAAGGGAATTTAAATCCACTCAGAGCATCTCAACAAGCTGACAATACTTCTTGGTAGCCGGAGATAACAACTTATAGCTACTGGGGAAAACAGAAGCTCTATTGTCTTCCTGTTTGGTTACGCAGTGTTTTACTCACTTCCGTTGTGCCATAAATCAAGCCTTCATTTTTGCGGGAGATCGTACTTGGTGGCAGACAGAATTGCATAGTGACAGGAAGGCTTATAGGGAATCAGTCTAACTGCAGATGGTGTCATTGTTCTTTTGAGATTGTGAAGTTGACATCATAAACTATGTTGTTTTAGGACACTTTGGGAACAAAGGTAACAGGGCATGCACCTGATAAGGTGGCACCCCAGTCCCACAGGGTGTGATGTACCTTCACATACTCTACAGCCATTACATCGTGCAATCAGCATTTACTCATAATGATAAGTTAAAGCAAAGAAAAGACAAAGGAAATACCCAATAAAGAAAACACACTCTAATTTAAAATAAGATGGTAATCAGAGTAATGTGACGATCCCACATGAGAAATGGGAAGAGATATTTAGACAACATTAGAAAACAAGCTCTCCATCCTGGAGAGAATTTTGCTGGAAGGGTGTCATCGGTTATTTTTGTACTCCTGCCAAGATGAAATTTTATTCAAATCAGACTCGCTGTTGTAGATCCTGCAGGACCAAAGATGCAAATCATTTTCATATATTTTGGAGTTGTCTCTCTGTGGCTCTGTTGTGAATTAAAATTCATGGCCTCCTGGAAAATGTCCCCTTAACCAAAATCAATTTTAGTTTTGAACTAGAAGACAGGAAGAACTTGAATAGAGGAGAATGGATACATATTTCACCAAGAACCAAGAAGTAGCTGGAAAAGAAATATTGTGTTGAAGGTCGGATGGACTTTGTATACAATATTTATGTAGTGGAGAGAATAGCTTTTCATTTTAGTCCCCCGTTGTCTAGTCTATGTACGCATTCTGTGATCCATTTTTTAACTTCTTTTTTCTTTCATGCTTGAAAGGTCTTCATGTTCATGTAGTGTCAAATTTGTAAATGTGTTTTTTGTTTGTTCTGTCTTTAAAAATCAATTAAAAGAGAATTACGTCTAAATAAGGGAGACTTAAACTAAATTAAGAAAATCTAATCAGTATATGGATGATTTAATTATGATTTCAGTCCATACTGAAATGGACATTTAAGAACATTTGCTAAGAAATTGTTTCTACCCAGTGATAACTTCTGAAATTATGTAGACGTTTCCGTCACACCTACCAAATCTTCAATGTCTCACTGACAGCATTGTGAATTAACAGGTAAATGGGTGCCATGATGAGATGACAGAGAACCTAATGATGCCTTCAAAGGATTTTATCTGGGTACAGTAATCAGATCAAGCAGCTCTTTTGTCTCGGCTTTTGGCTCTGCTAGCAAACCCACTGGCTGCTGGACGTAACTCTCTGTTTGCTTTTACTTTAAGTCTTCTGCAAGATTTCCTGTAACCCACTAACCAAGCTTGTTTTATGTCGCACTTACTCCACTATATACTGACATACAGTACAGTTAAAAGCTGTACTTAAGGGAGAAGAAAAAAAATCTTTTGTTATAAATGAATATTTTGAAAGCACAAATGACTGTGGAGATGGAACAGGGCTTTGTGACATTTTAGAGGTGTAAATTATCTGTGAAAGCTGAAGGAGAAGCAGGTGAGTGATGGAAAAGAAGGGAGAGGACAGCGAGGAACAGAACAGAAGGGTGTTACACAAAAAGCCACTCTCAAACCATCAGTACAGTCCAGATAGATGGGGAGCAAAAACAGAGGTGGTTAAAGTGACATGCCGACTGCCTCATTGCTTACAGTGAGATGTTTAAAAAAAGGACTGGTTCATTAACAAAGTCACAACTGATCTATAGGACTAAGTATTGTTATGATATATTTGTTGTACCATAATTTAAATTAGATATTTTATAAATTAAATTATTGACATTTTTGTTATTCCTTTGTCTGGGGTGAAACCTAGTAATTATTTTCCAAATGATCTGCCTCCTACAACAATGCGACTAGGGCTGCAACTAACAGTTATTTTCATTTAAGGTTAATCTGGCCATTTTATTCTGGATTAATATTTATGCCTCTGATAGCTGAGTCCATGTTTTCAAGTTGTCCATCCGTCCTATTCTTGTGAGCGTGATATCTCAAGAACGCCTGGAGAGAATTTCTTAAAATTAGGCACAGATGTTCACTTGGACTGAAGAGTAAACTGATTAGAATTTGGTGGTTGAAGGGGAAAGATCAAGGTCTCTGTGACCTAACAAAATATGTTTTTGACAGTAGCTCAAGAATTCTTACGCTGCTTATGACAAAATTTCACACAAATGTCAAACAGGATATAATGATACAGAGATGACATTTTATATTCAAAGGGTCAAGGTCAGCTTCACTGTGACATCAAAATGTTGTGCATAAAACACTTTTCTGGCCACTACTCAGCCTCATATCTTAGGAAGAGAACATTTGGTTAGATACTGAGCTAGTGACACTAATCTTGGAACTGTGCTGATTTGTATAGATCTTCAGTGTAATGAGGCGAAGATGTGTGTGAAGCATCCATGTTTTCACAGACATGGATATAAACTGTAAAGGAAACTTACCTGGTGTGGCATGCAGAGACATACAACTATGTGGCGGTAATTCTAGTTTTGTCTATGGTATGGTATGTGTTATCCGACCAACAGTCCAGAAATCCAAAGCTACTTGATTTTTGCTCATGTATTAAATTTTCACTTTTAGAGAAGCGTGAACCAGCAAATGTTTTTTGCTTTAAAAAATTCTAAAACTATTATTTGATTATTAAAATAGTTGCCATTCAATTTTCGGTCAGTCAGCTAATCAATGAATTCACTAGTTGTTGCAGCTTTATTTGCAAATGTTTTTATCTTTTCAAGAAAAATATTGGTATAATATAAGTGCTATGAAAGCATTTCTGTCCCCTTTCTAATTCCCTTGAATGTTGGATTTTGGCCATTCAGTGAGGTCACATACTTTTTGCTGTTCTAATAGAAGTTAAAGGGAATCTAAGGTACAAAATTACCAGCTAAAAACTGTGTTCTTAATTATCTTGCAAGAAAGAAATAACTTATGTTTGCATCATTTTGTCCCTCGAATTTCCCCCTTTTTTAAACCTTTGAGAACCCACAACAATCAGATCTATCAGCAATCTGCAAAATTCAAGAAAACAGGGAAAGGAGAAATACTTTGTTTGTACTATAGTTTAACTTTGCTTCCTACTTACAGCTTCTCTAGTTTTCTTTGAAAGTAGCTGAATTAAACTACCTTATCTCATTAACTTTCACTTGTAGAGCTCACTGAGACACCTTTTGCTCAATCTTCTTTAGGTTATTGGCATTTTGAACAGTATATTTAAAGCTGGTTTTGACCACAACAGCACTTAAAAATAGAAATAACATTAACATATTCCTTCATGTGGCTCCTTGCTCTTGTAACTAATTGCTGTCCCTCTCCAGTGGTGACTAATCGCTAAGCTCATTCTTGAAAGCTGCTTTTCATGGTTTTACCAAAACCTTGTAAAAGTGCAACTTCTCCTGTTCAGGAGGAGGTGGAGCCCCTGCAGCAGGTGACAAAGGGAGGTACGATGGAGGATGCTCTAGCCGCCAAGACCCAGGCAGTGGAGGAGCTGAGTCGAGAGCTGGAAGAAATCAGGGCTGCCTTTGGCACAGAGGGAGTACAGCAGGTAAATGATTTATGACTTCATCATAGATCATACTGTTTGTTTTTCCTCTGAATATTAAGGCTAAACTTCTGCCAGTGCATTTAGAAAACACAATGGATGGAGATTATTTTAACTTTTCTTAAATAAGAATAGTTATGTTTCAGGGAACTTCTTAAAGTATATATTTTTTCTTCTTTTCTTTCCCCTTCCACTTAATCTTTGTATGATATCTGTTTCCCTTCCATCTCACATCAAACAGTTTAGCTGAATTTCTAATCCTGTGGTTATTTTCTCCATTTTATGGATTTTGTTAATGGTGTCCTTCCATTTGCTCAGTTGAGGCACTTTTGGTTTCAGACAGTTTTTTGTTATCTGTTTAATTGCTGCTGCTCTTAAATTGCTAACAAGACACTTATCAGTTTGTTGAAAGAGTGGCTGTGGTGTTCGGCCAAGTAATAATTGCTCAGGCCCAAAATGAGTGAGAACTGAAAAATGCTATCTAAAGCTCTTCCTTACATTTTCACCAGCAGCTCAGAGTTGCCTCTTAAACTTGTGCTTTTCCATGTATTAGTACATATATCCTTCCATATTTCTAGAGATATGACCACATTTAGTTTCATTTCTCAGCTGGTGATTGCTTTGATTTCCTGACTTCTAGATTCTTCTTCTAGAATACACTAAATTTGACCTAGTATGTTTTTTGTGTAGGCTTTGTTAGATATTCTTAGTTTACAAACTATGAAAGGATGTATCTCCTTCACTGTTTTTACTCAACTTTGTTGTTCTAAAAGGTAAATTTAATTTTTAAGTGTTCATGAAAGTTAGATTTTGGCAGGTTATATAACTCTGATTGATGAATTCTCAGAAGTATCTATTCTTTTCTTTGTAACTATCATATAATTTATTATTAGTCGAGCCTTTACTTGCCCAGGTACTAGAACACTTCAATTCATAGCCTGGGCTATTATTTGTTTGAATCACTGAAAACAACAGGCCTATATTTGGGGCAGGCGTCTACAGGGGACAGGCCTTTAATTCCTTTCACACAAAACTGTTGCTCAGCAAAGATCGGGAAATACAGTCCAATTGTTTATTTAATCCAGTATGAATATTACTTGTCTAGAAATAACTTTTGAGATGATATATCATTTATGAATCATTCATTTGATCCAGCTCCGCCAGACAACGCATCAGAGAGTGTCAGGGCACTCAAGGATTACAGCACCCTGCATACTGACACAATACAACTTTATCCTTTTAAAACAATACTCACATCTTGCGTACATTTTTATGAATAACCCTTTTGATTCTTTTGATCTGAGGACCCTTTTGGACTAAAGGAATATGAATAACTTACAGGGTAATTGAGGAATGGACACATTATTTGAGGTAGCCATTAACCCGCTTTTATACTGTTTGACAACTAGTCCTGGCCTCTAATTGAGACAGGCGTTTTTTTTTTGTCAAAATGTGTAGCCACACTGGGCAAGTAAAAGGGACTGGGGGTTTAATTGGGACCAGGCTTTTATTTAAAGTTTTATGGTATTTCTCTGCTGTACCTTACTAATAACGCCTCAAGTGAAAAACTTTTCAACCTGCACCCTATTTTCCTATGTTTTTGTGTCTAAATGACTCAGGGTAAGAACAATTTGGTTCAGTATTATGAGAGACCGCAGCAGTTGGCAACAGTAAAACAGGCTGCTGCTATGGACAATTATGCAACGTCAATTTGCTTCCATTAAAAGTGCTTATTTTTGCTACTGACTGATTCTTATGAGAAGTGTAAGACAACATAATGGAAAAGACCCTTCAGAGAAACAAAATGTTTCACTGCTCTGTTTTTCATTATGACAAAGTCTCGCTCAAAGAAAAGTCTTGTTCTGAAATCTCATGAGAGGTGACTTGTTGTAGGAAAAATACAGGTGGAAACATTTGTGAGAGTTGGAGGGAGGAGTGCCCGGAAGAGTTAGTAGTGTGGGAGCACAGAAAGCATAGCTTAGTGATATCTAAAAGATATTAAATGTCATAGCTAAATATTTTGCTGATTTTGACAATGTGAAAAAGTCCATGAGATTTCAGAACAAGACCTCTCCTTCAGTGAGACTTGATCACAATAACAAACAGTCCAGCGAAAGGCGAGGAAATACGTATTTAATTTCTGTGTAGGCTCTTTTCCATAATGTTGTCATACACTAACAAAATCAAGCTCAGCCTGTCAGTGGACATAAACTGACAGTGCACAATTGACTGCCTGACTGCTTTGCCAATTCCGCTGCACAGTCTCACTCAATAGAGGACCAATTTCAAAAATAGTTGCCTCAGTTAGTCACTTAGACAACGTGGGGTAAACACAGTCCAGGTTAAAAAGATACTGAAGTTTGCCTTCAAGTTTTCTGTGAGGTGATTTACATAATTGCTTTTGACTTTTATAGCTGCAGGACTTTGAGGCTGCTCTAAAGCAGCGAGATGACATCATCACCCAGCTCACAGCTAACCTTCAGCAGGCTCGTGAAGAGAAAGACGAGATCATGAAAGAGTTTCTGGAACTGACGGAGCAAAGCCAAAAGCTACATATTCAGTTTCAGCAGGTGAGAAATTTTTATGTCTGAACCACTGTGAGATATTAGCTATTCTGTTCTACACCACCCAGCAGCACCAGGCCATTATGCTTTTATTATTTTGTTCTACTACTTGCTCTCCATGCATTCAATTAGAAATTAATTTGTATATGAAAAATCACAGCTGCAGGCGGGCGAGACGCTGAGGAACACCAGCCACAGCAGCACAGCAGCTGATCTTCTGCAGGCCAGGCAGCAGCTCATGCAGTACCAACCGCAGCTGGAGGAGCTCCAGCAGAAGCTCAGTGAGCTGGAGATGGTAATAAGTTGCCTAGTATGATCCTGCATACATCTTTTAGTTATACTCTGTTAAATCCAAGTGGTTACAAAGTGTGTTCTCAATGTTTCCCCTGCATTTCTAATAATTGGTTTTCTTTGTAGTTGGGGAAAAGATCAGAAGAATCATTCACACAGCAGATAAACGAAAAGGACCTGCTCATTGCTGAACAAGAAAAAGTTATTTTAAGTCAGAAGCAGTCGCTGACAGAGTTAAGAACGGCGGAGGAGTCTTTTGCACAAACACTGAAAGAGAAAAATCAGTTAATTTCCGAGCAAACTGCAATAATCACAGAACACGAGCTGTCATTGACCATGCTCAGAGAGGAACTACTTCATGTGGGACGGACTACTGATAAGAATATTATAGCCCCTTCAGATGATAAAGAACTGATTATAGCAGAGCAAGAGAGAGTCATTTCAGAACGTGACTGCTCTCTTACCCAGCTCGAGGATGAGCTGGAGTCCTCTGAAAAACGCTTGCATGACCTGCAGCAGCGAATGGCTGCAAAAGAGTCGGAGCTTGAAAGATGCATGGATGAGTTGGAGATCAGTAAGTCTGACTTAGAAAGCTGTAAAAAGGAAATAGAGAGTTGTAAATTAGAGTTGGAGAAAGAGCGAATGGAATTAGAAAGCTGTAAGGTTGACCTTGCAACTTCCAGACAGAAAGAGCGAATGTCGTCTAATGAAATCATGCAGCTCATGGGCACAGTAGAGGACTTGCAGAAGCGTTATCACCAGGGCAGCCTGTCTGAGAGCGACACCATCCAAAAAATGCAGGAGGAGACTGTGAGGAAGCTTGAACTTCTCAGGGCAGAGCTGGACGAGATGTACGGCCAGCAAATAGTCCAGATGAAGCAGGAGGTTAATTTGCAGCATGCAGCAAAAGTGGAGCAAATGGCTGAGCAACATCGCGCTGAGCTCGAGCTTCTAAAAGCACAACAACTGTCCCAAAGTTCCAGTGTTAGTGTTGAGGTGGACACACTCAACGCAAAGGTTAGGGAGCTTCAAGAGACATTAGAGCAATCCCAAGCAATGTATGATAAAGCCAGACATGAACTTAGCCAAGTCACCCAAGAGAAGTTCAACCTGCAGACCAAGGTTGAGGATCTCCTTCAAGATCTCCATTCTGCTAAAGAAAAAGTGGAGCAGGTCTCCCACAGTCTCATCTCTCAGGAAAGCCGACAAGATGAATTGCAGCGCCTCCAGGAGACAATTGACAATCTGAAAAGTGAGCTGGCTGCTGCTCAGGAAGCGGCACAAGAGGCAGACATTAAACACGATTCAGAAATAACTAATTACAAGATCAAGCTGGAGATGCTGGAGAGGGAGAAAGACGCTGTGCTTGACCGCATGGCAGAGTCGCAGGAAGCAGAGCTGGAACGACTAAGGACTCAGCTTCTGTTTAGCCATGAGGAAGAGCTCACGCTTCTTAGGGAAGAGTTGCAAAGGGAGAGCTTCCTAAACACAGAAAATCTTCTCAATGAAGCTGCTATCAAGCATGAGAAAGCACTGGATGAGCTGCGCATCGGTTATGAAGAAGAGCTGCGTTTGTTACGAAGGGAAAAGGCGAGCTTTGCCACAGAGCGAGATGAGCTTTTTCACCAAATTCTTGGGCTAAAAGAAGATCTTAAGCTCGCTTCGAGCAGCTCCAAGGCAGATGAGCTTGTCCAGCAGCTTCAGGAGCTTCAGGTAGAGCTTGAGGAACTGAGAAAGGGAGGAGAAGAACGAGCTCGAATGGAAAACAAAATTAAGGCGTTACAAAAAGAGACAGATGTGCTTGAAAACCAGGCAAAAGAGAAAGAACAAAGTTGGGAGAACAAATGGAAACAGCAGGAACTGGAGAAAGAGACACTGATAGAATGTAATAACTCTTTAAAAGAAGAGTTGGCCTCAAAAAGTGAGAAAATCAATCAAATACAGCAACAAGTAGTTGAGCTCAGTGAGAAAATTGAAACGCAGAGGACTACTTTCTCTTTCGCGGAGAAGAATTTCGAGGTAAACTATCAGGAGCTGAAGGAGGAGTACACATGTCTTGTTGAGGCAAAGACACAGATAGAAGAGAGGACACTGAAGGAGACACTTGAGTTTGAGGCAAAAATTGCCAGCCTTCAGTCACAGATTCGGGAGCTGGAGGAGAGCAGAGGAGATATCAAAATGGAGGACATTAATACAGATAGACAGCAACAAGCTGTGATAGAAAAAGATACCACTGAGCTAATGGAGAAGCTTAATGTTACTTTAAGTGAGAAGGAAAGCTTGGCTGGGAGGCTTTCCGAAGTTACAGAGCAACTGATGTTTACAGAGAGCAAAGTGGGACGGCTGGAAGAAGAGCTGATGAAAGTGAGACAAGAAAATGTGAAGGTCATCGCACAAAGTGAAAGCCTAGGGAAAGAACTGGAAAAGAAGCAAGAGATTATGAGCAAGCAGACGAAGGGGCAGGGTGCCCAGAGAAAAGCTAAGCTTCAGCATGAAGAGCAAGCTGTTGAGCCAGTTTGTTCTTTTGAGGATCATCACCTTCAGATTCAGTCTTTGCAAAAAGAGATAAACACTCTTCAGTCCCTCTTGCAGGCAGCTGAATCTGAAAGAGACGGCATCCGGCAGACCCTGGAGCTCCAGGGGCTTTCACAGACTCCATCTCCAGCAGCAGTCCAGTCCTCGGGGGAGGGACCTGTTGAGGGACGATCCTCCCCGCACAAGCCCACAGCTTCAGGGTCAAGCAGGCGCAAGAGACGGCAGAGGTCGAAGCAGGAGCGCAAACTGGGCATCGCTCTCTCAGACTGCAGAGAAGAAAAACAAAGGGAGGAGGAAGAGGAGGCAGCGGTGGAGGAGGAGAGAGCAACAAGTGCTGCAGAGCAGGAGATGCAGCCTCAGATGGAGAGCCAGGTTATGTCATGTTCACAAGAGAGGGCCGGTAAGGAGGACTCCACTGACGGGTACCAGGGAGACGAAGCCAGAGACTACATCAACAAACAGGTAGGCTCTCACATGTATCTACTGCACCACTCTCCAGTCGCTGCCTTTTCTGTCTTCCTTTTTAAGTCTGATGAAATTACACGTTTGATTGTGTGATTAAAGAGCTTTTCAAAAAAGCTGTGCATGAGAAATGAAAGCACAGTTGCATGCTTCAAAGATGTCACGTTCACAGTTAATGCTTTGATGTTTGCTATTGTTATTAGCTCCATTGGAAATGTGTGGATTGCATTCACAGCTACATCAAGCTCTTAGATTGAACAGAATATGACTGAGGCATTTCAGCACTAACATGTTTCCTCTCTAGTGACTAACGGTCATGATTGCAGATTGCTTGAGTGTCTGCAGCCTTGCTTCAGACTGTTGTGTCAATAGCCATATGTTTTTAAGTTCATGCCGACCATTCAGCGACATTTATATTGTGTGTTATTGTAGTAAGAATAATGTAAAAGAAAAAATCACGCACAGTAAAGCCTGCACATAACGATGAGGAGTCAAGACTCCATCGATATTCTGCTCATTTCCACTTTTAAAGAAACACTATACAATATTTATAATCTGCTTTCATTTGATGCTGCTTGTCCTCAAACTGAATTTAATGTTGGTTTTGAAAAGGGCTGAAAAGAAAGCAGTCACCCTCAGTCTTCTGATGGCTTTGAATCATTGCTGTTGTGTAGAAATGTGTACATTCTAGTTTCTTTCCATCCTGCAGGGAGTGAAGGGTTTGAGGTGAGAAGCCATTTTACCCCAGTCACTTCTGTGTCTGTGTCTCTCCAAGCTCTGCCTCAATTACACCAGGCAAAAGATAGTGTCTGTCTGCCATTTCACATTTGTGTTTCATATTCTTTGTCACCTCCTGGGTTGGAACACTGCATATGATCCAGAATGACATTTTCAGTGCCTTTAAGTCTTAAAAAATAATTGTAAAATGTACGGCTGATGTGTAATAGGATGGGAAAATGATATCTTATTGGATATATGTTTAATGTTTTGTATAAGCCCTCTTACATTAATTTAATCAATAAAAGAACTTTTTTTTTTAATGGTATACAGTCAAACACAGATGATCAACCTCTATTAAAGCTGTTAGAAAAGCTTTATAAACAACACTCCACGCGGGTGAAACAAAAATGAAATAGAGGCAAACTAGATGTTTCTTTTGTTGCAAATTATAGTGGATCAATTTAATGATAAGGTGATTCTGCTTAGTTATTTTCTGCTCCCCCTCAGGAAGTGATCCATAATGGTGCATCTGGTCTTTCTGTCATCAATGTCATAATTGTCAGCATTTGTACAGAGGGGTGATATGTAAGATGTGTTGTTTTTTTAACCACACTGTTTTTTCTCTGCCTGCTTATTTAGGTGAGCAGACATGGGACTGGCCACCGCACGGAGTGTCAGGGAGAAGAGGAAGAGGGAGAGACGACTGAGCATGTAAATGTCACTTAAGCTCACATCCTGCCCTTTGCTTCTCAGTGTCACTTTGATACATCATACAGTGTGGCGTAAAGGTCAATAAAGAGGTGCTCATACAACACAAAAACAACAGGAATCATGCAAGAACATTTTCGTATTCTTGTCCCAAAAATCTCTTGTTCTTGAGGTTTGCTAAAATGGGATTCAGCAAACTCTCTTAAAGCTACGTTTGGAAACTTTTATATACAATAAACTTTTTGTCATATTTCCTGAAACTGTCACTACATTCACACAGTAGTGTGAGATAGATAATCCTTTTATCTGTTTATCTCTAATGGCATTTGTAAGAATTCACCGTATGTAAACAAAAACAACAAATCAGAGCCAAGGAGTCTCTCACACAGCTGTCAATCATGTCAGGCGCGTCAATTGCTGCTCACGAGCTGCAGTCAAACTAGGCAGCGCTGATCAAATATGAATCAAGATTCTGAGCTGACGTTACTGAGTGAAAACAGGTGGCGGGAAAAACTCAGGCAGAGCCAGCGACAATACTATTTTCACCTGGTTGATACACACAAAAACACAAGATAAGCACCCTAGTCATGGTGCAATCTTGTGTAGTAATAGGGTGTAAAAAAATAGATGGGTAGCAGAATATTGTGACACATATTTCCTTTTGAACATCATCATGAAAGGAGATCCAGGTAGATAACAGCTGTGAAAAAGAAGAACGGGACTCTGGGATCAGATGCTCCTATTTGTGGTAAACTTTTCATTTCAGGCAAGTAATGTCAGCTAACAAATGAATCATAATTAACTTACATAAAAGATAAAAGTGAAATTTTAAATGTTTTTATAACATTGATGTTGTTCACTCAAGTTGGTTGCAGATAGTTTTCTGGCAACGTTAGCTAGCTAAACATGTCTGCAACCAACCTGACTCAACAACATTTACTAACGTCAGATAAAGACATTTACAAATTTCCCTTTATATAAAATGATCACTTTTATGCAGGTTAAATATGATCCATTTGTTAGTTGAAGTAACGTACAGGAAATAAAATGTGTACCGCAAATACAATTGTTTGATCCCAGTGTCCAGTGCTTCCTTTTCACAGCTGTTATCCACCTGCATTTTCTTCTATCCTACAGATCAGGTTCAAATAGTATTGTCGTTGGCACTGCCTGTTTTTGCCCACCAGCAACTACTTGCCGTTTCCTTAGAGTTTGGATCTCACCCTGTCGTTGATCAGTTCATTGTCATTATTTGTGCAGCTATTCGACAGCTTGCCATGACAAACCACCGCTTTGCTAGCGCTGTATTTTTTTTGTGATGAGAATAATGCTTTTGCCCATTTGTTTGTTTACAAATACCGGTTACTCCCATTTCTCCCCTCAAATGTTTTTAGAATTATATTTTAGTGCACTGTTTAGCTATAAAATGAGAAAATGTGTGACCTGGCTGCCACGTTGAAAACAGAAGAGCCAAAACCAAGCATGGCCCACAGGCCGGAGCAAATTTTACAGCTAAATTGTACACTAAAATATGTTTCTGAAACATTTGAGATGAGAAAAAGGCAGTTTGACTGCAGTTTACAAGCAGTGATTGACATGATTGGCAGCTGCATTACAGACTCCTCAGCTCTGATTGGTTGTTTTCCTTCAGTAGACTCTAGTGAATGTCATTAAAAGCACCATAAGGAAGCAGAGGTACATGCTTTTTTTTCATAGATTATCTGCCTCATGTACTACTGTGTGTATGTAGTGGCAGTTTCAGCAAATACGACAAAGTTTTTTCCATTAAAGATACCAACTGTAGCTTTAACTGCACAAACCTTGATGTAGAGTCAGGTTCCTTTCAGCCTGACAAATACGACGATCATTTGAATTATCTGCATCCCCAAGTGCAAGTTTTACTGACAATCCGAGAGTAAAAAGAAGAAATTAATTGCAGAGCTTAAAGTCCTGCAGTCAGATATCTGCAGACAAATGCTTAAAGAATTCAGCAGTGTCAATAGAAGTCGTAGATGTGACTTAAAACAACGAAGTTTTATCAGAACAGAGCTGTACAGTGACAGAAATAAAAAGGGAATGGTTTGACAAGAAGTCAAATGCTGAAAAACATATTTCTAAAGTAAAGCGGTCAGTGATGTCACGCTGTCAGGTGCATGGAGGATGATCTACAACAATGCCTTAAGGCAGCTGTCAGAGTGAGAGGAAGTTTCTACTCTGCTGTGCCAAATCATGCCGATTAAATCTAAAAAACCTCAAATCAAATAACAGTAAATTTGCATGGCGAACAGAGTGTATATTTTGCATTAAGTTTGATATATTAATGCATTTTATTTTAGCTTGTTTTGATGACACACACTATTCAGACTCCAAATTCATGTCAAATGAGTGTTCTTCCTGCTGTAGATAAAGGTAACCCATCTGTACTGTACATGACTCATACCGTGCTGAATGCCACAGATTCTCTTCAGCCACTCATATGTGCCACTTTCAAACAAAAATGTTTGTACAAGTGGTTCCTTCAATAAATGTAGCCTTGGTTTTATACGTTTTAGTGATCTCCTCTTTAGTCTGGGTTATGTTTTTTAGTAAACTTAATAATTTCCATCTGAGAAGTAATTCTGTACTTGTTGGTGTGAGCAGCAGCGGCACTTTATAACACAGCTGCCGTCTGTTTGTCCTGCTCTGATCGTCTCTTATCTGCATGTTTTAAGCAGCAACATCTGAGCGGTTACAGGTTTGAAGGGACTCTTCACACTGCACTGTTAGATGTAGTGGGAATGGGGAGATTGTATCATAACAAAGCGTTTTAAATACAGCCTAATTAAAATGTAGAGTGCACTTAAAAAACATCTGACATCAAAGGTAACGGAATCACAATTTGGTAATTGCATAACCCTAGCGAATTAGTGCTAATGCATAATGCATAATTAGAGGAAAAGGCCTCACTGTTTGCCTTTTGTTCTCTGTTACAGAAGTGATAATAGCAGACCTCTCAGCCTGAAAGCAGATGGCTCGTGCCACTGCTCCGTCTTAAAAATAGGATTGATGGAATTATATTTAATCATAAAGCTCCTCTGATTAGCTAATGGGTGTAGCATGCTGCATAATTTAACTAAAGTGATATGTATCTTATGCTTTTTACAATTTTTCCACAATGTTACAAATGTTTGTTTTTTTGTTAATTGGTGTCATTAAGTGTGATCTTTCTGAGACAACACAGACAAACTCTTCAATATAAAATTGTATGCTTGCAAAAAGGCATTTTCCTCCGTGGTTTAATCCAGCCGTGTTAATGTGATGATATTCCTTCCTGTGGTTAGGGTGAGTGCAGGCTGCAGATGGAGGCTCAGCGCATCAGCCTGTCTCAGATCCACACCGCCCAGCTCGAGCTGCTGCAGGAGGAGACGGATGCTCGCGCAAACGCTCTGGAGCTGAAACTGCAGAACCTGAAAGATCACAGTGACCAGGGTGAGTAATGCGTTTTCAGTTGCCTTTGTGTGCATTTGTGTTTGTGGCAAAGCTTTTGATGTATGATTCATGATCGTACAGCACAGATGGCTGATGTCTCTGCCGTTGTATTTGTGCTCAGCTGGTTGTCAGGGTCTGTGTGAAGCATCAAACATTTTAATTCAATTAATCCCAATTTTCTGTTCCTTTTTTTCCAGATGAGCCAAAAATTACTAAATACCACAACATGTTACAAGCTGTGTCAGAGGAATGCAGCGAGATCATTCAGGTAATTGCTGAATACAGATAGTTGTAATGTAAGTTTTCTGAATGAATTTTATTCATGTGTGTTGCCAGGTTACCACAGCAGTTAACCTTCTCTCTATCTGCTCTGTGTTCAGCGTTTTCGAAAGACGTTTGGTGAAGAGTTTTTGGAATGTGATGCTGGTGGGGGCCCGCTGCCCCCTTCTGTGGAAAGACCAGAAACTAGTGAATCCACCTCCATCATATTGGAGGCCAGAGGTATTTTATCTACTAAAAAATTAAATTGCAGTGTAAAACAGGGATGAGCATACTCGAGTACTCGACTTGGATGTCAGTTCTGGTTCATCATATAGAGACATCACTTATTATTTCCTGCTTTGTAGAAGAAAACACATTTAGACAGGACACAATGATCTATGAATATCTGCACAGATCCATAAAGCAAAAATGAGTGATTCGACAAAATAAATGTGCAGTGCATGCGAGTACTTGACTATGGAAATTATATATGTATAAATATATATAAATACAATATTACAGATAGTATAACATGTATTTCCAGCATAAATAGCACTGTGAACCAACATTAAATTCAATTTATACTTACAAAGTGCTTTTAAATAAAATGCATTAAATATCTTACTGTCTTCATTTTAACCATATTTGCATAAAATCATCCAATTTATTTATAGAGCTCTACAGAGATCTTCAGCAGGTGAGGCAGGGGATTGAGCAGGAACACCATCGACTGTCACAGCTCCAGGCTCTGCTGAGAGCTGACGGGAACAAGGTAAAAACTTCACATATCTGTGGACCTACAGTAAGCTGTGTCACAACTACATACTCCATGCTAATTCTCAGCAGGTTGTTGTTGGCTCACACTGGAACATTAGCAAAATAAAATGTACACAAACACATAAAAACACTTGATTTTTTGAGACACTGTTTTCCCACAATCCACTGAAGGAGCTGCTCAGAGCTGGAAAAAGCTAAAACTAATTTGGGATTGCACCATGACAACTTTGTGAACACCAAAGAAAGCCAAACATTTCTATTTAATCTTCATTCATACACTTTGCTCCTTATTTATGAAGTTAAATTGGCAGTGAGATTGGAAGAAGCAGTTTGATTTGCATGCATTGGTGCATGTATTGCATCATTTCCTGTTGGCATTAGAGGAATACTTCACTGTCCAAATAATGGTGATGAATTTGTGAGTTTGTTTTTCTCGCAACCCTCCATGGTGAACAAAGAATCCAGAAATGGACAAAATCTTGATGAATTGAAGTAGATGGGGTCCAAGTTTCACAACAGTAAAACAATACCAAATCCTTTTACAGACTCTTACGATCAGTAGTTTTTTTGTGTTATAGTGTGACTTAGGTGAATCTGAACTAACCCTTAAAAATACCAAAGTCACAAAATAAAATAAACAGTCAACTGATGGAAGCTGTGGTTGACCAGTAGCTCCAGTGAGGTAAAATTACTATTTTTGTCAACAGAGTCTTAATTTGAAGAGAGCATAGGTACATTTCACTCTCAATTCAGTTTTAAATACTAAGATATGAACGAAATGCATGTGTCTGGAAAGTACTGAGCATTTAACTGTATATATTGAGACTTGGATTATACTGCACGAGTTGAATGACAGTTTGTCAACCAATCTTTCAATATAGTTTTGCTGTTGTCAAACATAGACCCCTGTTACTTCAGGTCATTTGAAATGTTGTTTTTTTGATTCTTCGTTCACCATCGAGGCAAGCGAGAAAAACAAAGTTTTCTTCACAAATTCATTGTAGCACTGGGTGAATAATTGATACACAAATTGTCATTTAGGGGATGTATTATTCCTTTAAACTGGTAAATAAGTTGATTGTTTTACAAGTGCATATATATAGTGCACAGTTTGTATGTATTAAGGAATTGGCACATTTTGTTGTCTGTTTGAGGAACAGACTAATAATAACAGGATAATAATACAATCAGAAATGCGTTAACTGATCTGTTGGTCTCCCAGATGACAGAGCTGCAGGCGGCATACGATGAACTGAAGAGCAGGAGTGAGAAGGAGATCTCTGACCTGCGTGTGCAAGCTGCTAGCTCTGCGAGCAAAGGTAAATAATGTGGAGCTATCCTCTCGAGCAAAAACTGAAAAGCAAACAGGTCAAGCATTAATGTCAGGTCGCTGAGTCAAACACGCAGGTGTGTAGTAAGAAGACAGACAGAAGTTAAATGTTCTGTAGTATTCTCTTTACTCTGTATCCCTCAGTTATTTGTTACTGCAGTGACCCATTTTTCCCAGAAGGAACATTAAAGTTTCATCTTATTGATTCTAATCTTCTAATGCTATCCAGTTGAGTATATTGAATTTCTCACTTCCCCTCTGTATTGGTCAGATCCCGAGGAGCGGGCTGGTGCACCATCTACCTCCCTGAACAAGGAATTACAGAGGCTGAAGGCCGAAGAGCAGGAGAAGCAGCTCCAGCTGGAGGAGAGCCACAGACAGGAGATGGAGCATCTCCGAGCTCACTACCAGCAGCAGGCGGCGGAGAGTGAGGAGCGATACGCCACTGAGCTCTTCATGCTGCAGCAGCGACTGCAGGAGGTCACGGGAACTCAGACCCACTTCAGGTGATGATAACACTGTGAAAACACATGAGCAAATTCATTTTTTTTAAAGTTTGTATTGCAAGACGAAGGACAATAGACTAACAGAACAGCACAAGGAAGATAAAAATAAGCTATCCAAACTCATCGTTAATAAATCGGCCATTAAAAATTCACTATCACCAGTAGGCTATCTAATTGCTTGCTGTTGTACAAACACTGTTGTGTGTTTGAGCTCACCTGAATATAAAAATGTCCTATAGCTTAATGTATCAGTAAAAGTAGTGTGTAGCCCTGTCTAACAGAGTAAAAGTACATAGATTTTATCGCAAATGTATTCGAGTAAGAGTAAAAAGTATTCAGGAAAACAACCACTTTCATAAATACAATTAATCAAAAAAATAAATCAAGTACATGTAATGGAGTAAATGTAACGTGTTACCACCCACCACTGCCAGTAGATTAAATTTGGTATAGTTAAAATGGCATGGTTTCAGCAATGTCCCTTGGGATAAGTTACATTTTATCTTATCTTTAAAAGAATCGATTTGACTTAGTGGATATGACTGAAAATGTTGTCTACTCAGTTGTGGGTTATTTAGCATTTAAAGAGCACTATCACTGGATTCATACAGCCTCCCTCCCACACAGTCCTCATGTTATTAGTTGCTCTTCACTTGATTGATTGGTACTGTGCATGTGATAGAGGAACAGCAGACTGAGCGACACGATCTTCTACTTTTACTCGAAGCTGGTCTACACATCCCGTGCAGCAAGTGGAAGCTACCTGACCCAGTTCAGCTGACAACAAAGCCTCAACTAATGAAATATTCACTAGGTTGTTTGAAGCTTTATTCATGCCTTTTGTTAACCCACTAACCTATAAAAGTACCCTTCAGCCATTGGAGATCCCTTCCTGAGGGATGTGCTGTAGATAACAATATAAATGTTACTGTTTGTGCATGCATCGCTTAGTAGTATGTTGAATTGTGTGTGAGGTTTCTAAAGAACTCTTTTGTTCAAATAGATGTATAATCGTTTTTATTTAATTTGTATTTAATATTTATTAAACCACGAGAGTCTCATTGAGATTATGAATTTTTGGTCAAGGCAGGCAGCAGCTTAAATTTAAAGAATTACAGAAAATACAAAAAGAAGGAACTAAAAAAATCAAGAATAGAGAGCTCATATTTTAAAAGAGAAATTTAAGAATTTGTTTCGTAACTGAGTTAAAAACATCAACATCTTAAGTTTCAAGTCATCCTGCAACATATTCATGCAGTGGGCTAAGAATACAGAAATGCCCTTTTTCCTTTTTCCGTACGGCCATGCAGAATAGACAGCATAAAGAAGTCTTAAAAAAAAAAAAAAAAAAAAAAAAAGGTATCGTCTGGCACTCTTTCTTCGTGATAATGACAGCTCATTTCTGTGACATACTGCTTGTTTACACACACACACACACACACACACCAAAACCAAACTATATTTCTGTGGGTGAGCTGTTCCTCTTGGCTAAAAAGACCAGAGTCCTACTGGTACTGTGAAAACTGAGATGCTGCTGCCCTCCACTGTTTGATATGGTAAATATAATTTCTAGCCATTTTTTTTAAAAAATAGTTCACTTCTTAAATCCCATTTTGTGTAATTTTCTTCAGGAAAGTGATACCCAAAAATGTGGAATACAATCACACATATTATGCCCAGATATATTACATGTATGTGCACTGCATGTTTAATTTAATTCATGCAGCCGTGCCTGGTATTTTATGTACTTGTTATGTCTAGAGTTCAAACGTGTAATCATTTAGTGGATCAACAGAAAATTGCTCCAAAGCTATTTTGATAGTTCAGTCATTGTTTCAGTAATTTTTCACAGGAAAAAGGTCAAACCTTGTCTTATTTCAGCCTCTCAAATGTGAGGATTTGCTGTGTTTTTTTTTTGGCACATGTATGATAGTGAACTGGATATCTTTGGGACAAAAGAAATCTGAAGACACCACCTTGGACTCTAGGAAATCCTTATGGGGATTTTTTTAATAATGAATCCATTAATCAAGAAATCAGCAGATTAAAGGAATACTTCACCCCTAAAATGAGCATTTGTTTATCAATTAGTCATGCTGTTACCTTGAATTCATAAAGAAAACTTCTCTCTTGTATGCCTGAACGGAAAATGGTGAACATATTGATTTACTGATTTATTGATTGATTGGGGACCACATTCAACAACATCATTACATCAAAATTCTCTATGAAGTTCAAGCAGCTACATGTGTAGGCTACCTCAGAGGGTTACTGGTGTCCGTGAATGTGGATTATGATAAGGACTCATCATATTTTGACAGTCAGCAATGTTTCATCACTATTTAACTTTACCACCATCTCCTGGATTTTAAGATGCCTGGCATTATTCCGCCTCGTGATTCAGATCAGCTCTAAAATTTAATGGATTTGTCCTTGGTCCATGCTACGCCCATTCACAAGGTTTAATGGAAATCTGGCAAGTAGTTTTTTTGTACTGCCGCTAACAAACAAACCAAACCCCTACTTAAGTAGTCATTAATCACAGCCCTCGTTATGTAATCACCTCAGTTCATTTTGGATTGTATATGTCATATTAGTACTCGCTTAATAATATTGTTTCGTTATATTATTCAGGGGATGGCTGTTCAAATTACCGTCACACAGAAATGTTTAGACTTTCATGCTTACAACCAAAAAGCTTGTAAGCTCAGCTTGTTCAAGTTTTTTACTTGACTGATATGAAAGTAAGAAGGATACTTTCCGTCATCGTGTTACAGTAATTGTTTGTCAGTCGCGGTTATGGTTATTGATTTAACAAACATTAGTCCCTGTCAATACTTCATGGTCCTTATAATTACATTTTAAGCGTTTACATTTGTACTTAACTATAAACTAATAAAAAAGCACTTCAGGCCATGATGTAAGACGTCATAAAGAAAAATAACTAAAAATAAACTGTATCAAACTGTTTAACTTATCTGAGGTTGTAGAACTATTAATTTTGACTTCTCGTTTTCTCTTTCTGCCTGTCCAGTGCTGCAGAGTCCAGCTGTGAGACAATGGAGGAGCAAGGAGACGAACTAAAGGTTTGGCTGCTACATTTTGCCCTCATCTAAATCTTCCGTGTCACATGCATCACATCTTACTACGAGCTGAAACATGTACATGCATTAAGACGCTGTGACAGTGAGGGTGGATGCGAGTGGGCAGTTGCAGCCTTTAGGCTAAAACGTGCCCTAAATTCTGCAGCTTTGCTCCGGAACCAGCATCATGAACGGTCCTGAATCTTAACGATTGAAAGGGTCGGACGTTACATAACCTACCATTTTACTGTGTTACTCGTGAACCAAAGCGGACGTACTGTAGTCGTGTAGGCTGCATGAAAGGAGCATTCTGCCTTGCGTGAATGAGCCGCACTCCATTTACGCCATCTCTCACTCACATCACTCCAACTTCCATTGCGTCTTAGCGTGTCTCCTCCAACCTCAAAGTTTCCACAGCTCGTCTGACTGTGTGGAGATCAGAGAGGAAGATTGACAGAAGCACAGCAAGAGCGAGAATGGGAGAGAAAGGAATTGGGCATGATACACTTTAAGATATTTGGATTAGAGATGTTAAGCTTGAGGCAAGTGTTGCTGAAGAAGCTGAATCACCATGAAGCACACAAGACGGGGATTCATCACAAGACAGGGGTGGTAGTGTGTTAGGGCTAAATGTGGCTGTAATGTAATGCAAGACTTCTCTTTATCGCTTTATCATCAGGGGGTGGAGGGAACAAAACGGTGTATTTAATAGTGATCTAAGGGCGGATGGGTTTTATCTACAGTAAAGAGGAACAGTTTATTTGTGGATCAGCCCTGAGGAACTTTGTTGTCCATATTTTGTTACATGACTCTTTTTAACACACTGCGGCAGCTGTGGTCTGCTACATTAGTTCTTGTAATTTGTTCCTTTCTTTCTCTTTTCTGCTCTCCTCACTCTTCACAGGACCTGGGTGAGGAGGAACTGTCAGAGGGAGGTGTGGAGTCGCGCTGGCCCGTCAGGTCTGCAGGCCTGACAGCACAGCTGCAGGCGCTGAGGAAAGCGCTCTACCACAAGTATGTCCAAGAAGTAGCAGCGCTGAAAGAGCAGCACAACAGGGAGCTGAGGAGACTGACAGAAGAAAAGGAGCAGGAGAGGAAAGCAGAGGAGCGTCAGGAGGAGAGAGGAGAGAAAAAGGATCTCAACAGTATTAACGGTGCTGGGAGCTCCAGTGATAGCCTTGGGGCGACTAGGCAAGTCGTGCTGGAAGACAAACAACACTGGGAGAGAGTGGAAGAGGAAGTTGCCAAGGTAGGTGGACATGTATTTTTATACAACTCCTGTATCTAGTCAGTTTCAATAAAACTGGTGACAGAAGCATTGCGTTTGATTGATACGAAAGGAGTTGGAGTTGAATAGTCGATGGTTCTGGTTCCTTAAATATGAATATTTGCTGGTTATCTTAGTCTTTTGTGATTTTACAGTTTTTCCTGAATGTTTACACACTAACAGTGATTCCTGAAGCATGATTTCTGACACCATGAACACTAATTCACCAAGTGTGCCAAACTGAATGCACATTCTCTGCTTTACCATCAGTTTGTAATTTAATAACACTTCTAGCAAAACTGCAAATGCTGGTCTCTACACTATTTTGCCAGTTGCCCTTTCACACTGAAACATGTGCTGCCTAACTCAAGACAACATGTGATGATGAAGTTTTATGGCCAGACCCACAAAGAAGGCCAGATTTAGCCAAATATTCTTCTGATTCATTTTTCTAACATCCATGTTTTTGTTTTCAGTAACACTTTACTTGAAGGTATCTACATAAGGGTGACATGACACTGTCATAACTATGACATGACTCTGTCATGAACTTGTCATAAACATTATGTACATGTCATAAACGTTTGTGACTGCTGTCATTAAGTGTCATTCGTTTTTTGTAATGACAAGTTGACATTGTTTGGGATGTCCTTATTATGATAGCTTGACATTAACCAGGATGACATTACCAGGAGATGTCTTTGTCATAACGACTTGACATTAACAAAAAAATGCACCTGTTTTTGTGTTTATGACAAGGTGACATAATGATTATTATAATTAGTTGTCATAATAAGGACATCCCAAACAAATGTAATGTCAAGTTGTCATGACAAAGACATCTTCTGGTAATGTCACTTTAATTAATGTCAAGTTGTCATAATCAAATCATTACAAAAACCTAATGACAGCAGTCATAAACGTTTATGACATGTACATAATGTCTATGACAAGTTCATGACAGTGTCAAGTCATAGTTATGACAGTGTCATGTCACCCTTTTGTAGATACCGTCAAGTAAAGTGTTACCTTGTTTTTTTTCTGCAGCGCTTTTGTTGTATGAGGAGTGTTTGAAATTCTGTCCTCCCTTTCTTGACAGTGTTTATGCTCATAAATACACATCCATACTTTACACATTTGGATATCTGTGTGTATGTGTGTTTAATTTATGTATAGAAATTATTTTGCAAACTGCTTTGCCTGCACACAGCCTTAAGTGTTTTTTTATTTCTACTATCAGTGTTAACTTAGTGCTTTGTGTGCTTGTTCACATGATGGTTTGTGTGTACTTTTTCGGAATAGTTTAAGAGTTTTTCCAGAGGTTTGCTTCTGCACGAGATGTATAATGTTTTGCTGGTTTGGTGTAAGGTTTTGTGGTTAGTGTGGAGAGTTAAAAATAACCTATAGATTCAAAGATAGTGCCCTTAGCAATTAGAAAAAAACTATTACAGAGAGTATCTTTTGGTTGTGGACTGCAGGTCAGACAAAACAAGACATTCAGAGATGTCATTTGAGCTCTGCGACCATGCATTTTGCCTTTGGTTAGACCAAACAATCAGTCAATTAATCAAGAAAATATTCAGCAGAATAATCTAGAATGAAAATAACAGTTGCAGATACAGTACACTAATTCTCTTATGATGGAAAATGTTATTTTATAATTGTTAATATAATTACATCTGCACTCTTACCGTAGATCTCTGTTTCTCTATATCAAGTAGAGTCCTAAGACACATTATCTTCGGATCCATATTTTCTGACAGGCCATAGTTCAGATGTCCGTGGAGTTTGCACAGCAGATTGAGCTGGCTCGAATCAACAAGCGTGCCTGCCAGAGGAGCGCCGCCATGCAGACCTGGTCAGATAAAGAGGAGGTGGAGGAGAGGGAGAACGAGGAGCGGGCGAGTCCCGGAGCTCCTCTCACCTCAGGCGCCTGGCTGGAGGAGGTGGAGAAGGAGAGACTGGAGAGGGAGCTGCAGGAGAGGAACGCCGAGATCAGAAAGTTAAAAGCGGAGCTGCAGAAATCAGAACCTGAGCAGGTCAGTGTTTCTAACTGAGCTGTCACATTTGATGTGTTGATTCACTCTCCGCTGTCCCCACAGATTTCATTCACTTTATCTGAGAGAATTCTGCTGTGTCATTCATTTTCAGATGCACTGTCGCAATGCAGCTGTTGCATCGAATACTCTATCATTGATTATGTATGCTTCAACTAATATTGGTTTTGCATTGTCTTTTTACCAACACAGTAGATGTGTGTTGACTAAATAATGAAAGTATTTGTTTAAATACTGTCATTAGTGAGTAATTTGGTTTAATTTGGGAAACAAGTGTAAAACGATGCAGCAACATGTTTGTGTAATATGCTGCATCACCAAACACACTGTGTGTAGAGTGGGACCTTGTAAAATGTTTCTATTTTTGTTCATTTTTGGGATCCAGCGTAATTCCCAATGAGGTTTTTTTGGATTTGCACACAACCTTTCTAGCCTCCTATTTACCTAGTATTTCAGATACAGTAATTGCATCTCTTTAACCAACACCTTTTATCCGAAAAGTGTGGAACAAGATGTGCATACACCCTTATTATCCTTTTAAAGTAGGGTACACCATTTGAATTATTTTACTCTTGTATACACTTAATTTCTGATTTATTGTGTTTCTCACTTCAGTCGTTACAATTTCACAGAAAGCATATTTGTTCATGCGCTGCTGTCAAAGAATAATATTTTAGATACCCACTTTCTCCTCTATCTACTCTCCATGTTCTGGTTTCCTCACGTTGATTTAGGATTATTTCTTTAAACCACCCCTCATGCCTTGAAGAGCTAATCCCAGGGCCTGCCAGGCTTTCACTAACCATTTATTGCATGATTAAGCTTTAACTCTGTGATAGCAGCGGTTGTCAGCTTCAGTGTTCTTTGTGAGATGAGTTGCTTCAACACACGCTTGGTGGTCATTCAGATAGGATAATTTAGTGAAAAGCAAAGTTCTTAAGCTGCAGTAATTGGCTCAGATGAGTTGTTATGATAAAAGTCTGATGACACTCGATTGAGATGTTTACACAGATTATTATCTTATTTTCTTCTAAATTAATAGATTTATGTAAAGAATTTCATCAAGCTGAACACTGTTTGGTTGGTCCATAGAAGATAAACTGAAGTCTGATAAACGTGACATAGAAAGCCAGAAGGATATTTTGTTTTGGACAAAACTCAAATGTCCCCTAGGTCCAAAAAATATGGTTGTAGTAGTTCTGGATTTTAAATTCTTGCCATTTTATGTTTAAATTCTCAGTTTTAGAAAACAAGCTAATAAATGACATTACAAATTATGGAACAAATAATAGACTTTTCAAGGGTTTTTTTTGTGAATATTTTAGGCCCATAAAGAATGATTTGGTTGTTTAACATGTCAGTAGACGTAATTCAAACTTTAATACCATGTTCATGTAACTTTAAATCTGTTAACACATATATAATATATATTGGCATGTTAATGTACGTTAATTATGATGGACAAAATGCTAATGCTGCATACTAAAGAATGTGGAGTCAAAATAATTACAAGAAATGGGAACATTTTTGTGTCAATAAGATTTTTAAGCTTTACAGGCATTTGTACAACACTGTATGTTAGTTAGATAACTATAAAACAGTGTCATTCAAAAGATGCTATGATCTGATTCTTTGACTGAAGTCAGTGCCACTCTCGCTCATCTGCAGTCTGTGCACAGCGTAGTGTCTGGGAGTGAAGTGGCTGTAGAAGCAGAGCTGCACTTCTGCTGTGCTCTCAGAAGATGGAGCTGTCGCCTCTGCAAGTCTCTGTGCCTCAGGTGCACCTGTTGCCATAGCAGCACAAAGATACTAGTGTTTCTCCCGGCCCCGAGAGAGTCAGAAGTGCGTCTTTGTGTTTGTGTGTGTCTGTGTGCTCGTTAAAAAGGGCACTGTGTCTACGTGCCCCCTCGCCGTGCCTTATTTGAATGCACTTTTACTAATGGTCGCACACACAGCCGCTCTGTCTTTTGCCGTCCAGAGTTTTCAGGAGTCTTTGTGTTCAATTGCAACTTTGCAATGACGGGACTGCTGTCTGTGTTCTCTCTGCTGCCTGTCCAGGCCTTGAAGAAGAGAGAAGACGGTCAAGAAGAAGTTGAGGAAGAGGAAGATCCAGGCGGGTCAGGAGTAAAGCAGGCTGGTGGAGGCAAACTGTCATCGCAGGGTGATGGAGGGTCTTCTGATAAGGACACTGAAAGGTAGTGACAGACACTGTGTTCGTACTGTTTCCTAATAATAAACCTTTGTGTACGGAGATGCTCCAAAGATTTATATTAATTGAAGCCAAATTAGACTTAATAGGGTGACAAATATGTTGTTAATTGCCTCAAGCCTTTCTTTTAGCCAACCGACATTTTGTTTTTCATTAGCACTACAGATGCTTAGAAGAAACTCTTCCTCACTGTGTGCTTACAGAAACATCTTGCGTAAGGCCAATGAGAAACTCAGTCAGGTGCTGGTTGATGTCCTGAAGACTACGGCAGCTGCGGAGGAAACTATGGGACTTCACATGCAGAGCTTGCGTGACGCCTCCAGTGGAGGACAGCAGGCTGCACCCGTCAGACCTTACACTGCAGGCAAGTAACATCAGGTCTAAGTAATAGTTTAAGGTAAATGCAGGTGTTTATGTTTGGGCAGAGGGGTCAACCACAAATTTACTCAGATATGTTAGTTCAGATGTTGGTAGTTAGCTGGAGGTGAGATTTGTACTGTAGCAAACACACAGGAGAAGAAAATAGACGAGAAACCTTCAAACTGTAGTTATGTCAGCACTCACTAAACAGCACCACAGTATTTATAGAGCTTAGAATCAGTTTGCATTATTATTGGGCTGCAACTAACAACTATTTCCACTATCGATTGATCTGCCGATTATTTTCACAATTAATCGTTTTATCAATAAAATGTCAGAAAATAGTAAAACATGCCCTGTGTAATTTCCCGGAGCCTCAGGTGATGTCTACAAATGGTATATTTCATCCGACCATCAGCCCAAAATTCCAAAGCTACTCACTTTATTATCACGCATGACAAAGAAAAGCATCAGATTCTCACATATAAGAAGCAGGAAACCAGCCAATGTTTGGATTTTTTGCTTAAAATAAATTACGAAAACAATTATTTGTTATCAAAATAGTTGCCAATTAATTTTCTGTTAACAGACTAATTGATTATTCGGCTAATCCTTGCAGCTCTGCATAACAAAAACGTTTGGATACTAAGTAGTGCAAATCTGTTTTAAACCACATTCACTGCCATTTTTAAATCTGCTTTTAATTGGTCCAGAGTTGAACTTCAAATCACATTTGAACTTTCAACACAACTTGTCCAGAGTGTTGCTAGCTGCCATGACTGCAATTTAAGCTTCTGCTAATATATTCCGGTGTGACAGAGCAATACTGCACCATGACTACATGATGCTATTGTTCTGACCAAGAGTGTATTCACCTCTCTCTCTTCAGCAACCTTAGAGATTTTAATATATAATGGAACAACATATCATCAGTTAGCGTATGGATGTTGTCACACACAAATTCTTTGTGATCACATGCAAATAACATCTTTGACAGTTTGTCCTGTGAGTCAGATCAGATCAGATTTGCCTGCCGTCTGAATGGCTCATTATAACTGAAGGGAGCTATAGACAACAAAGTCTCGTGTTAACAACATAATCCTGTTTGTACTGTAGGTGTTCATGGGATTCTTTTGTCCTTGTTTAATTCACGATTTTCAATATTCCTATAATCTGATATGCCAGTTTGTCTTTGTAAGTTTATTGGGCTGCACATGACTTGCTGTATTTGACCTGCTGACGTTATGCACCTTAAGATTGGTATTGTGGATTCAAATCTCTTAAATTTTAAGTCATCTTGCTGCCTGCTGCTATCGTGATATCCCTGTGAGACTGTGAACGTGCAGATTACGTCATGTAGTGTTAAGGCACAGTCGCGTGACACTGTGTACTCATTTGAACCATATGATGAATGCGCCTACAACCTCATTATGGTTATATATTTAGCACTGCTTTGCCTCCTGTTCTGTCGTGAATTTAAACTACACAAGACTAGCATTTTTTTAAAGGTTGCACTTGTCCTTCGCCAAGCCTTACATCAGTTCATTTAGTCATGCAAACTTCAAATGGTTTTAGGAAACCAAATATTTAATCTTCTTGCAGAGTTTTACATGAGTGTGCTCCTTATTCTCTCACAGTATCTTTGGTTATTTGTCTAAAGTTAGCATGCAGCTAAAACATAAACATCTGCAAACTTCACAAGGAAACTGTAATAGCCCCCTGTAATAGAGTTAAGTCTGTATACAGTATAATATACATCAGGTCTGTGTATGATATGTTTCTGCTCTCTCTTCTCTGGTCATGCCAGGTCACTCTGCACAAAGCTGCCAGGGCAGTGAGACCACTGCAGATGATATGAGTCAATGGTCCGGGGGGACGGAGGCTGACGAGGGTCTGGAGGTGTCCCAGCAGATGATTGAAAGCCTGCTGCTGGGGGCGGGGACACAACTGGAGAACGAGGAGTATCTGATGAGCATCAGCAGCCGACTCCAAATGGCTCTGGAGAAGATGTTAATGGCCATCACTGACACCACCAACCAGGTACAAACATTCTTTTGGTTAAGTGGCCTGAGATCAATTTATTATTGATCTCTATAAACAGATATCTGTATACGTATGCAGAATCTGTTGGCAGGGAGACAAGATATTGGTATGGAAGCATTCTGATTTCTGTTTCTGGGCCAAGTATTACTGACCAGTCATGTCTGAGTAGGCTTTGGTTGCCCTGCAGATAAACACTCTGTGTGGAGAGCATTGGCTCAGACCCCACTGACTATCATTTAACTATGATTTATCTGCATTCATATGCATGTATGTGTTTATAGATGTTAGCTAATTGTGTCTGGGTACATCTCAAGTTCCTAATTGAACTGAAAACAATAATTGGTGCACAGAAGACAAAGTCTTGCCTCTTGCTGTGGTAAGCAGTTTTTCCAGGTATAGCATTTCAAACGAATCTGAAAATACACCCCTCTTTCTGGAGCTCTCCCCTCTCTGTCCTATGAACCTCCGACCAGATAGGCACAGGCACATGCGTGCACTTTATACAGTAACCTCTACGAGTACTTGTCAGTCTTATCAATCATTCCAGTTGTGATTGTGGTCCTGATGCCATTATATAATGGCAGTTTTACGCAAAATACTGTCCTTTTTTCTCCGCAAAATTATGGGCCTTTATAACCCTTTGAGATGACACACTGTGATCAGACCCACTTTTTGTCCATCTTCCTTTTTTCGAGTTGCTTTGCAGTGTAGACAGTCATTGCCAATGCTGGACTAGCAACTGTCTCTACTGGATGCTCTTCCATTGAATCAGGCTCTCACCGAAGGGATGTGCACACGCATCTGTATTTGTGGAACAGCAAATAATCCAATCCAATCCAATCCAACTTTATTTATGAAGCACTTTAAAACAACCACTGAGGTCCCAAAGTGCTGTACAGAGAAAATAAGAACACCCTCTCATTTAAATGACCTGTGATTGGACAAAGTCTTCCGTCACTGCCTAGATTTTCTAAAACCTGAAAACAGAGCTAACAAAAACAACAACAACAACAACAACAACAACAACAACTTCCTAAGTCTCAGATGAGAAGATCGGCAACACTCTCTAATCTGGATGTTAAATAAAAAGCCAGTGGCTGGCTATCTTAGCTCAGCATAGAGTTTTTGAAATGGGGGAAACAGCTAGCCTGTCTATCTTCAGTAGATCTTAGTAATTAACGTCCTCAATAATAAATCTGTACAAAAACTGATGTGCAATTTGTTCCTTAACAAGGATTTACATGCCAAAATTTTGAACTATTCCTTTTAAAAGTTATTGTTTGCTTATTAAAACCATTGTAAATCAGAAGAGTTTCCTGATTTACATAGATTAGGATAATTCAATCAAATTATGACAAAACCAGCCTCATAATCTGACCAAACATTTGTTGCCAGTTTTAAATGCTCAACACTTTTTTCAGTACTCTAGTGTTGTCGTAGTTTGTTCAGAGACATTGGATCTTTTCAGGTTGAGATGTCAGAGGAACTCTTCATGAACAGTCCTGTGTGTGTTTGATTGTGCAGAAAGCTCCAGTGACACATTTAGGCTTTGTCAAAACATTTAAATACCCACACTCAACACTCCCTCTGTGGGTTTCTACGCCTGTTCATGGAGGCATAATGGGGATGAGACTGCAGAATGTGGCCGGCAACAAAGTTGGCCTGTCTAGAATTCACACACAAAAGAGCCACCTCATTCCCAGTGGTTGCCTATAGATACGAGCTGTATTTACACTGAGCTTTTGTCCGGTCGATCAGCCTATCATAGTCAGGAGTGGACAGAACAACTCCACCCCCCCTCAGGCTGTCTGTGTAGTGCTCCTGCTGCGTCCAGTGTCAGCCCACAGAGACGGGGCCAGTTTAACTAGGCCATTGAATGTGTTACTGTAACTGACTGCGCAGCACATCTTCCCGTTGGCTGAAATTCATGCGTTACTCACGCTGAGATGGGTTTTATCTTGCCGATCTAAAAATAGCTTTAAAGAAATTTCCAGCCGAGCATCACTGTTGTTCAGCCTCCATCTAGACAGCAGAGAGCACGATGGTAGAATTTTATTTATTGAATCATTTGGATGCTTTTAAAGGCTGTCACCACATTTTGAATCCAGCAAACTAGGGCTGCACGACACGAGGAAAATGTGTGATAACATTGTTTAATACCACTTAACCGTGATAAATGAAGAGATATTAAAGTTCACTCAGTTTTCTGCTGCTCTCAGTATACTGCTAAAATGCAATGACATGCTTGTTGAATCATAAAAAAAAGTACCTATTCTCGGCAGTCTTATATTTCACAAATTATACATCGATGTGAACACAAAAGGTACCAATAAAAAAAAGAATGATAGTCACACATTAAAGTGCAGTTTTCTACTGATACTCTCTTCCTACTAACTAAAAGAAATCCCTGAGTGCAATATTGCAGTCTTTTACTTTGTGTTTATCCAAAATTTGACATCAAAATGATGATTAAAAAAAACAGTATCTTAACTACTATGATAACTAACAATTATTTTTATTGTCAGTTCATCTGTAGATTACTTTCTCGATTTATCAATTAGTTGTTTGGTCTATAATATGTCAGAAAATGGTTAAAAATGTTGATCAGTGTTTCCCAGAGCCCAAGATGACCTCCTCAAGTTTCTTGTTTTGTCCACAACCCAAAGGTATTAGTTAATAGTCATAAAGGTTTAAAGAAATCAGAAAATATTCACATTTAAGAAGCTGGAATTAGAGAATTTAGTCAAATTGATAAATTAAGTATCCAGTAATATGGTGAATAATAGTTGTAAATTAATCAATTTACCAATTAATTTTTTTCTTGGGCATCCTCTTGGTGGTTTTCTTCACTTAATTTGTATCATATCAATATATTGATCTATATATTACAATACAATTACAATACAATATGTTGTAATCAAGAATATACATATTTATACCTTAGCTTCACAAACTCAAATGATAATATGATTAATCTACAACAATTTTGATGATTGATCTGTCATTTAAATATTTTTTAAGCAAAAATGCCAGAAAAGTCACAGGTTCCAGCTTCATAAATGTAAATATTTGCTGGTTTTCTTTGTCTTCTGTGACTGTAGGTTTTTTGTGAATATTGAATATTGAATATATCAACATTAGAGCTGCAACGGTAAGTCAACTAATTGATTAGCCAACTATTTTGATAAACAGTTTATTGATTCAGTCATTTTTTCAGCAAAAATGTCAAACAAGAGTGAAGAGTCTTAGGGGTTTGGACTGTTGGTTGTACCAATGAAGCAATATCAAGACATCACTTTGGGCTCTGGAAAATTGTAATGAGCATTTTTCAATTTTTTTGTTTTTTGACATTTTATAGACTAAACATTTAATTGTGAAAATAATCAGATTAATCAAAAATGAAAACTAGAAAAGCACTCAGAGAGTGCAGACCTCCGCCAAGCAGCTCGGATTTCCTGCCATTTTATTATTTTATCCACTTCACTTCAACTGATCACCACCAAAATTTTATCATCTGTTCCTTGTCCCATTATCAACCTTTCCTGAAAATTTCATCAAAATCCATTCAGAACTTTTTGAGTTATTTTGCAGACAAACAAACAGACCAATACTGGCGAAAACATAACTTCCTTGGCGGAGGTAATAATAGTCAGTTGCAGCCAAAGTCAACATGAATTCGGTTGATTTTTGATGATTTTCTAACACTTTTAAGACCAAACAATAATAAATTAGTCAAGATAATACAAATTAATTAAAATAATAAGCTGCAGCCCCATTAAAGGACCACTCTGGATTTTACAAGGAGAATACACAGTTTACATCTCCAAGTACGCACCATTAACAGCACAATAAACTTATAATCAACAAAGCCTCCTAATGGTTTGTTCAATGATTTTTCTGCTGCTATCGATCTGATATACATTAGTCTTGTCTGTGAGCGGTGCTTGATTGTCACGTCTTGTCTGAGGAACAACGTCGTGAACAGAGATTGATGTAACAAGCCGGTCAGGAATGTTAAGTATCTTTGTTAAACTACTGCTGTAAATTATTTGCATGAGGACGGCGTTTGTTTACTCCCACAATCTGCCGGTAAGACGCCTCAGTGAGACATGGAAATTGTCCATGTGCAGTCATGGTTGACATGTCAAACAGAGACAGTAGGTGGGACCGAGAGGCAGCATGTCAGAACGCCTTAATTACTTTTCTATGCAGCTGCAGGACATAGGGAGGGAATCCAGTTTGACAGCTTTCTGTGGGCAGGGCGTGTGTTGTCTGTGGGTTATTTGTGTGTGTGTGAAGATTCTGTGATGTGTTTGCAAACCTACCTGGCCCACTGGCTCTAAAGATAGAAGCCACACCTGCTCCCCTCCCACTTTTGTTGAACATTATACTGCTATGTGCTGTCAAAGTAGGAAGTGGAAGCTGCTCTTGCTCTGAGTGGTGAAAACTGACATGGAAGTCTGGGATTTAATCATTTTTTTAAAAGCACGTGGGTAGATGGAGGCAACATGAGTGTAACAGAGTGACAGTAGGCTGCCTTGGGTAAATAAACTTCGCTTGACAGGACAGAGAGATCCGGCAACAGTGAGTAATATCATGACCACGGGAGCATGCGTGGAGAGGGAATGACAGAAATCCTAGACGGAAGTAGAAAGGAAAGAGTGAAATACTTAAGATCCAAGCCCTGTCATTTCACCCTCGGCCGGCTGCTGCTTGGACTAAACAATTAAAAGGGGCCCCTGGGAGGCTTCCCTGCAGGTCGGGGTTGCTACGGTGGCATAGTATTGTTAATGAATCTCCAGGGAGAGAGAGAGAGCAGAGAGAGAGAGAGAGAGAGAGAGAGAGAGAGAGAGAGAGAGAGAGAGAGAGAAGAGCAAGCCGGAGCATATGTGGGGCTGTGAGTGTTACTGAGCGGCATGATATGGTTTCACTCTGAGGAAAGAAGGTCAGAGAGAACAGAGGGCTGGAGCTCTTTCAAGAGGACACCAAGAGAAGAAATGTTTGCCTTTGTGTTTACAAACCTCCTGTGGTCGTGTTCAGGAATGCCTTTTAAGCTGCCGGATCAGGATATGACTTCCACCTGCTGTCGAGGATGACACTTTTTTTCTATGACACCAACTCTCACTGTTGCTGGATGATTTTCTCTCTCTCACAATATTTACCTGGAACTTGTTCTACCTCCACCTGGCAGCATGTGATTGAGATGAAGTGAATGTCACCATCTCTATCTGTTTACTCTTCTTGTGTGTGTGGCAAACACATAGAAACTGTTGCTTGGAGCTAACCACAACGTTGCTCGCTGCTTCAGTCCCCACTGGACTTTATTCTCATTTGTGGTTGCACAGCTCAGCCTGATAGATCACGGCAAATGGATACCTCTTTTGATGACTCCAGTAAAGCAGCTCCAACATAATAAACCGAGGTTGGAAGTTCTCCCTTCCTGCGTCTATCTTTTACCATGGATTCCTACCGCTCGTACTGGAACTCAAGCATGCGGAGCACAGCGTGGGTGGAAGGGGAGGACCAGGATGTGTACGAGGTGGAATCTCGTGTACCCCTTCCCCGACCTTTCCCAATGTCCAGCACCTTGAATGAGAAGAATGCTGTCATTGTGCAGACGCAAATCTCACATGTCAATCACAGGACTAATGGTCACCTTCTTAAGGTTATCTCCAGAATCTCCCTGCCCACTCCTCCTTACACCGTAAGTTTACACCCGACAACTGTACTGTGTTGGACAGGTTTGTGTCATTTAAAACAGATGGAGAGAGCTGTGCTGTTGATTAATACTTCATGGGTACAATTACTGCCGCCTGTTTCATGCCGTTCAGGTCTGCACATGCAGATGTGATGTAAGTAAATGTCATTCCACGTCGGAGCACAGCAGCTCTTTTGAATCAGCAGGTGAAAGATTATATGACATCTGTGGCAGGGTCACGTTACCACTTCCTGCTTCCCATAATGTAACAATGAGACCTTTGCTCAGGAAGATAAGGGAATCTATGGAAACTAACTGTGGGATGAATGCGAGTGTGTCGACAGGTTATTGCAATATGGTGATGTCATAGCTGTTCCGCAAGAATAAAACGCCGTTTGTCACCTGACCTGAAGGTCATTATACGAATGTGATATCAGTATCATTTGGTTACATCTGCACCTAACCTCATTTTGTTATTGACATTTACATAGGTGGCTTTTTTGTACAGTGCCAGTGCACTTACATTAAAGTCTGTCTGCACATGCATATTTGTATTTGTAATTTGCAATTTGTAATAGTGTATCCTTAAAGGTGACAATAAAATGAATTTCTTAGTAAGTTAAAGGTAAATTGCTTGAAGGAAAACTTCACCTCAAAGTTAAATATTTTTCCTCTTACCTGTAGTGCTGTTCATCAGTCTTGATTGTTTTGATGTGAGCTGGCAAGTGTTGGCGATATTGGCCGTAGAGGTGTCTGCCTTCTCTCCAATATAAAAGAACTAAATAGCACTTGGCTTGTGTTGCTCAAAGCGCCAAAAAAATAAATAAAAAAATTGAAAACTCAACAGCATGCACCCACTCAAGAACAAGAGGCTTGCGTTCGGGACTGCGCAATATATTAACATTAATGGGTTCCTTCTTGGCCAAGCTGTACAGTTCACTAGCTCAGTGATGCTAGGTGAGCTACCAGTAGAGGCACGCTTCCTTCTGCGTAGGGATGTGGTTGTAGTTCAGTAAAGAGAAAATAGTTCCTACATGAAACTCCTCCTCAGGTCTGTGGCTTATCTTGAGTGAATAGGTCATGATTTCTAGAAAGACACATTGCTGTTGAGGTTTTCAAATGCATTTTTTGGCGCTTTGAGCACCACAAGCCGAGTGCCATCAAGTTCCATTATATTAGCAAGAGGGCAGACATTTTTACGGCTGATATTGCCAACACTTGCCAACTCACACCAAAACAATCTAGATTTATAAATTGCACAACACGTAGGAGGAAAAATATGTATTTTTGATTTGGGGGTGAACTGTCCCTTTAACTTGATTTATCAATTTGCTCTCCAGCTGCATCTTTTTTAAATTAATCATACTGGTATTGAACTTAAATTTACTTTATATATTTATTATGCAGATAGAACAAATGGGCTGGAAGATGTAGTTGAAATCAATATTTTGATACTAGAAGGAAAACTTTCTGGATTCAGTAATTATGTTACAGTAAATGTATATGTGTAATGTGTATCAAATAGACACTGAAAGCAATTAATTGTGGTCCACTGTTATGTATTACATGAGACTTAATTTTTTTATATGTAGAAAAGAGTTTCATTTTAATTTTGTTAGATTTGAACAACTTGCTCTGTATCATTAACATGGACAGCAGAGGTTTGTAGTGCAGTAATACGATCAATTACATCAATGTTTGATTCAGCTGAAAGTGGTAAATGATGAGGAATAAAATTAAATAATTAATGTGAGAGAAACAAAAACTTTTCCCATAATGCAGCTTAATAACATCTTTCATTAGATCCTTGCTGCCTTCTTAATAGACACTTCTTTCAGACCCCACAAATCCAATTTGCGACACAGGCTTTTCATTTAAAAAAATGTAAATCTTGAGTCCAAGCTAAGATGACATCATTGGCCACCAAAGACATTATACAGCTGTTGACACCAGTGGGGTAGTTCTCCTTGTGACAAGTAAACTGTTGTGTAAAATCGGTGGCGTGCCCCTCCAGGGCAAACGATTCATTTTCAGTGTTTGTTCTTCTAAGCTTATTAATACAAGTCTTCCTTCCCCTGACTGTTCTTCTTGCGTGATATTATCTTTCCTGAAGACAAAGGAAATCCAAGATACACTGTTGGGTTTTTGCAAAAATTAAAATGCTTTTATTTTAATGGCAATATAGATTAAAAAGACCAACACATTGCGAGTTGCAACGCTTTGGTCTTGCAATGAACCCTGCAAAAGATGGAATAACCGTCTCTTTCCTGTTCCCCTCTCAGCTTGAACATGCCCGGATAACCCAGACTGAGCTGATGCGGGAGTCCTTCCGCCACAACCAGGAGATGAGCGAGCTGCTGCAGAAGCAGGAGGAGCTGCAGGAGAGGCTGTCCGAGGAGGCCCGGGCACGCGAGCAGCTGGCTCTGGAACTTCACCGCGCTGAGGGTGAGTTTGTCTGGACAATGAGAACATTTTTAGGAATTACCATGTGCACGGAATAAACAAATGAGTTTCTCCGACGTACTTTAGGTAAGCGTTGGTCAATTTTTATGTCCCTGAGGAAGTCTGCACAGTAGGGCTGGGTATTGGTACTCGATACCTTTAAGGTATGGCGTGAAATAACACAGTACCATGTAGTATCCAGACTTCTACAGTCAACACAATACCTGTATTTGTGCTTTTTTTTGTATCCAGATCTAGAAAAAATTTGTATGGTTTAACTCGAAGCCAATCACCACAAGTGATCTTAAATTTAATGCAACATGTGATTGGCCCACTACTGCAGCAGCTACAATCCATACAGTCTGTGGTGTGGTGAAGTCAAAGGCGATGTATTTTACAGAGTTGGCACTTCAGCGTCCATAGATGCCACCACAGCGTTCAAAAGTAATCAAATAATTAAAGAAGTTAACTGAATGCTTCCATTTACATAATGAGTATCAAATGAAGTAGGAAAAAAGGTATCATATGAAGTATTCTATTGGTATTGGCATCACTTTAAGGGTACCGGTATTGAACTTTTTTAAGCGATACCCAACCCTACTATCATCCGCTTTTTGCAGCTTCGAAAAACCATCTTCTTCAATGCAGCCTCCGTACAGGAAGAAACACAGTACCTCTCTATTCTTCTAATTGATGATGTGCGAATGTGTGTCTGTATGTCAGAATGATTACAGAAAACAGAGAGCATAAGGAGGAGCTGCAGTGAAAAGGCATGTGTGCATCTGTTTGGGGGAGGGGGGGTGTTACAGGGTGTGATGGGATCAGCTGTTAAAAAGGGAGAGTGTGAGACCATCTGTGGTGAGAAAACGACAAATGTTATTTTCTGTTTCTGATTTGCCTCTGACAGCTAAATTATGAGGCTTTGTGTCTGGAGGTGATGGTATTTGTGTGAGAACAAAGTAAAATCTTGAAGCTTGACTAACTTCAATTAACCGGGAAGTCAGTTACCAATGTTTAACAACAGTTTAGGTGCTTTGAGAGATCTTGCTGCGGGTACAGCTAACTCGATGTCCCCTCCATGTCAGAGACAGCTGGTCCACTAGGGTCAACTGTTAGAAACACATCCACTCTCTCACTCACCAGACGACTGGGCTCATTTTAAGTCCCTCACACAGTTTAGCTGAAGTATAGTCATTTCTTTCTTTCTGGCTCTGTGTAGACACTGAACAATGGTGAGTTTATTGCTTTTCTCTAATCTTAATCATCTGTAGTAGTATCCTGGTATGATGTTTGTTTCTATTATCTTACAGAGGTGCTGAAGAATGGCAAATATTTGCTGTCATAAAATGCTTTATAGTTTTACAGCAGATACAGATAAAGCATGTGGTGAGTGTTAGAAAATAAAAGGGACATCATTATAAAGAAAAGGCAGGGCAACTAACAGTTATTTAAATGTCTATTTATCTGCTGAGTTTTTGAATAATTAAATAAATGTGATCATCTTGCCTGTTTTCACCTAGACCAACAGCCTAAAACATTTTCTTATCAAAGAAAGCAACAAATCCTCACACTTTAGAGGCTGAAACCAAAGAGCAGTTAATATTTTTGCTTGGGAAAAAAAACTGAGGTGATCGCTCAGTTAGTAAAATGGTAGCCGGTAAACATTTGTCAGTCGACAAATCAGTGAATCGAATATTAGTTGCAGCTGTAATAGAGAATAAATGCTGCACCCTGGGGTTGCGCATACTGGTTTCATGGTATACCATGATATGAAAATTGACTGTTATCATAGTGTGTACATTTCTTTATCTATGGTATTGATAGAAAATGCAACCAGATGGACAATCTCAACTTTATTTAATTTATTTATAATCAAAAGTGAGACTTTTTTACACATACTTCCATAAAAAATTGTTTTAATTTTCAATTATAGTAAGGCGTTTTTTTTAGCCAAAAAGAAAACCCTTCTGTTTTCATTCCCCTTATGGGCCACTGCCACTAATGATGATCATGATATTAATAATAATTGTGTAAAACTGTGTATCATGATCCCGTCAATATTTTTTGAGGCTGTTATTGTACCGTAAAAATCTCATACCGCTTTAAGTCCACTACAATCCCATAGTAACATCATGTTATTTCATGTTAAAGAGTCACAGAGCGGCTGTGCCTGTCTGATCCTGTGGCATGCGGTTTCTTCATTAACTTTAAAGGAGTGCTTGCAGTTTGCGTAGCCTGAATCTCTTGGACATCTACTTGTACAAATGCCAATGATATGATAATTCGCCTCCTATTGTGTGCATGATCCACGCAGGTAAAAGCTCAGGGTGCGGCCCTTTTTTAAACTGGTTTTGAATGAACCAAAAAGACAGGCTCAACCTGGAAAAAGATCCTCTTCACTGATGACGGGACGTATTATATGTCAGTGAAAAGGATGGAAAGTCTTCTCTTGTTATGTTTTAACAAGGGGAAAATGGGCTAAGTTGGACAATATGAAGATGTGGAGTTGTTGTCTGGCAGAGTAAATGTGATTATATATTCCCAGGAGAGCTCTGTGTAGGTAGTGGAGAGTGTTTTTAAGTCAGTAATCATGTGCATCTGATGGCTGTGTATCGTGGAGGGATCCCTCCTTAGGCAAACTTTACACACAGCTCTGGTTCCTGCTTGGATGTCGATGAAATAACACCTGACAGCACAGGTGACATTTACCTTCTGCCTCCTCTAGATAACACAGAGCACATTGTGAGCTCCAAACAAGAATCCGATAAGGAAATATGTAAATTTTACCTGCAGAGCTGGTCTCACTCTATGCCAAAGTTGCAGTTTCAGTAAATGAATAAAGGGTTTCTCATTAGTCTGTTAGTGTGTGCGAACCCCCATTTTCTTGTGACTACGGGCTGAATACCATCCTGGTGCTTAATGCTTGCTGACCTGTGACAGAGCAGTACAGTAATGATGGAGCATTTCATTGTGTTTACAGCTCAGTCTTGTACTTCATGTCAAGCAAAATGGGTCAGACATGCTCACTGGTGTTCATCTTTGCATTTGTATGCATGTTTGTGTGCCTCTGCATTTATGTACGTGTGTTTTTGTTTGCGGTTGTGTTGTTGGTAACCTTGGATTTTGTATCCTGCTGTTAAGTGCTTGTTCATCTGGATGGCTGCCCTCTGTATGTGTGTGTGTGTGACTGAAGCTAGACTTAAGGCTCCAGATAATTCCTCTATTAAGTGATTGCAGGAATTAAAGGATCAAAAAGAGGCAATAACTTTATGGAAGGGAAAGTTTGTATATGAACACCCTTTTTATTTGTCCTGCTTATGTGCAAATTCAGGTCTGATTGATGGCTACACGGACGAACGGGCTGCGTTGGAGGAGCAATTGCGTCAGAAGGAAGAGCTCCAGCTGAGCCTCGAGCAGGAGCTGCAGGTGAGGCATTCCAGCTGCAAGCAGGAGGAAAAATAATTAACCTTTTTTATGATGGCACATGACCTGACAACGTTTAAAGGTAGATTTTTTGATATTGCCTCTGGCGCCGAACAGTAGTGACTCACGTGTAAGCAGAGTTACTTAAGGTTCAATGAGGAAGATAGGATAGATAGAGGTTGTAAGTCTGGTCTTTTTCTTATCATCAAGAAATCCTGTTAAAAGGCCAGAACCAACAATAAGTATTATATGTGTAGCTAAAGTCAAATATAGCTTCACAGTATGGAACATAGAGAGTCCTTTAAGTGACAGCCCATATCTAACACAGATATCAGAGTTTTCTTCCAGGCTGACACTGACGGTCTTTTCTCCATGCAGGTGACAGGTAGCCGGCTGCACGAGTTGGAGCAGGAGAGGCTTCAGATGCAGGAGGAGCGTGAGCTGCTGTCACGGCAACAAGACGCCATGAGGGAGCATGCAGGGCCCCGCGAGCTTCGTACGTATCCCAGAATTTCCTTACTGAAAATATATACCGATTTTTAGGAAGTTATCATTGTTACAGTTTAAAGGAAATATTAGGAAATCACATCCACATCCAAACACTAAATATATCTTTGATTTTGTGAATGTAATTGCATTATAGGCCATAGTTACTATGCCAAAGATAATAGATGAAGAAACCAAAACACAAAATTTCTCAGAATCTGTATTTAGATTATTAACAAATAGGTTTTCACATACACAGAAATTCTTTGGTGTTTGGTGCATATCAACAATAAAAGCAAGTATAGAAAAATCAAGAAACATAAAACCTTTTGTGCTCTTTTATTAATTCTCAAATTTCAATTGACAGTATGACACAGTTGTATCAAAAGAGAAACAACTCACCTAAATTAAAACATGAATTGTTCCCTGAATTACACTTTACAGCTTAATTTGGTGTGAACCATTAACCCAGGGTCAGTGTCAGCTGCGTGCCACATAGTAGTTATCACTGTTTTTAGTACCTCCTTCAAAGTTGTGTATATTGACGGTATATAGTACCCAGATCTGCATCTACACAGGGCCTCAGCTCTGATTTAAAGGTTCACAGGCCTCATGTTGATTTCCTTTGTAGTTCTAGTGTTGCTGTGGCCTAATGGAAATAACAACAATTTACGAGCCACAATTTGACTGCATTGTCAGCGACAGGAATTCAGACCAAAGTTCAAATGTTCATATTTAGAATGTTTTTTCATCGTAAAAACACTGAGGAAAGTCTTATCTACATTTCTTTCACACTTGCCACAAGTCATACATGTACAGGTATTTGCCAAGAAGTTTGGAAGCTGAGAACGGCAGTGCTTGCAATTATTTTTTTAATAACGTTATCTCAAGATAACGAAGCTTGTTTTCTCGTGATCATGGGGTAATTTATGTCCAGTCTCGAGAAAACAAAATGAGGAGCTCTTGAGATAACAAGTCATTTTATCACTTTCGTTTTCTTGAAATCTCAGAGTAGTTAGGGAGAACTCAAAAAATGAGTGTCTGGTTCAGTTGATCACAGCTGATAATAGCTTTTACGATCACTGTCATGTCTAAATGTTATCTCTGGAAGAAAGACACAGCTCGATATGTGCCTGTGTTAGACCTTGATTGAAGTACAGTCTGATGCGTTGATCAGTAATGGACACTCCTTGATCTGACGTTTTCATCTTAAATCAGTTGTAACAGTTGTCAAGACACCATCTGTGTGTGCTGGCATGGCACTCCTGGTGGTTGGTTATCTTTACGTACCAAAATAATTAACCCTTGTTCTTGGGATAACGTCATTTAAAAAAAAAAAGATTGCAAGCACAGCTGTTTTTGGCTTCCGGAAAGACGTGCTCTGGAAACATGAAGATTAATGACTTTACCTACTAATCTTGCATTATTACCCCTGGATGAAAAGAAAGGTATGCCATGAGTTCATTCTCTGATAAAATGGTGAGTATCTAAAAGTAGCATCTAAGGGTAAAAAATCAAAAGGGCTATTACGGAAATTTTTTCCTTTCACAGCATCCTTTCCACAGCTTTAACCTGCAGCTGTGAAACACACAGTGCTGTTCTACCTTCACCCTTTTCTATTCTTTATCTGAGAGTTTTCCTGTTCATGACAAAAACAAGAGCATGTTACATTCCTGTGCTTTCTTATTCTCCTGTAGGCCTAGTTGAAGCTGCAATGGTTGCAGCACCTGAAGCAGGTGTGTCCACTTTGAGCATGGCTCAGTCATGTATCTACTATATGTTCTTTTAATTGTCTCACTGTAGCCGAGTGACAGTTTATCTCTTTAACCCTAATCCAGCAACTCACCAACACAGCTTGGAGCTTGCTTGCTATGAGCTCACAAACTCACTCAGTTCAATCACTAACCTTTGCTTCAGCTTTTCATTTTGATTGATTTGTGTCCCAGTTCGTCAGTTTTACTGTCTTGGAGTCAATGTTAGTACTCATTTTAGCATGACGAAATGAAAGTAATCTTAAGACACATACATGTAGTCATTATTTCCTAACTGTCAATCATCTGCATTCTGAATTGAGGCATCTTTTTTTAACTGTAACATATATTTTAGATCTGTAGTTGCTGCTCTTACAGCATATCTTTGAGCGAGATGATTGGCCGTTCAGGAAGTCCCTCTCCCCCTGCCTGTAAATGCTTATTGGGCATGGATATGGCAATGTCTGGGCTGTCCACGTGTCTGTTCTGTCATATGCACTTTCTCACCTTGTTACTTTTGCACTAATCCTGTGGGGTTTGATCCTGGGTGAACCGGTGTGGGTTGTTCATTGGTGGCAGCGGACGGGCAATGAAGCATCATGATGGGGAATCCTGTTCAGTAACGGGGCGTTACTGTATGTTGGGAAGTTGACTGAGATGTTGGAAGAGTCTGAGGTTAGCCTTGTATTCAGAAGCTGTAAAAGTGACCACAACATATAAAACTGCAACATTTCAGATAAGGAAGTTTTTTAACAACATGATAAAAAACAATTAAATCTAATCACATGGCTCACAGACTTCAGACTCGTCCATAGATCATCTCAGCATCCTGTTCGTCACTGAAATCAAACCTGAATGAATCATTAATCGAAGTTAGCCAACTTCAGTTGACAGGCAGTGATACCTAACCTCTCCTCCAACCTCCACTGTATTCTGTAGACCTGCTAGAGGAGACGGAGAAGCTGATGAAAGAGAAGGTGGAGGTCCAGCGTCAGGCAGAGAAGGAGAATGCCGACCTCCTGAAGCAGGTGAAGCTGCTGGAGGTGGAGCTGGAGGAGCAGGTCAACAGGGTGGTCGAGTTGGAGCACGCTCAGAGCACAGAGAGCGGAGACCTCCGACAGCAGGTCCAAGCACTGGAGAAACAGCTGGAGAAGAACAGGAGGTTCCTCGATGTAAGTGACAAACAAAATGATCGCTAGTGTCAAGCAGCTGTGCGGCTTATATGAAGGAATATTTCACTCCTCAATCAATGAATACATTGAATGTGATAAGAAAACTTTGTGGGGGTTTTTTTTTTTGCATGCCTCCATGGTAAACAAAGAATCCCAAATGGAGAGAGGTCTTGATGAATTGAAGTCATATATCAAAACATTTGTTTCTAAACTCACACAACTTGTGCAGTATAACTCAAGTCTCATTTATCAAGTCATATGCTCAGTGCTCTATGTGCTGATGACTGTTTCTTGTGACTGGATATAATGCAGGCAGCACCTTATGTTAGAGTAGACAGGTTAGTTTAGTTTAGTTTGCATTTTTGCAAATGTAGCCAGACTTTAATTTGAATGCTGGTTAATAAAGTCTCACTGTTATGAAGTCAGGGAAGAGATAACTGCTAAAGACTCATATTGCAGCTTCAGGCTCAAGCTATTCAAAATATCTAAAAGCCAACCTGGTGATTTCATAATTGAGTTGTTGAGTTTGTTCCCGTTGTCATAACTGGTTCTCTTGGCCTGGAGTTGGCACGTCATTGTCTAGATGGGGTTTGAATGCAGATTCCTTCTATTGTCCTGTTGATGTTGGTTATGCACAAATTTGAAATGAGCACATTAGTAAACATGTCATTTTTTAATTAGATTATTTGTCCAATCCTCTTCCTCATAGAGACAGACAGTCGCATCTTTCTGTAGCGTGCCGTAAAAATGGAAATCTAGATTTCATTTGTGTGTTTACAGCGTGGGTTAATGAGATCATCAAACATTTTCTCTGATCATCATCTGAGAAAATTATGATTCTTATATAAATGGAGACTCACTGGATTTCAGCCTCTCTTAAAAACATTTTTGAGAAATGCTTCTGTCACCTACGTGTCATTTGCTCTGTGTATTCACATTTATGTGACATTTGCCTGAACTTTTGTTACTGAAGTATACAAAGACAACAATGGCACTGTATGTCAGTGCTTACCTCATCAGATGGTCGCCCAAAGGCGTACAATCTGCAGATTATGCATCACCCAAAGCACTTTTGCAAACTCTCAACTGTAGCTACAGGTGTTTGCATTGGTGTCCCTAAAGGTGACTTCTGTCCAAGTTGTCAGTCATCATAATCTGCAGCAAGTAGGATTTAATAACAGTTAAATGATCCCATTAAAACTATCTCCTTCACTTCAGACTTGTGTAACATTGACCAGACGACTAACTGTAAGTAGGAGGAAAATTCAGCACATAGACACTTGCTTTCCCAAAAAAAAGAGCAGTTTTATTAAGGAAACCTGTTTCTCAAAATGTTAATTTGTCTTTGCAGATAGGATAAGCCTGTCTTGAAGATCTGGTTTAACATTTTCCTATTTCTGTCTTTATTTTGGTGTCCAGGAACAAGCTGTGGACCGAGAACACGAGCGAGATTTCTTCCAGCAGGAGATCCAAAAACTGGAACAACAGCTGAAGAATCCACAGAAGCTACAGGCTGGCTCTGAGCAAAGAAACCAAGAGGTAACAAGAGAAAGCTCTGTTCTCTGCCAGAGGACCAGGCATTAATGGAGATGCTTATTTTCTGAACATAACACTGTTGTTGTAGCTATGAGCACTGAGCTGAGAGTCACACAGCAGAACAATAGAGCTGGTAGAATTACCTGCGCCACCTCGAAAATGATACCAAATAGTGGGAGTGTTACTCAGACGAAGAAGTGAGATTAATGTTTGTTCTTGTGATACTTTGTGAGTTGTGTAATAGTGGGTTTTATTTGCACGATCATCAAATGCAGAATACAGTGGGAGTGAAAAGATTTGCTGAAGTTAATCGCTGCTCTGCTGCATCTGTTACTCACATACAAAATGTTGTGTGTCCAATTCCCATACTATTTAATATGCTAGAAAAAGATCTATGTCCAAGTACGTAGCATATCAAATGCAGTGTGCAAAAATGCCAGGATGTTCTACTGCATCTAGTCTTAGTGCTAGCCAGCATGCTTTTCTAGTTAGATCAGTTTCAGTGACCGTGTCACAGACAGATGACAGCTTGACAGCTGACTGATGCTGCACTAATTTTAATCAATCAATCACAAACCATTTAAAAAATGTGCAGTTATATCTTGAAAGTTTAAACTACATGCTTTACAGTGTGACAACAGCAGAGCTCTGGGTTGACCTCTGTCTCTGGGGAGCTCTGCGAATGGTAATTTGTTCTATCTCCAAGATAATGTTAAGATCTGCTGTGGTCCAAATGGCATACTTTTTCTTTTTGCTTCAAATCTAGCGTTATCGACTGTGACGGATATACAAGCAAGTTACGACTATGAATATGAAGCAGTATTACTATAATTTCATATAACAGTATGTACTTTTTATGGCAGCTGCAGTACATGCTGGGGTAAAAAAAAAAAGTATGCCATTTGCAGCCTGTGCGTGATGTGCATTTTCACATAAGTACAAATACATGGTATGTAATGTAATGCCTGATATCACATTTCAGAAGTGAATACTCATGTCAGGAGGTCACAACTGCTGACAGCTTACAGGCTAAATTCAAATGATTTCGCTTAAGGTTGCGCTTACCAAATTTTTTATATTAACAACAGATCAGGTGAAGATTTGTAACATAAAAGGTGTTGCTTTTATTGATGAACACGTAGAGGTTTATCACCCTCTCAATGCGCTGTTCCCCTCAGCTCTACTGAGTGTTTTTAGTAATTCAGATCATTGTTTTGTTTAATCTCACTGCTTTTATCAACCTTGTTTCCCCACCGCTGTTTTCATCTTAAAAGCTCAAATAAAACCCACTTTAACTTGTTCAGCACCAAACAACAGAAGGACAAGTAGTTTATGAACATAGCAGCTGAAGAGACTGATATTTCCACTTCAAATTAATATTGATATTGCTCTGTATCTGCTGGATGTGTAAATAGGTGACTGTTTGCCAACATTGCCAGATCCAATTATGGGAAGGTTATTATAAGTCCATAATGTGTTCACACCTTGTTCCTCTGCCCCCAAGTGGCCAAAAACAATTCAGTAATGACACACATTACACCTAGTCTGACATTGCCAGATAAATTCACAAATGCAACTCAGGGTTAGTTTGTTTGGGATTTCCAAGAGGCATCATCAACGGCCGTAGATCAAAATGCAAGTGGACAGACCTACAACCAATCAACTATGACTATGGCTTGCAGAGATGAGCTGTGATGATGTGGCATCAGTATGTCTGTGTCGCCATTTTCACAATCAGGCTTTGAAAGTAGTACTTAAGTGGAAAGTTCCACATCAGCTGCAGCCATCTTTGTTGTTTTCACAAACGTCTTGACGGTGGTCTTCTTCACGAAGCTAGGTTTATGCTCTCCATAGTGTCCTCAGCGCAAGGGTGCGTGAGCATCAAACACGCTCAATATCAGATTAACACTTAACCACCTGAGTCCACCTGAAAATCTGTCTGAGCGGAGGGAGACCTGAGGCATAAAACATGAGCTTGCCAGGCACATTACACCTGCACCATGACACGTCTAACATAAAATGTATTGTTTTTAGGATCGCGATTAACTTCTACAGATACTGGTGCTAGTCTTCCCAGTAATCTTTGCTATCGAAAGTCAGTTCGACGTAACTTCCGGTTCTTTGTCCTGTCCTGATTTGTTGGCTGAATTTGATGGTCACATTTTCACAATTTTATTTCACTGTACATAAAAATATTTAGGAAATATTGAGGATTGTTTGACAGTAACAGAAATAACAGAAGATATTTCTTTTTGTGCATCAGTCTCCTTCATCACAGCAGTAACTGAATTCAGGTTTAACCTCAATGTTGTTTTGTTTTCTGTGTGGTGTTATAAATTTTCCCTTGTCATTTTTCATCCACTTTTAATCTAGCCTCCAGTTCACTCCAGGCAAGGAGAAATGTAATTTTGATCAACACTGTTGTCGTCATATTGAAGCGCTAATTATGTCCCCAAACCAGATGACTGGCTCCTGCACAGGACAAAATAATTTGACAGTAAAGCGTTATATCCTGTTTACTCTGAAGGCATTGTGTTTATCAGAAATTCAACTCATTTGCCTTTTGATAATATAACAGAACACAGTTGCCTTCAGAAAATAAGCTGCATTGGGTTATGGGCCCTCTGTGCATTTCACTTTCCCGATCTGAAACATCATTTGACAAGATAAGTCAGTTGTTCCATCAGGGGAAGATGAGTTTAGTATACAGTGCTATCAAAGTGTTTCCTGTAACTAAAGTATCCTTGATTTGCCCTTGCTGCTTATTAGTCTTTGAAAGGTCTGTCTGTTTGTTCCTTTGTAAATTAGATTGAGACTTTAATTATTTCCTTTGCGGTTGCTTTGAGTCATGCTATACATTAGTTGTGTTTATAGTATTGCTTCATACATCAGTTTCATTTCTGCTTTAAACTCACAGGCTATACCTCAGAAGATAACCTCTACTATTTCTATAATTTCCAGAGACTGCTGCCACGTTTTTATCACTAAGTGCTTTTTCTTCCCCCTCTTGCCCTTGAACTGTCCATCCTCTGATCCCTTATGCCTCTTCCTTCTCTCTCCCGTGGCTATTACAGGTGGATGGAGTAACCTCTAAGGTATTGCTTCTAGCTACACGTAGAGTCCAGTCTACCCCAGAGAGTATTTAGTGCATTTTAGTAATCCCGCCCGACCCTGTAGCAATTAATGGACTGTCCGTCTTTCTCATCCTTTTTCCTCTCTCCAGTTTGATCCCTATCTGCCGTGTTTGTCTTCATCTGGACACGACTTCAAAACACTCTTTCCTCCCATCTCTTCCTTTACTGTCCCAGTGTAAAACTCAACATCAAAGTAAAGTAGGGTGTTCACAAGCTCAGTGTAGAATCAAAATCAAGATTACAAAAAGTTTACGTCCCCGAGGGGCAATTTGCTTTTCAGACAGTAGTCCAACACAGATACATGCAATACAATATTCACAACACAGCATAAGGTCCATATCTCCTACACTGACACCATGAATCATGGACAAAGAAGACAAAATGACATCCAGAGTTATAATTTGTTTAAATTCCAATAGCAGAGGAGATAAGTGGCAATCTGTATCTATTAGTGCAGCCTTTGGGGAGTCTAAACCTCCTCCCTGATAGAAGCATCTGGAACTCAACATGTAACAGATATCGAGGGTCCCAAACATAGAGTGTGCCTTTGAGATGCCCCTCACTTTATACAAGTGCTAAACGTCATTAAGGGTAGCACCAGTAATCACCTCATCAGGAAGCCTGACAGTTTTCCCCGTTTGTTCCTATTTTTACGACTTAAGACTTCCAAACCAGCAAGTCGTAGAAAAAGAAAGGACAGACTCAATAAAAGAATAAAACCTTTTTGTTGAGTCATGTCCATGTTAAAACTTCTCAACTTCCTTAAAAAGAGCAACCATTCATTCGCCTTTTTACATATAGCATCTGTATCTGCATCACATGCATAAATACTAACACTTCACTTTAACTTAGTAGTATCCTAAATAAGGACTGTCCTTAGATACAGTTATATAAAACCCACTTTTGCATACTTTGAAAGGCTTTTCATATTTTTCATAGGCTATGCAAATACATTAAAGGAACACTTCTCCCACAAAGTTACCATTTGTATATCAAAATGCAGTGTTACCTTGAATTTGTTTAAAAAAAAAAAAATCTTTTTTTTTTTTTACATGCCTCCACAGAAAACAGCAAAAATAATTATTTATTGCTTGATTAGGGACTGTGTTTAACAACAGCAAAAACTATATCAAAACATCCCTTTACAAACTGTCACACAACTCATGCAGTATAATCCAAGCCACATTTATGCAGTTGTAGAATAGAATAGAAGACTTTATTGTCATTGTGCATTGCACAACGAAATTACGTGTAGTACCCTCAGCAAGATAACAACACAATAAAAAGACAGACAGTATAAATAAAAGGACAGACAGTATAGCATAAGGTTGATACCGTCTTCCGATATCCAATAGTTCAGCTCTTCCGAACTGGATTAGAGCCTCGAGAGTCTGAACCGACATACAAAACACACACAACAGGACGAAAAGCAGGGAGCACCAAGCCGCTGCATCTGCACACGCCGCCGCGTCTGCACGCGCCGCCATCATCCAGTGTAGTCCCAGTACTTTCCAAACACATGAATTTTCACTGCAACATTACTATTTAAAACTGAATCGAAAGCTAACTTATCTCTGCTCTCTTTGAAGTCGGCCTCCACAACTAAGGTTTTAGCAAAAATGAATGTGTACTGAGCATCGACTGGATAAATGTAACTTGGATTATAGTGCATGAGTTGTGTGAGAGTTTGTAAATGGATGTTTTGATGTCTTTATTGCTGTTGTTTAGCTTGGTCCCTAATCAATCAATAAATCAATGCGTTTGCTGTTTGCCGTGGAGGCATGCAAGAAAAACAAAGTTCTAATCACAAATTTAAGGTAACATGGCATGACTGATATAAAAATGGTCAATTTGAGGGTGAATTATTCCTTTAATATGAATTTGCGTATTTTAGCAGTATTTTACTTGCGACTTTATCTATGTTTTTGTTTTAAGCAAAAAGCAAGTAAGTCTCCAGCCACGTTTTTCCTGAACATAAAGCTAAAAACTGGATGAAGAAAAGCACTACAGATGACTGTAATTCCATCCATAAATGAACCACAAGGGACACTCTGGTACAGTAAAGCCTAAAGAAATATAAATAGACCATTCAGGGCTGAAGTACTCACATGAAGAGTCCATCCGACACTCTAGTCACTTTAATATTTAATGAAGGGCTGCCAGTGAGGGGGTGTGATTCATCTGCCTTACTACAGTGTCATTTTTTAATAGAAACTCAATTTTTTGTGTCACAACATCCTTAAAATGCATTTCTGAAACAACATGATACAAAAAAAGTCAGTCGTTCATGAAGCAATATTTTCTTGTTTGATCAAGCAGGTGGTACAGTTTACCATCTAGATGTACATTTATTTCCTAGTTCTAGGATAATCCTAAACAAACCTTCCTCCCATTGACCCTTCTACACCTCTTCATTGAGCTGCTGATGTTTTCCCGTCTCACAGATGGATCAGTTACCTGCCAGCGGTCCTCCTGGTTAATGTGGTTTGTGTCACCCTGAATGAAATCTCTCTCTCCCCTCTGTCCCTGCACCTCTTTTCACTCTCGGCCCCCTCCTTTCTCAGGTGGATCAGCTGACCTCACAGCTAGCTGTACATGTATCAGCTATGCTGTAGCGAGTAATGTCTGAGAGCGATTCTCATTAACCGACCCCCCCCCCCCCTTCTCTCCCTCTCTCTCTCCCGCTCCCTTCATTTCTCTCTCTCACTACCAGGTGGACCAGCTGACCTCCCAGCTGAAGGAGAAGGCGGATTGGTGCAGTGAGCTGCTGCTCAGCTCAGAGCAGCTGCGTCGTGAGTTGGGAGAGCGCGACGAAGAGATTGACAAGCTGGAGAGCCGCATCCGCGAGCTGGAGCAGGCCCTGCTGGCCAGCGCTGAGTCCCTGGAGAAGGTTAGGAAGGGGAGGGGGAATGAGGGGGAAAGTGGGAGATGAAGGATGTGCAGGAGACTGAGTCAGAGAAAGCAAGAGAGAGAAACAATAGCTGTGTTGAATGGCAGAGGGTGTGTGTGTGTGTGTGTGTGTGTGTGTGTGTGTGTGTGTGTGTGTGTGTGTGTGTGAGTGAGAGGATGTAGATGAGGTGACAGCTAGAGGAGGAACGGGAGGAATGCATGGAGAGGGAGAACAATGTGTGGGTGGGTCTACTTCAGCCGCCCCGGCAGTTTGTTGTTGGTGATGGCTGGCAACTGTCAAGATTGCCCCCCAGTGTTCGTGGAGGGCTGTTGTGAGTGAACAAAAAGAGCAGTGTAGAAAATATCTGCTGTGCAGCTGCTCAGTTGACGAACGGCATAGAGTTTAAGCTGCACGATAAAGGGTACAAAATGGAAAACGTGCATTTCTAGTTTGCATCCTTGAAAATCTGCTTGATCACAAGAGTTTGCTCTTTCAAGCCTTCATGCGCAGGTTGTAAATAACTGCTGTGCTGAATAGTTTCTTTTGTGTGTGTCGCAGGTTGAACAAAAGAAGCAGCATGCATCCATCACAGAGGCAAAACATTCCACACTGGAGGCTCAGTTACAGACGGAGAGAGAAGCTCTGGAGAGGAAAGAGAAAGAGGTAGTGTGCTGTTCAGTTTGTACTCTGAGGTTTTTCGAAGCACAAATGTATTAAATTGGAAAATATTTCAATCTGATGAAGATCCAGCTGGGAATGAAATGTCTATTTGAATGAATGTGTGGCTTGGAGTCAGTGTGGCGCCGTTACAGCGAGGGATGGGAATTAATAAGATTTTATTGATAGCAGTGCCATTAGTGGTTCAGCTTATTGGTCTGATTCTTTATTGGTTCCCTTATCAATTCCAAAACAATTTTATATGTGAAAAAAGTAGGCTCGCTGCAACAAGGGAATATTTGTACAGCATTAGTTTTCATTTAGGTTTTCTTAGTCAAAGAAAAAATCTGTTAAACCTGCCTGTGTGGCGCTAAAGTTATTATACCATAGGATATTTACCCTCAGTAACAGATGTGCAGCTTGGATAAGAAGCAGTGGCACTTGCGTGTAAAGTGTCAAATACCTGGCATTTCTGAAATTTAAGCCCATGTTTTGTTGAAAAATGTTGTCAGCAAATAGCTAGTGTTTCCACCCTTACTTAAAAGTAACATTTTACATTAAAGCAGCACTGTTGTCATCTGTCTTCTTGAAATGTAGCCACGCTTTGGACCATTTTTCATCCTCTTTGCCATGACTCATTGTTGCAAGTTTACAGCAGTGTAGATGATGAATGAGTTCAACATCATTGTTTTGCAATGTGCAACTGTCAGAACAACATGTTGGCATCAATAAAAGGAATTGATAAGCTGGGAGGCATGTAACTCCAATGAATCAGACCATTTGGAACTGGTTCTCCACCAGTTCTACCCGTAGTTACAGCCATGTTTTTTAATACAGTTGCTACTACATGTGAGGTGTGTATAAATGTGCTTCTTTATCCTGCAGGGGAAAACCATTTGTACTGTAGTTCGCTTTGATATCTGCATATTTGTTAACTTACAGTTAGAATGAAGTTAAATTTTCAGTCATCTCGTGGTGTCTCCTCATGTTCTCCTTTCGTCTCAGATCTGTAACCTGGAGGAGCAGCTGGAGCAGTTTAGAGAGGAGCTGGAGAACAAGAGCGAGGAGGTGCAGCAGCTTCACATGCAGCTGGAGATCCAGAGGAAGGAGATCAGCAGCCAGCAGCACTACCTAGAAACCAGGGACAGCATGCTCCAGGTAAATGGCTGCACACACTTTTTATAGTTTTTATGTAACATTGGTTGTGTGTTTGTACTTATATTCTCAGTTCTTATATGATTAACCTGTTTTCTACTTATAAGCTGTTGTGCTAAAGAGCAAAAGATAAACTGCTAGTTGCTGGTGACTTTTAAACTGTTGACTGATGTGATAAGCATGACATTGTCAGATAAGCTTGTACTTTAACAGCACAATACAACACAAGGCCTGGTTATTCACACAACTACACACTACTCCCATCAGTAGCAAACAAGATCATTTTTATGCCATGCCTAACATTTATTTTTCTGCTCCCAAACTGCAAAACACTTTGGTTCAAATGCTCTTTTTTTAATTTACTTTTTGTTGCTGATTATAGTTTGCACATTTTCAGGTTTTTTTGCCCATTCATTTGCCTTGCAATAGTCACTGCCACTGCTGGCACATTTCTTCTTTGACCCAATCATTGTACTTTCTGTAGTCCACCACGAGGCTGACTCTGAGTGGACTGTCCCGTGACACGTTTATTAAAAGCCATCGCATTATAATCTCTGACTTTTGAAGGTGATGGAGGAGAAGGACAGGGAAATAGCACTTCTTAATGAACAGATCACTAAGCTTCAACACACGGAAACAACCTCTGATAACAAGGTAACGCAACATGCGTATACGAAATAGAACAAAAGTCTATTTCGAATACACATAGCTCCGTGGTCGTGTGTGTGTGTTTTCTGCATTTGTGCACACCTTTTTTTTTGTTTGCTCCATTTTTTTTATTTGTGTTTTAAGTTGGGTTGTTTTTTCATTGTTTTGTCTCGGTAAGTAAATCCATGGCACCATCGTCTGTTGTGAGGTGATCATTTGCTCATCTGAGGTGGTTGACTAAACCTCTGAGTCTCCGAAAGAGCTTCAGAAATTCTTTCACTATCTGATCAATTTTATCTGACATTTCAAATACAAATGCCAATAAAAACTTTGACCCAAAGAACCTCTCGAAGCACAACAGGGACTCGGAGGTTTATTCAAATAGCAGGATAGCTATCAACTCCTCAAATCTGATATTTTTTATGGTTTATTAATATCTGCACATTTCTCTATAGGAAATTGATGAGAAGGATGAGCTGATGAAAGACCTGGAGTCCCAGGTGGAGTGCCTGCGGAGCGAACAAGAACGCTTGAAGAGGAATAATGAAGAGGAGCTCGACCAACTGAATGCAGTCATAGACAGACTTCAGCAGGAGCTGGCCAGTATCGAGTCTAAGCAGACTACAGAGGAAGAGGAGGACACCAAGGTGGAGCCAGAGAGCACTGCGTGGAGGCCAAGTAAAGAGGAGTACGATGAAATGAAGCAGAGAATGGACCAGGCCACCAAAGATGTCGATACACTTAAAACAGAGCACAGCAAGCTGTTAGAGACGTACCTGCATTTGAAAGAGAGCGCAGAAGCTTTAGCTGAGACAGAAAAACTGGAGAGCTCTGAGGGAGAACTTGAAGAAGCTCTCAGACAGAAAACTGCAAGCTTTGTGGTCATGCAGGCTCAAGTGCAAGCTTTAGAGCAGAGCGCAACAACCAGAGTTGAAGAGTTGGACCTCCGCATCCAGGAGCTCGAGGATGTGGTTGATGAAAAGGACCGTGAGTTGAGCAACTGTCGCCACCTTCTGGAGCAAACACAAAGCTATGCAGATGGTCTCCAACAGAGGGTCTCGAATCTGGAGGAAACTCTGAGGGATAAACTGGCTGCAGCGCTCGTCAGCCAGGCCACACTGGAGGCCTTCCAGCAACAGCAGTCACAAGGATCCAAAGAAAACCAGGATCAGCAGAGACATGCTGAAACACATGTGGAGCCACATGTCTATGACTTTGGTGATTTTGATATTCCCCAAATGGATTTCAGTGGAATTGGTCAAGCGAGACAAACTCCCACAGGGAAGGTGGTCCACCTGACCCAGAGGCTGCGGGAGCTGGAGGTGGGACTCAGCGGGATGCAGAAGGACCAGGAGCTCCAGAAGCAGCTGCTCTCCAGCTCTGAGGAGGAGGTGATGGAGTACGAGAGGAGGCTGGCTGTGCTCATGGATCTCCTCAGTCAGATGAAGGCCAGGACACACCAGAGGTCATCGCCGGCTGTGGGGGTAAGAGTTCGGCCAAGAAGTTACAAAGTAATAGTTCAACAGTTTGAACCTGGCCAAGAAAATGTCTGACACACATTTCTCCATAAAACCACAACTTGTTTTTTTTTACACTTCAAATTTTGTTTGAATTAAACAAACAAATAGCACATGTCTCTAGAGGCAGACAGATTTTGTTACCTTTGTACAGAGCCAGACTAGCTGTTTCCCTCTGTTACCAGTCTTGATGCAAATTTTCTGTACAGACACAAGCAACATGCTCTCATTCCCAACTCGTCAAATACAGGCTTGGTCAGTGGCTCTACACTTCAAACTATGACACTCAAGGTACCTCTCTAGCATCAGTTTTTCATCAGTTTGTTACATAACTTAACTTGCGTAAAAAAGTTAACCAGTATGTGACTTATCGTATGACATGTAGCTAATGTAGATGAGTTTTGGTCACCTGGGTGAAACTCCCATATTTGTTTGACCCGTCCACCTCCCATCCCTCCCACAATACGCTGACTTTCTCGCTCTTGATCTCGCCTGATGTGTCTCACACAGACTCTAAAGGGTGTCTTGTGCATAGGAATGCAGCTTTATACAGTGAAACCCTTTTGGGGTCATAGTAACTGCTAATAGTTATATTAATTGTGTAATACCATGAAGCTGTGATGTTTTCGGAGACCGTTATATCGTGAAAGTCTCATACTGTTGCAACCCTAGTGCGACGTTATCAGAAGCCCCCTGACCAGGCTGCCACATTTGATGCCCTAGGAATGAGAAGTGGTTGACACAAAAGTGGTAGTGATCTTTTCATCTAAATCCCGGCATGAAAACAAACAAATATATTTCACAAAATGTCAAAGTATTCCTTTAAAGAGCACAGAAAGACCTATTTTACTGTTCAAATCAAGGTATATTAGTGTATTATGTATAAGAATATATAAAAAGACTCCAGGGTGCACTGATAAAATGTGATTTTTTTACTTTTATTTTTTGCTAACTTTAGATCTCACTGAAACAGTTTCAGTTTGAGTTTTGTTCATAATATAAAAAACACCATTAAAATATAGTATTTTAATTTACATGTAGCTCTCTCATGTTCCACACTGGACCAATGGTTTTTCTCCTTAACTTAAATTTGTGGTAACTAATGAGCACATTATTGTTAGTGATAGAACTCTTATGAATGAAGTAAAAGTAGAAGAAATATAAGCTTGGATTTACACCTAAAAGTTAAATGCAGTAATTGCCTTTTTTGTCTCTGTGTACAGTACACTATATGATCAACACCAAATCTTTATATTGGAGCAGGTTTTTAAATTTACCCTCATAAATGGTTAACGAGTGAAACCCAATGAAGTCACTGTCATCAAGTCTCTGGCTGTGTAGTGTCGTCCCGTCCTCGACACATTTTTAATCAGTTTGAATCTTTGTGACTATTTTAGCAGGCGTCCTCTGCTGAGGAGCAGCCAGCTGATGCGTCAGAGCTCCTTCAGGAGTTGCAGGAGGTCAGAGACAAGGCCTCAGCCACCAAAGAGCAGCTCAAGAGCTACAAACAGAGCTGCAGCAGACTCCAGGAGGAGCTCCAAGTATGTCACTGCCTCTGGGTATTCATACTTCTTGTGAAAGTGTTGCTAATGTTTGGTGAGATTAACAAGCCTGTTTTTCTTTCTAGGACAAAGCTGTGACAATAGACAGACTACAGGACCAGCTTCAAAAGGTAGGAACAAAAATACGATCTTTTGCAGTTTACATTTTGGATAAACCTAAGTCTTTTCTTGTTTAACATTTAAACTTTATCACGTTAGGTATCATCTGGAGGCCAAGAGGAGACCAAGGTGTCAGACCTTCAACAGGAGTTAATAGAGGTTCAGAGTGAAGCAGCTGCCACCAAAGAGGAGCTGAACAGCTGCAAGGAGAGCTTGGATAAGTTGCAGGAGCTGCTGCAGGTACAGAGCCAGTTTGTTATATAAAGTCTTACATTTATATCCTGTCTTGGGTTCTGTAGAAGTCTGTAGAAGTCTGAAGGTGATATTTTTGCTGTGGCGAGATTTGAGTTTATCTAGCTGCTACTAAAAGGAATAGTTTGACATTTTGGAAAATATGCTTCTTTGATAGTCACTTTCTTGCTGAGAGTTAGATGAGAAGATCAGTACCACTCTCTTTTCTGTAGTATAGATATGCAGCTTGAGGTAGCAGTCAGGTAGCTTAGCTTAGCATAAAGGAAACAGCTAGCCTGGCTATGTTCAAAGCTAACAAAATCCACCTACCAGCACCTCTAAAGCTCAATAAAGCCCCTTTCCCATTGGACAAAAATCCCAGTAACACCAAATCAACGTTTGGCTTTTCTATTTAATGGGAAAGGTTACAATTAGCATTCACGCCTGGGACAAATGACTCCACAGTAGTCATGGGTGTTTTTCAGCTTCAGCTCTGATCGGGTCTGATCAGCAATGAGGGAAATATGACACAAATAACACGTTACACTTCTTTTTTTATATGGATTAAACGTACAATATACGGTGTATTAATTAGTGAGTGTTTGAGGTGCTGATGGGTGGATTTTGTTGCTGTCCTACAGAGCAAAGCCAGCTGTTTCCCTCTGTTTCCACTCTTTCCCAAAATGTCAAACTATTCTTTTACATGTGTTAACTTTTGTTTTATTAATACTGAAGTCAAATATTAGTTCACTTGTAATGTATGTTTTTATTTATACACATTTTGATTAAATGCAATTGTGTTTTTAAAGGAGCGGGAAATGACCATCGCTCACCTAAAAGGAGAACTTTTTAAAGTAAGTCGGAAATGTTTTAACTCCGTTTTTCGACATGGAAATATGATGTAGGGAAGAGTCACCATAATTGTAACATTTTCCGTTTTTTCACTTAAAGATTTTTTTTACCTGCATGTGTCTGCTATCATAAACCACTAAGTTTTTTGATAGAGAAAAACAGTTTTAAGGAGCTAAACTGAAAGAGGACGTTAGGGACACACGAGATTAAACAAATAGTTTTCATGGCAAATCAACAATATTTTAGTCAAGCAACTGTTTTACGTTGATTTCATACCATGGATGTGATCTCAATGTATAAAACATCATGATATTATTGAAACTCACCACCCGATTACACCTCCATGCTATAGCCACAAAGTTCACTTATATTTGCAAGTTAACAGACATACAAGGCCATGATATTAAAAAACTTTCCTGTCAGCATTTGAACTGAAATTTAACAGTTACATTTAAGGCGATTCTCCCCTACAGTATAATCTGTGTTTTTATATTTCTCTAAAACTGTTCAGATTGTTGATTTATATGAACACATTATATTCTTTCATGATTCCTGGGTATGTGTGTAGTATTTGACCTTTTCTTTATCGTCCTCAAGGTTCAAGCCGATGAAGACCAAGCTAACATGTCAGAGCTTCTGCAGGAGCTCCAGCAGGTCAAAAACGATTCGGCCTCCACCAAAGACGAGCTCAACAGCTACAGGCAGCGTAATGAGAAGCTTCAGGAGGACGTCCAAGTCCGCGAAGTTTCCATTTCTAAGCTCAAAGAGGAGCTCCAGGGGATGAGAACAAATGTGGACACCACCAAAGAAGAACTCAACAGCTACAGGCAGCACAACGAGAAGCTGCAGAGCGAACTCCACGTCCGTGAAGTTTCCATTTCGAAGCTCAAAGAGGAGCTCCAGGAGGTACGAACAGCCTTGATGAAGACAGCAGATTCTGGTCCTACATCTCCTTCTCCTTCTCCATCTCCCTCTCCATCTCCCCAGCCTGTCTCCTCTGCTTCTTCCTCCTCCACCACCCAGCCTAAAAGGAAAGGAGGCAAACAGCCGGCTGGTAAGGGAAGCAGTGCCAAAGATAAACCATCTCTCTCTAGGAAAAACTCTGCCACTTCCAGCCAGTCCTCCAACAAATCCCACAGCGCGCGGCTAAACAGCACCTCTGAGCAGCAACACGTGGCAGTAACGCACTCGTTCACGCAGACAGAACCTCTCCAAATGTCCAACCTCAGCCAGGAAAGCGAGTCTGCATCCAAAGAGGAGATGGAGGAGGTGATCGGAGAGTTCCAGGAGAAGATTGTACAAATGCAGGAGCTCCATGCGGCAGAGATCCTGGACATGGAGGCGCGGCATATAACAGAGAGCGAGAGCCTTCGCAGGGACACACAGGCTCTGGAGGACGAGTGTAAGGCCCTCAAGGCTGTCATCGACAAGCTGCGCTCCACAGAGGTGAGGGCAGGAAACAACACCTGTGTCCCAAACCCATACAACATACTGAATCTGTACATGCTAATTATAGTCCACATACTAATCGTCATAGTGTACCGTTTTGTCAGTTTGTACAGCTGGTGGGCAGCTGTGATAGAGGTAGAGCGGTTGTCCACTAATCAGGAGGTCTGTGGTTCGATCCCTGTCCCCTGCAGTCGCCCCTGCAGTCTACATGTCAAATTGTCCTTGGGCAAAATACTGAACCCCAAATTGCTCAGTGTGATCACTTATTATGGATTTTTAAGGCATTTGGTTCATGCTGATTTTACATTTTGTCTAAAAAATAAGGTGTTTGCAAAAGCAAGATGGCTAAAATGTGCTGCGCTCACTTTCAGAGATTCTTCTCCTCCTGCCATGAACGTACATGACAGTTGATTCATATTTATAGTTGCTCTTTGAATCACAAATTAGGGCTGCAACTAATGACTTTTTTCATTTTGATCAACCACTTAGTCCGTGAGATGTCAGGAAATTGAGGAAATTGTGAAAAATGCTCAGCACAAGTTCCCAAATTAAATCTTCAGATCGTTCATTTTGTCCTGCAGACATCCCAAAAACCCAAACAATATTCAGTGTACAAAGATATGAAATAGAGACAGTAGCAAATCCTTGTATTTAACAAGCTGAAACCAGGAGTTATTTGGCACCTCAACTTGAAATTTGCCAATTAATTTTCTGTTGAACAGCTATTTGATAAATTATCTGTCATCTATCAGCGTTTCTGTGACATGTACAGTAGTAAAATGTTTTGAAGGTGCTGCGTACTAAAGTCTCATGATCTTGTGTGGTGTTATCATCACGATTTATTCAGTAAAAGAAGGATCTGAATCATGTTTCATTTTTTCCAGGCCCCTTCATTAAGACAAGACCGTCCGGCATCACAGTTCAAAGATGGCTACACAAGTGGTAAGAAACAACACAAGGGGCTACTCCTCTGTTTACCTTTTGCTTCAGATGGTAAAGTCTGTTTTTTCCTGTATTGTAATCACCTTAATTATCCATGGACATGAAGTAAACAAAAACTGACAATGATCAAATGTTTTACAGAACCCTAGGTGTGTATTCAGGTTTTGCTTGAATAAACACTTTACAGAAATAACCTGAGTCCCATAAACAACACAGTCCTGAGATAGTCGTCTGCTCAGCTATTCCTATTGCTGTCTCACTGTTTCTTTGCGACACTTAAAACAGTTTGTCAGGGCTGCTAGTGTTTCACACATTTCTTATTAGCATTGGTAACACTTTGATGCATAACATTGCCATGTGAATGCAGGAGAAACAGAGTTTATTTAATTGTTATAGTGACCAAGACCTATGTCCACAAACTCATGGGCACGTCAGTGTTGTATTCAGACCAACGTGTTTGTCCTCTTGCAGACAGCAGCTCAGACTACAGTCAGCGGACTGGATTTGACTTCCCGAGCTTGCAGCAGGAGTTTAGGACGACTCCAGAGGGTGCCAGGAGAGATACTGATGATCCACTGCCTGACCGGATCAAGGTATCGCCTTCACTTAGCATAAACATCGTCCTAGTGCTCAGCAGTAAATGATCATACTGAAATATGCCTGTGATTCTTTTCATTCGTTCTGCAGAAATAAAAATTTCTGTGTTTTTTTGTGTATTTAGACGCTGCTCAGGGAGGTGCACCAGGAGGGCATGCAGGTGCTCTCTCTGTCAGAGCTCCCTCTTACAGAAGGCGAGCCAGGCACCCAGTTCAACATCCCAGGCTGGTTGAAGGAAAGAGATGCCTTACTGGCAACTGTGGAGTCTCTTAAAGGCCTCATCAGCCAGATGCAGACACACAGAGAAACACAGGTACATGAGGACTCTTCACAAAACACTGCTTCCTGTAGATCAGAGCTCAACCAGTCAGAAATATCACAGTTCAAGCAGCAAGATTTAAATGTCAGGTTGTGTTTTTTCTCTGTGCTTGTGTCTTTATCTGTGCATCTCTGACTTGCTGCAGACATCAGGCGGCGTTGACTGGCGTGGGGATCTGCTGGATGCAGTGCGGCAGGTGTTTATGAGGGAACGCAGTGTGCTGAAGAGCGCCCTTTACAGTCAGTTGGATCTGCTAGAAACCAGTGATGCCATCATACACCTCAATCAGCTGGAGCACAAACTAGCTGAACAGGTCAGAAATAAGAAGTGAATCTGTAATTGGACACTAAATCCAAGTCCTCACTGGTCTCTCTCCTCTGCTTTGATTTTCGTTTGTGTTGGTTATTGGTATTTATGATCCTGATGCAGGACGCCCAGCACAGAGAGGCGATGAGCTCGCTCCATACTGCAGAAAGGTCCAGTCTCATCTCTGAGATTCATCAGCTCCGTGGTCAACTAGAGAAAATTCATCAAGGTGAACCAGTTCAAAAAAAATTCCTTCACACTTACACTCACTCTGCTGGTGATGATGTGTCATGGCTTTATTATTTTTACCTGCTCTGAGTGGGCAAACATCCTGATATTGATGATCTGATTGTTGTCCTTCAGGTTCTCAGCCTGCTGCGTCTTTAGGTGTTGAACACAGTGTGAGGCAGCAGAGGGAGGGAGGAGGAGCTGATGGAGCAGCAGAGGCCGACCGGCTGTTGGTGGAGGAACTGAAGGGTGAACTGTCGCAGACTAAACTGGAGCTAGAGACGACGCTCAAGGCTCAGCACAAACACCTCAAAGAGCTGGACACACTCAGGTTAGACATGATGTTTGTTCACAGACGTGTGTCCAATACACATGGATACATTTCAGTAACTACTAGAGTAAATGTACTCAACTACACCAGATGTGGTTGATCCAGTAATTTAAGACTTAATGATAAAAGTGTATTAAATGCTTTTACAACAAAGTTATGATCTGAGGGCTTCCAAAGTTCACTAATTGTTCAATATTTAGGCAAATGTCCTTCAAAAACAGAAATTAAATTCTATCTGGGTTAATTTGACTTTTATTTTTCATCATCTAAACCAGTGTGGATGTGATATGTTTTTTAATAAAATGGTAAAATTAATTTGTTGCCAACCTGTTGGCCTGTATTCCCTCCTGGATCTCAGTCAGTCAGATCCCTCCTGGGTGCCAGACAATGTGAGGAGCAGGTGCTGAATGGAGAATATAATGTGACTTCCATTAAAAAACATGATAATGACTAAAGCCTCATTTCCACCAAGCAGTCCAATCCAGTTCAGTCCAGTTTGTTTCACATTAGAGGGCTTGTTTTTGTCTGTGTCGGTGCACAGAGGGGTGACACACACTGATCCAATTCTAAAAGGTGGAGCTAGAAACACTGCAGTCCGTTGATTGGACAAGGAAAAAATCGTCATCCTTGCTCCACGAAAACTTGATGCACAAACCAGCTTATCCCATAGATTGTGGCAACTGTGGTGTTCTTTTTTGTTAATGAAAATTTCGGCATACAACCCCGTTCTGTGGACTTTAAACAGGGTGCAAGTGCTCCTGAGCATCGGCCATGAAGAGGAAATATAGTACAACCTGAACAGAGCTGTGACGCAGCTATTTAGAATATATGTTAACAACCCCACCTACATAATAAGAGGACTGTCACCGTTGGAAACGCTAAACAGATCTAGGGTTTAGGTGCATGTTTGTATTGGTTACATACTTCTAAGGGGACTATACCAAAAGTGTTTGCTGGAAACACTTTGGGTCTGTTTTCAGGTATGACTACCAACCCAAAGTGTCAGTATTTGACCTGGAAATTAGGCTGAACAATCAACTATCAATCTCCAGAGTTATACACTCCTTTAAGTTATTGTTCATGCAATAAAGGGTTAGGTCTGCAGATCAGCCTTTGCATTGACGTGTGAGGATATAGTAGGTCTGAAAAAGTGAAAGTGTCCAGTATTTTACGAGAAAATAAAAAAATTAGATTTAAAAAAGTCACCTTTTGCCCCTCAGATTTTGCTTTCATGTGTCCCTTTAAGAACCAGTGCTTTAACATTTGCATCAGTGAATATTTGAAGGATTTGAAGGATTAAATGAACAATTATGTCCCTCAACAGGGCAGAAGTATCACAGAAGGCTGCTGAGGTGGACGCACTGAACGACCAGCTGACAGAGGAGAAAAAGAGAAGCAGAGATCTTCAGTGGGCCATGGAGAAGGAGAAGTGTCGAACTGGGAGAAACGAGGAGAGTAAACGAGAAGAACTGGAGGTAAGTGCCTTTAGACATGTGCCTTTTGTATGTTGCCGTTTTATTTTAACCTAAATAAAAGCCTAACCAGGGATGGGGGCTATGAATTAACAATATTTATCAATCTTACCACTATTTATATTTTCCTCTCAGGATCTGAACCTCACTCTGGAGGACCAGAAGAGCCGCGTGGCCCAGCTGACACAGACCCTGGAACAAGAGCGCCAGGCCTCCTCTCAGCTCTCTCAGCAGGCCGAACAGGAGCGCCTCAGCCTCCACAGACGCCTCCAGGAGCTCCAGGTCCAGCTGGAGACAGAGCAAGCTAAGACCCTGGAGATGACCACCGCGCTGGGGAGGGAGAGAGAGCTGCGGATGGGTGCGTCCTCAGACGGAGGTCCGTCAAGTGAGCAGCGGGTGGAGGAGGATAGGAGGGGGCTGGAGGAGGAAGGGAGTCTGCTGGAAAGACTGCAGAGGGAGCTGGATGACAAACATGCACAGGTATGTTCTCTACTGCATTTGCTCCAAATGGACACAAGACGGGGGAAAAAAGTATAAATGTTAATTAATTGTAAAAACTATCCTCCTCATTATATTTATTTTTATCTTTTATGTCTCCCCCAGGTCGTGCTTCTCCTCAGCCAGGTGGAGGCCCAGAAGCTCGAGGTGGTACGAAAAGAGGAGGAGCTGACTTTGGGGAGTCAGAGATCAAGACGTGACCAGGAGGTGCTGCTGGAGGCTCGGGCCCAGCTGGAGAGGCTGGAAGCACAAATGTCTGAGGCGCAGGAGCAGCTGGAGAGAGAGATGGAGAGGAGGAAGAGCCTAGAAAAGGAGAAGGAGAGACTGGAGGAGAGGTTGCACCAGTTAGAGCAGAGAGGAGGGAGGGAGGGGAGCGGACCTCTGCAGGCTGATGGCCACGCTGTGAGTATCAGCCAGTCACACACTCCTCCTATAATTCCTAATTTTTAAATAACTTTTCAAATCTGATTTTATCACACGTGATTAAAGCTGTGTTGTTATTATCTTGACAGCAGGCCATCTGGCACAGCGAGTCCACTGACCGCACCAAAGACTGGGTGTTCCAGCAGAAGAGTGGAAATGTACAGTCAGCAAGCTCCACCTCATCGCCCCACGTGGAGGTCTCTCCAACAGGTCACACTAGTGGGCCACACCATGGTCCATGGCGCACAGTTGACAAGATTCTGGGCAGACTCCGCCTCATTTCGTCCAAGGTCCGAGGCATGGCGAACAAGACTACTGGCAGGTAATTGAAGCGACTGTAAATAATGTTTTCATATTGAGAATGGATCAATCAATAAATTTGCCATGTCAGCTTTATAAGGTGTTAATATTTACAGCTTGTTCTGCTGCCCCCAAGTGGCCATAACATGTTATTGTAGGTTTAACATTTTTACAAATGATGCTATGTCAGATTATCAAAGTGTCTTTATAACAGTAACACTTAATTAGCTTTGACAGAATCCATAAATGTGTCATGATTTGCAGGACTTGTCTGAGGTCACATCCACGCTAATACGTTTTAGGTTTTTGTTTTGTTTTTTATTTTAATTTTTATGTAGAACAAAATTGGAATACAGTTCCTACATCATATTGTAGATAAAGTGTTCTGTTTTTGTTTTTTTCTCACTTTTCTTGGAAGATAAGTAACAAAACCTTAAATACAAATAAAAACATTTGTTATATGATTATGCCTTCAAAGACGATCCTATTGGTATGATAAATTAACATATTTCAACCCATGAGAAAACTTATAGGTAAAAAAAAAAAAAAAAAAAGATAAATAAATAAAATCATAAAACACATAATAAAATACAAAAAATAATAATATAAAATCATAAAATAAATTAGTAAGTATTTGGCAGGAAGAAATACACTAAGCTACGTAATTGAAGTAAAAAAAATTAATACTTTTCAATTTTACAACTGCATTTTAAAACAGCAATTTCATACAATCTCCATACACGAGCGTTGCAACACAATTTTAGAGGTAATCTCTGTTCATACTAACACACCTGAATATGCATATCATGTGACCATTCATGTACAATGGGCATGTGCATGCTGTTGTAAACAGGAAGCAGATTGGTTGCTTAGTTACAGGAAAAACTATGGAGATTGCAAAAATTAAGACCAGAGATTTCTTTGCTTTGAGCAACATTGAATTGGAACTGTTATAAAACTAACACATGAGTATAAGGCAGTCAGGAAATGAGTAAGCTTACCCACACAAGAAGGTTGAATCATAAAAAGTAAGTAGGCCTAGCTTAAATGTTTGGGCTTGACACACCATCTCTGATAAGATCCTATCAGGACAGGAGCATTGTTGTCTGCGTCATCATTTCCAGTTTCCGTCTGTACAGGCTAAAACACAACCCTGGAGCGTCAAAAAATAAAACAGGGTCAGCAGCATTTTTGAAGGTCACCATTTTAGGGGTGATCTTCACATCAACGTATTATGGACATTAGGTGTAAATGTAGCAATAGCTGCATTTTAAAAAGGAAAACATTGGTGTGGACATAACCCAGTAACCTTACAGGAATGAACTGATTGTGAGTTGTACATGCTGTGTGCAGGCTGACTGCAGAGGTCGACAGTGAAGAGCTATCCTGGGTGCAGTCCAATGTTGACGAGGTCATCATGATGCTGCAGCAGTCCCCAGGTCTACCCTCCGTCCCCGAGGTCAGAAAATGTTTTTTAAACTCCTTCAGTTATTTTTTACATGTCTTTTTATTTAATTTCTTGCAGACAGAACGGTACAATTCAACAAGTAAAGAAATAAAATTAATTGACGACACAGTGTTATGATATCTGTCCAAATGCTAAATAAAACAATCAATAAAATGTTTACTTCCTCTTCTCATGAAAAGAATGTGGATCAAAATCAGAAATTGCACTTTCCTGATGAGCGCAAATCAATTGTTTGTTTATTTTTCCAAATGTTTGTAATCTGTGGAGCTCCTAATGTGATCACACATGGTTGTGACTGCTGTTGTTGCTGTTTTCCCACAGAGTGTGTCCCTGCTGGCAGGAGGCTCCTCCAGCTCCTCCAACAACCTGACGGAGCGACTGCTGAGACAGAACGCCGAGCTGACAGGTTTCGTCAGCCGTCTGACCGAGGAGAAGAACGATCTGAGGAACCACACGCTCCGTTTGGAAGAGGAGCTCCGACGCTACCGGCAGGCTGGACCGGGATCAGGTGACAGTGTGAGTACACGAGGACATATTACAACACTTTGCTGACACTGATATCAGTCTTATTGTGGACCAGAGATGTGGCAGCCAAAACTATGAGATAATATAAGATACTAGAAGTGCCTCATATGTGGGAAGCTCAAATATAAACTTTGATTTGGTTGTCTGTTGTCATTTCATGCAGAAGACTTTGACTAAATTACATTAATTTCTCCCTGCAGTTCAGCAGCAGGAGAGGAGTGTCCAAGACGGATTCGGCAGGTATGATACTCTCCCAGGAGCGGGAGGCTTGGACGAGAGAGAAGCTCCGCCTGGAGAAAGCTTTACTCTTGGCCCAGGCCCAGGTGGCCCGACTCCGGGGGGAGATCAGGACCGACACCCTGCGAGAGATAACGGGACCTGAGGCTGACAATGCTGCACTGAAGGTCAGCTAAAAACAAATGATATGTCACCATAATTAAGGAGTAATCGTAGTAAGTTAAGGGTAGTAATCATTTTACTTTTCCTCCAGAGGATGTACGGAAAGTACTTGAGGTCAGAAAGCTTCCGCAAAGCGCTGATCTACCAGAAGAAGTATCTGCTGTTACTGCTGGGCGGCTTCCAGGAGTGTGAGGAAGCCACGCTGTCGCTCCTCTCCAGGATGGGCAGCCGGCCATCTCTCCCCAGCATGGAGTCCCTCAGCCAGCGCCGCCGGGGGCTGATGCGCTTCCGATCTGCCGTCCGAGTCTCAATCGCCCTCTCCAGGTAGGCAGCTGTCTGTGTTGGAGGGTTTGTTTTGGCCAGTGCTATCTTCCTCATGTTAACAACAGATGTATATGCAATCACAGAGATAACTATTTATTTTATAAAACTAAAACCGAAATATTTTCCATTTTAGAATGCGTTTCCTAGTGAAGCGATGGCACAAGGCGACGGGGATGAGCTCCACAAACTCCTGCAGCGTCAACAAGAATGGAGCAGGACAGATGTTAGGTAACCAAAACACATCATGTCTTTTAGACTTTTGATTTTGATTTTCTTTTGGGATACTGTGGTTAACCTTGCACCAGCTGGCACCCAAGAAAGAAACACGACTGTGCACAAGGTATTTTAAGCTCTTTTAACAACATTTTTATTCCTCTCTCTCAGGTACAGATGTGAGAGACTCACCGTATCTTCACCCGGGCAGCGTAGAGATGTACAGAGAAAGAGGAAGCGGAGGAGGAGGGGTCTCCGGCGGCAGGGGTCGAAGTGGACGTGAATCCCCGAGATCAGCTGTCTCCTCCACACAACACAGGTGCAATATCAAATGGGACTTCAACTAACAATCACTGTTATTATTAATTGATATAACAGTTCTTTTCCCAAATAGTCTGTTGAGATCGATCTATAAAATGCCAAAGATAATGATCATCACAAGATATCAGCCCAGACTTATTTATGTTACATTCTACTGACATAAAAAGATAAGAAGACATTAACTTGATATTTTATAGAAAGAATCTGTCTCTAGTGTCATGATGTGTCAGCTCTGTGGCTGAAAGGTTAATGTCAGTTGTTTTCGTGTGGTGTAGGTTTCACATCGCCGGAGACCACGGAGCTCTCACCTGTTCACACCTGCAGAACTACGACCCCGACCGAGCGCTCACTGACTACATCTCCAGACTGGAGGCACTGCAGAGGAGGCTGGGGAGTGTGACTTCAGGTAACACACACAGTCAGCTAAGTCCCAGAAGTACTTCATACTAGTGTACACACTTTACTAGGGATGATACCAGAATTTTATGATACAATACTAGTATGAAAAACAATACTGGATACCTCTTTTAGTACCACAGCAAAAAGAAAAATCAGTCCTAGGCACAGAAAATAGGATATTTTTTCTTATTTTTATTAACAACTTGCACACAGTGGTACAGAAAAAAGTCACTGAACACACGCCTCCAGTCATGAGTGAGAGTATGCGTAGTTTTGTTTCTTTTCCAGTCTGAACACACTACATGCAAACATTTTAGTGGTTCAAATCAGCAAAACACTGTAAGAAGACACTAAAAAAAATTGTAAATGTCGACTAACTTGGAATTTTAATGTCATGCCATGGAAAGAAAGTGTAAAGGTATTTATACTGTATGTATACATCCTCACAAACAAAAATGTCATATTTCTGCTAATTTGAAGACTGACGGCAAGAGTCACAACACATCAGTGTTAAATTCAAATGGTGGTTTCTATGGACCCTCATTAAAATGATGATCATAGCCATGTTTTACACCATAAACATATATGTACACTATCCCTAAATGACTGTGCAGGGGACTGAAGTTGCAATTTGGAAATGGTTTGCATGGAATTTAACTTTTATCAGGATGTGGTTTGCTTCATAATCAGTACCCCAACATTCCAGCTACAGTACAGGCCAAAAGTTTGGACACACCTTCTCATTCAATGCGTTTTCTTTATTTTCATGACTATTTACATTGTAGATTCTCACTGAAGGCATCAAAACTATGAATGAACACATGTGGAGTTATGTACTTAACAAAAAAAGGTGAAATAACTGAAAACATGTTTTATATTCTAGTTTCTTCAAAATAGCCACCCTTTGCTCTGATTACTGCTTTGCACACTCTTGGCATTCTCTCAATGAACTTCAAGAGGTAGTCACCTGAAATGGTTTCCACTTCACAGGTGTGCCTTATCAGGGTTAATTAGTGGAATTTCTTGTGCCAGTTTCGTTGTAGCGCTTGATGGTTTTTGCGACTCCACTTGGGGACACATTTAAAGTTTTTGCAATTTTCCAGACTGACTGACCTTCATTTCTTAAAGTAATGATGGCCACTCGTTTTTCTTTAGTTAGCTGATTGGTTCTTGCCATAATATGAATTTTAACAGTTGTCCAATAGGGCTGTCGGCTGTGTATTAACCTGACTTCTGCACAACACAACTGATGGTCCCAACCCCATTGATAAAGCAAGAAATTCCACTAATTAACCCTGATAAGGCACACCTGTGAAGTGGAAACCATTTCAGGTGACTACCTCTTGAAGGTCATCGAGAGAATGCCAAGAGTGTGCAAAGCAGTAATCAGAGCAAAGGGTGGCTATTTTGAAGAAACTAGAATATAAAACATGTTTTCAGTTATTTCACCTTTTTTTGTTAAGTACATAACTCCACATGTGTTCATTCATAGTTTTGATGCCTTCAGTGAAAATCTACAATGTAAATAGTCATGAAAATAAAGAAAACGCATTGAATGAGAAGGTGTGTCCAAACTTTTGGCCTGTACTGTATGTGTGTGCTGCGATTTCCGAGTGTCCTGAGCAATAAACCTGCCATAATATAGCTGCATCCGCTAGAAATGCTAGCTATGCCTCAGTTTTGGTGCAAAAGCTCTCATGAACATTTTATAGTCCTCTCAATTAAGACTGTTTTCTGGGAACAAATACATTCATTCCGAAAGTTGCATCGCTGCATGAAATGTCTGAGTTTGTTACGATGTAACATCTCTGATCCCTCTGTTCCCATCTGCTCTTGAACGTACTGTAGCAAGTGATGGACAGTGAGCTGCACCAAGCATGCTGTTAAGAGGTGTAACGGTTAATAGGGGTCCCCCTCTCAGTACACACACATGTTGTAGATTTCAAGAGCTCTGGACACTGCACATCCCTGGGTCCTCAGCAATACATCTGCCAAGTGTGAGATCAGTTGGATGAATGGTTATAGAGAAACTTTAAGAACAGACGTACAGGAACTCCTTTGATTTCAGTAAAATAAAGCAGCTGACAAATTGTCTTAACTTTTTTTTCCCCTCCGCAGGTGTTTCTTCATATGCTCAATTGCACTTTGGCTTGAGAAGATAGACGCTGTCAAGTAACTTTGGCTTGAAGAAACTCAGTTGCCTTTTCTCGTGCTGAGCGCTCTGCTGTTTTCTATCATTCTGGTGTGGACTGTATCTCTCCATGTGGACCAAAACACATTTTTTTAATAGCGTACGACATGTTGTATCCAGGCTTTTTGTCGCCAGCACTTGAAAAACAGCTATGTTTGTAAATGAATCTGCCTCTTTGTTGTGGATGAACTACAATCATGTATATTTGTCTAATGCTAATTTAAGACCTTGTGATTAATTTATATGTTTGCGTTGAATGGGTGGAGCGTTATGTAGAGAGTGTTTGGGTTTATTGTTAAGGAGGCTGCTGCTGGATATTCTACACTACACTGTGTTTTGTTTAGGCCAGACAGACTACAGAGGACATTTGTAGAGAACGTATTTTTGTAAAACGTAGGAGCTTTGAATTTTCTGGGTATTTTGTCAAAAACTGAAATAAAGAGGACTACATTATTTGAAAGAGTTGTGTATGTTTCATTTCTTGTTTTCCACTGAATAGATTGTGGTTACGAACGTTTTTCCTTTAGGGATTTTTCTATAACCAGCCTGTTTGACTATGGATTCATCACCCTCCTGAAATCATACTATCTCTATGGGGTCTAATCACCTAAGACTTTCCATATTTTTCATTCTTATGTGCACATTTAATAAATATTCTTTTCACTTTAAATAACAAGTCTCTCCTGATTGAACTATTCTTCGCAGAAGTGAAAAAAAAAAGATGAGATAAAGGCCTGCTGTATATTTTTTAAAAGCTTTTTAACAACCCTTACAATTGAGAAGGTCTTGTGATCCCCCCATGAAGCTTTGACGACCCCTAGTGGGGGTCGGGACCTCCAGGTTGGGAACTTCTGGAGTAAAAGATGAGGGATGCTGTACCAGAGCACAGTTATTCAATACATTAAGCATCAAGTGCCAACAGTGTGGGAGCTTATTTTTAAACTTTCTTTATTGAAAGAAGGAATTAAACTTTTTTTCAGAACCAAAATTCACAATAAGATTAAAATCAAATATTCCACGATGAGGACAATATTTTCTGTAATGAGAAGACATGTTACAGAGTCTAAGTCTAGTCCTAGACACAACACAGCTTGGGCAATGAGACATTGTAACTTAATGTTTACACTAAAGATAGTCAGTGCTCATTAACTAAACGAGGTCCGTTTAGATCAGTACAGGTCACTTTTTTAAAAGCACCTCATTCAAATTTCAGGTGAGGGCAAGAATAACAGTTTATCTCCTCAAATGTGGCATTTCCTATTTATATTTTGGTGTTTATTTTTTGCATTTTTGAAGGAAAACAATCTGTGACCACATGGCAACATCCCCCAGCAGCTCATTCACAGTGCTATTTTGCTCTTTATGTCATTATTTCCACCAAGCAGGTTGTTTTCAGGTTAATTTGTCTGTCAGCAGGATTACAGAAAAACTAGGGGCCTGATTTTCATGAAACTTGGTGGAAGGGTGTAACATGGGCAGAGGAAGAACCACAGACTATATAAAAATAATGGATAGAGGCACTTGTTGGTTTTGACTCAAGTTCAGTATTTTTGCCAGCATCATCTTGGTCTTCTGGAGCCAAAAGTGACCAAATTTGGACGAAAGGGTGGAGCTGACTCATAGACTATAGTGTCGCCTCACAGCCAGCTTGTCACTGAAGCAGCCACACCCTTAATTATGTGTAACTTGAAGCCTTAATAAAATAAGAGGTGAGTTACATAAAAATTCACCACCCGTGCAGTTGTCATGAATCTTGAAATTAGCTGTAGAGATTATATCTGCTGTAAAGTTGGACATTTTAACATCCACGGGGATTGACTTGCTTTTGGAGCCAGCCTCAGCCAGTGGCCATTTAATGAGCTGCAGTTTTTGGTACTTCCACGCTGGCTCCATTTTTCAGCCTTGGAGGTTGCCACTTGGGAAGAACACATACAATTTTGGAGTGGATCTGACTATCTGAGCAGATACACAAATTATTCTTCACTTTAGTTAACATCGGAGACAGGGCATAAATGCCTTACATCTTTAAGTCCAGTAGATGGTGGTAAAGTCTACTACTGACAAAACAATTGTAGAAATATGATGACTCCATGTCACAATCCACATAATCATATGGGTAGCCTACACATGTAGCTGCTCAAAGCAGTCGTTATGAAGCACTCAGTGGTTTCATAGGGGAGCCGCTAGACTAGTAACATCATGTGTGTAAATATTAAGTTACTAAATCATACTGGCTTGTAAAATTAGGGTTTTTTTCAGAATGCAGATTTAAATTTGACTCAGGAAAAAATTTCTTCCTTGCGACAACTTTCTTTGTTAACAAGCTGACATGTTGATAGTGTTATTTCAGTCTCAGCATTTGAAAGTTATAAATATGTGCATGGTATTTCCTGGTTTTCACAAATGCGTATCAAGCATGTGAAATATTCCGGTTTGGAAGTACCTAATAAATGCACAGCTGAGACGATGAGGTTTCGGCACAGCACAGCCATATTTTGACATAATTCTAATAGTTTGGGAAACATATCCAGACATATACTGTGGTCATGCTTGCAGATCTGCATGTCATGGCGGCACCATTTTTGTTTCTTAATGCAATAAAGGCTGCAGTTTCATTTCCTCCTCCCACCCAAATCTGTAATATGGTCTAAAGTAAGAGCCTCTGCTTGCAGTTAGCCACTGAATAAAACATGCAAAGGCCACAAGCCTTTCTCCTCCATCGAGGCACTGTGTTAACTGAGCATTTCTGTTTTTAAGAATTCACATTGTGAACATTAGAATCTGTGTTGAAGTCAGAGTAAAACAGTCAGTGTGAAAATCTCTGCAAACACAAGTCCAAAAAATGCTGATGTTATTACTGACAGAAGAAAGAAAGGGCTGAAAGAAGCACAAAAACTAAACAGCTGGACATTCAGGCAAATCAAAGTGCGTTCATGTAAATGTTCCTAAATTCAAGTCCCAGGAAGTTACAGGTTCGCTTCACACACTTAGGATGTTGGACTGTTTCCTCCTGTCTCTGCTGCGCTCCTCTCATTGTTTCCTCCTCTTGTATCGGATGACGGGGTTGTGAGGGGTGTGAATCATTGTGGTGTAGTTGATTGTGGGGAAATATCCATCCACCAAGTCAAAGTCGTACATGCGCAGTAAAGTGGACCAGATGGTTTTGATCTGGACGTAGGCGAAGTTCTCTCCAATGCAGCGATGGCGGCCTGAGGAGCAGACGGCAAAGGGACAGTTTGGATTTGGATTTCTTTTGCTAGTTTTTGTACATAATTTAAATTTTTGTACACTCAGTTTTAAAGCTGAAACTAATATTGAAAAGAGAATAATTGATTTTTCTTACCAGCTCCAAATGGCACGTAGGCGAACTTCTCCCCTGCAGCGGGGTTGTCGTTGAGGTAGCGGTCAGGGTTGAACTCCATCCTCTCCACCCAGGTGTCGCGCAGACGGTGGTTGACAGTCGGAGAGACGCAGACCTGGTGCCCCACAGGGATGGTGTATCCTGCTGCAGTCTGAGAACACAATGGAGGAAAAACTGTTTCTGCTACACTGTGCTGAGAAATGGAGCATTAAAATTAAAAGGGGAAAGTTTATTTTTGCTGATGTCAAACACTTGAAAGAAATACCAAAAGGACTAGACAGGTGCTCTTACCTGAGGGGAGCGAGCCATCCTCATCATGGTCATGATGGGTGGGCGGAGACGCAGGGTTTCCTTCAAGCAGCGTTCCAACAAGCTGAGATCTTTCAGCTGAGGACGACAACAGCACAATATTAGGAATATTTAACTGTGGCCCAGAGCAACCATTACTTACACCAACAAAAGAAAATATTTGAAGCCTATCTGTATTTCACAGTTGGCTGTAAACTGTTTCATGATCACATCGCACATTTAAATGTTTGTTATTGCTATAAATGAGTACAACCAGGAGGGGGAGCACCTTGTAGTACTGTCATGACTGTTCCCACCTCAAGCTTAAAAACTAAATGGGACAGGGCATTTGCGGTCAGGGCTTCTCATCAGTGGAACGACCTGCCTGAGGAACTCCAGCTTGCTACATCTGTGTCTTCTTTTAGATCGCTTTTGAGGACTTATCTTGATCAAAAGGATTTCTGGTAACTTCTCCTTTAAGTTTTTAGGTTTATTCAAAACTATTGAGTTACACCACCTTGAATTGCTCTATTACACTTAACATTCACCCACTGGTTTTACATTTTCTTTGGTGTTTTACTCATGATATTTATTGTTCTTAAATTTTTCCTTGTGCTTGCCTGGTTAGTCAAACATTAACAGTGTCTTTATTTGTTGTGTTTCATGTATAAAGCACTTGGTAACAATGGTTGTGATCAGTACTATACAAATAAACTTTATTATCACTAATATACTCATACTATAAAATCTTTGCATCAACACTGCATCCAGCCTCACCTGATCAAAGTCAAGTGGAGGCAGCTCTTCTCCACACACAGCCCTCTGCTCGGCATAGCAGCGCTCCTGCAGAGCTTTGTCTCTGGCCATGAAGAAACCCATCCAGGCGCTGGTGGTGGAGGACGTGTGCTGACCCGCCAAGAGGAGACCAATCAGCATCCCTGCAATCTCATTATCGTTCAGGGGTCGTCCGTCTCTGAAGGGGAAAGAGTGTCATTTTTACAACTGAAGAGGATTTAAAGGGCCATAACGATATTTTAAATGTTTTAGGAGACAGCTTCCTACGGACACCTCTTCAGACTTTATGGTGATTTTCTTGTAGCAACATCACTGACGATATAAACGATGTCTTCATGTCTAATCTCTTCGGCTCAGTTACCCCTGGGATATAGTTTTAAATAAATTAAAACTGCTGTTATTATGTGAGGTATATATTTACTTTTACTGTTTTCTAGTAAGAACTCTATGATTTAGAAAATTTTCAGTTTATTTCAGGATCTTAAGCTCCTCTAAAATTCTACCATCATCTGTTTTCTTTATTATTTAGTCTTTGGAGAACATGATAACATGTCTAAGTGTATCTAATGGTCCAGTTAAATATGATCCAGCAGCATGAGCTTACATGTTTTGTCCCGCACATTAAAGCTCTCTTACTTGTAGGTGGCATCGACGAGCGTCTGCAGGATGTCGTCCACTTTCTCTCCAGACTGCCGGCGCTTCTGAATCACCTTGAAGAAGATGTTCTTGATCTCTGTGTGAGCTCTGTCCCTTTTCCTAACAAAAAATAAACATATATTTGTGTTATTATTTTTACTCACACTAGAAACAGTCCAATCAGACGGGATTGGAAAAGTGACTGTACATGTACAAAATTTGTTTTATGTAAAGTGTTGTAAACTCTTTCTTAGAATTATTGTTAGAGTATTTATGGGCTTCTCTTGTATTGTAATATGCCAGCACTCAAGAGTCTTTCTTTCTACCGATGTGTGTGTCCTGAGCTCCTCCAGTGCTCCTACCTGAAGCTGGGCAGGGGCAGCCAGCCGGGCAGAAGCCAGGCAGCGTGACTGAATCCTCCGTCCAGGTCGGCGTAGAGCTGGGCCACTCGCTCATTCAGCATGCTGCGGATTTCCTTCCCATGAAGGCAGCTGCTGGCCGTCAGGATGATCAGCTCAGACAGAGCCTCAAACAGGTCTGAAACAGGCAAATAGGTCATTAAGTAAGCAAAACAATCAATTAGACAAACAATATACCAGACATGCCTTGTAAATAGTTATATTGCTTTATTTTTCCGTTGTTTTTAAGTGTTAATATGACACGGGATGTCTATTAATGGCAAAATTGGCACTAACAAAAACTGACAGTGATCAGGTATTACTCAATATTTTTTCTATGAGTAATGCATTTAAGTTGTTTTGTTTTGGACTCAATATAAAGCTGCACAATACATCATAAAATGGTGGAAACTACAGCCAAAATACAGCTGTTAAGTGACTTCACATACTCCACAAAAGTGAACGAAGAAGTCTGATTAAAAGTAAATTACATCACGTGTTAATTTTCTGATATTCATGTTTTAATTAAGTTATTTGTGAAGGACCTTACTTTTCTCCCCGCTGTCTCCCCATCTCTGAAAATACTCGATAGTCTCGGCTTCGATGATTTTTACGTGTTCCCTAAAACGAGCAATATTCAGTCCGGTCTTCAACATCTTCTTTTGTTCCAAAAAGATCTGCAACATATGGAATAAAGTACATTTTGAGATTCATTTTCTAGCATTTATTAACTAGGTGGGATCTTTCTTGATTTCACAGTTAAGGTGGACTCACAGGATTCGGCACATCATAGGCTACTCCTTTGCCAAACACCGGAGTGGTCAGTCTGGAGTAGACGTCCTCTGCATTCAGATCCTCATTCTTGCTGTTGAACATCAGCGTGGCAGCTTCGCTGCCAAGCAGGTAGGTGAATGTACTGCCCACCATGGTGAAACTGAACACAGGGCCGTACTGGGGGTGGACAGCAGAGATGCAAATGTTAAAACAGTACTGAGGGGTCGGGATAAAATACATCTAAGGGGTTGCAAGACAGTTCATTTGAATCCTCTACTGTGTTAATAATAGAGCTGCAACTAACTATTAAATTTATTGCAAACTACTTTGATAATCGATTAAACGGTTTGAGTAATTTTTTGAGAGAAAAGTCAAAATTCTCCAATTAATTTGAAATGTGAGTATTTTCTGATTTATATTTATATTTGACAGTAAACTTAATATCTTTGGGTTGTGGACTTTGGAAAACACGGCATTTTTCACCATTTTCTGACATTTAATTGTCCAAACAAATAATCGATTATGCGAGAAAATAATTGTTTGTTGCAGCCCTACCGGATGACTTCAAATCTTCAGGCCAGGATTTATTCTAATTAATTTTAATTGTATTTTATGTAGTAGTCCTACACCATGTGCATACTGGTGTGGCAAGTAGACATTGTGTTTAGGCGTCACAGTCCAAAAAAAGTTGAACAAGGTCAAGTGTGTACGTGTGCAAATCCATGTGTGAGAGGTAACATGAGATAGAGACAAGATTTTTTTTCTTCATCTTACCTGCAATCTGTAACTTATTGTGCTTCAACTACCAATTATTTTCTTCCCTAATTTACCTGTCTAGTATTTTCTTGATAAGCTGATGAGTCATTTTGTTTGTATTGTTTAAAACATTTATCTCAAAGCTTATTTTTAACATATTGAAATTGCTTGTTTTGGCTGACCAGCAGTCCAGAAACTAAAGATATTTAGTTGAATATTACAGAAAATCAGCCAGTATTTACATCTGAAAACCTGGAATAGTGATTTTTTTTGGCATTTTTGATAAAAGCTTACTTAAGTAATTGATTCATTATGAAAACAGTTGCAGATTAATCAACTATTAGTCTCAGTTCTTCTGCAATACTTACTTTTTCATATGCATTTTCAAGAAATTCAATGGGACTTTTCCCAAATGCAATGGCATGGCCCAGGAAGGGGATGCTGGAGGGGATGAAGGGTGGATACTTCTGCAAAAAAGACACATGATAACAGTAGGTGATGATGAATACAAGCTGACAATAAGGACTTTCAACAACCATTTTTGGCACTGAATATTTGATGCATGGCTAACTTACCAGATCTTTGTCAGGGCTCTGTTTGAGCAGCAGCTTAGAAATATATCCCAGAGTGAGAGTGATGACAGAGGCTGCCAAAACTACGGAGGTCAGGTTGTCGTTCATTTTCCCCAAAGTGTCCCCGAGCAGTTTACTGCTCATTTGATACAAGTGAATAGACATTTTAACTTCCTCCGCTGGATCCACAGACACACTTCAACCTGAGAGAAATTGGCTTTGTAATAAAAAAATAAATTCAAAGTTTCCAGTGCATATAAATGTCCAGCTCATCTGATGCTCATGTTGGGACACAGTTGGTCATATCTCCCCACAGTCTCTACCTGGCTATACTCGTCCTGCCCCCGCCTGACCAATGGGGGCTTCCTATTGGCTGCTGACCGCGTGTCTGTCAAGCATCCGCCGCAGTGATTGGCTACTGGTACCTGAACCCATGTCTTGCTATATGATGTCACTCCAGCCGGGAGAACACTGCGCCATCGATTGTAAGGATTTTTGATAGAAATTTAATACCAAAATCATTTTATTCGGCTTTAAACCTTTTCCTTTATCTTAAAACGAGCGCGGTGAAAAAGTTTAAATTCTTTCCTGCCTCACAGAAATATACGAAACATAATACATACCAAGACATTTTTAATTTAATAGAAAAAAATGAGCTTGCAGGTTGCACTCCACTGGTAGTGTGATTACTGGAGGGTAATCAGTGCACGTTCGCTTTAAATGCCAAGACCTTTCCAATTTGCACAGTGGCTAATAAGAAAAACATTTTTATCTCAACAGAAGCAGAAGGTTGATAAACTTGAGATTTTTAGATGTTTGTAAGCAGGGGCGGATTATCAAACAATGGGCCCCTGGGCACAGATATGCAAAAGGCCCCCCACCTCTCCTACATAGGAGCAAAACACTTGCACCAACTAGTTTAGCCTCCTTTTCCTTGTTGTTTTGCATCACTTTGTGGTTGTAGTGCATCTTTTGTGGTTTTTGTGTCCGTGCTGTAGTTTGGTGTCTCTTTGGAGTAATTTAGTTTGTCGTCTAGGTACTTTAGTGTCCTTTCTGGTTGTTTGTGTCGATTTGTGGTAGTTTTGCTCCTTTTTGTAGTTGAGTGACATTTCACAGGTATAGCACAGGCATGTCCTGATTTTGCCACGTGGTTGTTGTCCTGAGAACAACATTTTGTATGATAGCTCTGGGACAGCTGCCTCAGCCAAACAATGTTTGTGATATCATCAAAGAGAGCCCTGCTGCAAGTGTCCTGCAAAATATATAACGGCTGTGCAGAAAGGTGAAAATTACAAGACGAGACCCAACCTGAAAGTTTTACTTTAGTTTACGCTAGTCTGCCACTACAGACGTTAAAATATATATTTGCTTTTAAGATTAATTGTAAGTATTTCGTCACCATGGATATATGCTGACATTAGCTTTCAAAGGTGAGCTAGCAGTTAGCCAGCTAGGGTGCTACCTGCTTAGTACTAATCCCTTTAGAAAGGCCACTACAAGAAAATGTGTTATTTGTTTGGATTGTCAAAGGAACAGTGAGCCATAGATGTTTGTTTCTGGCTGCTAGAGTTAGTGGCCTAGCTGTAGTGCGCTAGCATTAGCATGCTAAAATTTGCATGCTAGCGTTAGTCCGCTAGCCCACCAACTGTTTTTTCCAGGATTGTGCCAGGTGAGAGAAAGTATAGAGTGCCGAAGTCACGCCCCTTCCGGTGAAGCTCATGGGACCTTAGATCGGAAAAAATATGAATGTCAGTGAATGAGGAGAGAAATATTATCTTTTGTTCCCGTTTGAGTTGTGACATGAAATCCAAATATGTCGTTAATGAATTTAAAACATAAATTTTAAGGTCAAGAAAGTCATACTTTGTGGTCGAACTGTTGAGATATAAGCTTTTGAAAAAAACGTAATTAGAAAAACTACACGAGGCGGTCGCGTATGTGACGTCATAGCTTTCGCTCGCTTCCTGCATCTTCAATCATAAATCGATTAATCATTAAACAGTGGAATTTCAGCAAGGAGGCCAAGCTGCAGGAAGCGAGCGAAAGCTATGACGTCACATACATGACCTCCTCCTGTGTACTCTTGAGTCTTTCTAATTAAAAAGCTTATATCTCAGCATTACCAAAAAGTATGACTTTCTTGACCATAAAATTTATGTTTTAAATTCATTAACGACATATTTGGATTACATGTCGCAACTCAAACGGGAACAAAAGATAATATTGCTCTCCCCATTCACTGCCATTCGTATTTTTGACGATCTTTTTTTCTTTTCTTTTTTTTTCTTTTCCTACTTGTCTGCATTGGTCTTCATAGCTTAGCGCCACTAAAGGGTGTAAGCTTCTTGTGAAGATTGATGCACTGTTAATCTTGCAGTCAAGTATTTTATACCCATAATGCGTGGTTGTGTATTTTTGACGATCTAAGGTCGCATGAGCTTCACTGGAAGGGGCGTGACTTCAGCACTCTATTGCATAATGAAAGTGATGCTTTCAGGCCACACAACATAAGAATTATTTTCTATATTATTATGTAAGCTACTACACAAAGTATATGCCCAATATTGCTTTTTATTAATGTAGTATTTCTATAGTATCTTGTTTAGTACTGAAACATTAGCTTTTTTCCATAACATTAAAAGACAAAGTACTAACCTATTTCTAACATCAACCAGTTTCTTTCATGGTTATATCATTTTAATCAATGATTGTCAAAGATTATGCTCTAACAAAATGTATATAATTAAAAATGATCAGAATCCATGTTTTATTTAGCCTATGTATGCTCCAAGAATGATTAATTCATTTCAATTTACACATCAATTGAGATGTGTGTCCTGAAATTAGCCCTTCTCTTGATTACTTTTCTTTTTGATATTTTGTTTAGGTACAGTGATACCTGCTGGATTTTCTCTGCTGAGATAGGGTAAAAAAATGTTTATACATTTCTCGCTGCATTTTACAACTAAGACAGACACAGAGGTCCCATTTAGATACTCTATCTTGTAAAGGGTCCTTGGTTGAAAAAAGGTCGAGAACCTCTGCTCTGTATCACCTTAAAAGTGATTTTCTGAAAGTGATTACTTATTATTTCACTTCCCTTGGTTTACAGCTGTTTGTTAGTTTACAGGTCATGTTAGAATTTTCCAAACAGCCTGATATTCCATAAGATGAATCACTCTAAAATAACATTTTCTATTCATTGTGTTAATTAAACATAATGTGGTTCAGGCTTTTCAACACAAACTCATAATACATCCTCAATTATGCATCAGTCAATTTATTAAAAACAAAACATTAAATAAACATATTTACATGCACTCAAAATATATGACTCATCAGAATGTGGAGTGGTGAAAGGTATCGATCAGTATGCATAATATACAAAATGAGGTGTTTGTGGAGACTTTGCTCTTCATCCAGAATTACTGCAGTCAAATGAGAATTAGTCAGAGAACCTGCACAGGGATTTATGGCAGCTGTGGTTTCATCAACAGTTTTTCAGCCGTAGGCGTATTTGTCCGTTACAGTTTTATCATTTGGTGTCATCTGTCCACTCAGCTTCATCAAAAGCTTCACAATAAGGCCAGCCTGTAAGGAAATAAAAAATATAAGTGTTTATGTTTTAACATAACTTTAAACATGTGAACCATTTAAATAGTGTAGGAAAGGTCCTGGAACAGTTACCTGTTTTGTGTGCACAATGAAGTTCATTTTATTGTCACCACTGTGTATCTGGAAGTACTGATCAGCGTGTCCAAGCTGCCACATGAATGTGCCATACTCTAAACTGATGAGAAGGACCTGCAGGTGCAGAGGTTTAATAAATTATTATACGGAGGTTGTAAGAAGCATGCACAAAAGAGATACATTACAACAAATGCTTGATTAAAACAATGAAGAAAATCCTATTTACATAATTATTAAAAATTATGAGTTTTTATTGATTAATCCATCAGTGTATCTAGGATTAAGTGGAGAATGGGATATACTGTTTTCACTTCCTACAAAAGCATCTATTACAACTGTCCAAGCAGCTTGTGCAGCAAAACTGCAGATAAACATTTGGAACATTTGGTGTATAGCTGAACTTTAACACAGGGAATAAAAGATGGCGATACCTTGGTCTCCATATTCATGAGGTGCAGCCCCTTTGTGTTGACCCCGACGTAGACGCGGATGACTTTGTGGTTGCTGGCACTGGCCTTTGTGTAGACCTGCCCTGTGAAGAAGGCGGCGCCGTAGGTCGGGATGTCCCAGCAGTTCTGCAGGAAGAGTCGCTGCAGGTGGTGCATCTCTTTACTCACCCCCTCACTGGTGCTCAAGGCCTTTCAGAGAAAGAGGGAAAAGCCTGTCAGTCAAGCCAGCATGGGATTTTTTTTGATGACTGATAGGGGTTTTTTCTACAATGAAAACCTTGAGCGTACTTTGTATTCATGCAGAATCCTGTTGGTCCAGTGGTACGCTTTGCTCTTCACTTTGGATATCGGCACAATTGATTTCAGGTTTTCCTCACTATTGAAAAGAAAACACAGAGAAATGCAGCTTTTTACGAAACACACACCACCTCAAACATTCACTTCAGCATGACATATCACATACAAAAGGTAATGTTAACATTTAAGAGGTCAATGCAATATGTATTTAAGCATAAATATGATGTGAGACAGAGTTTTACTTGAGGAATCCTTGCTTGTGCTTCTTGCTCTCATAGCTGCCGTAGATGATCTGCAGGAGGAGGCTGGCCAGTGTGATTAGCTTGCTGTCTGGGGCAGGAAAGAAGCCCTTCAGGAGGCAGTGACGGGCCTCGTCAAACAGAATGAGGATGGCCAGAGGATCCTCCACCTGGGACAAAACAGTAAGAGGCAGAGTGAGGAATCGCTCTTACCACATTTCACATGCAGGCTATAAATAAGCAGCTTCTTGTGTATAAGTGAACTACCTTCTTCTCGATTTCAAGAGGCAGCCGGACGTCCCTGCGGAGGAAGAGCTGAGGCGTTTCCCTTTGAGGGTCCAGCACCGTCAGGTCCGTCACAATCTCTGTCCAGATCCGCAGGTGCTGCAGCGGCTTGTGGTAAGGCTTCAGCTGCAGGTCTGACACACAAAATGCACACCGATGTTACTGCAGTCTTACAGTTTCATTATCTACGTGATGAGAAATTCTGAGGTTGAAAGATATGAATTTTTGAAAAGATTTTGTTGCAAAAACAAAAAAGCAACACACAACATTTGATTAAACTTTTCTGATATACAGTATGTTTGGCCACAATTGGTTTTGCAGCCACAGGATGATGATGATTTTAG